TCAGCGCTCGCAGCCGGCACGGGCCCTGCACCAGGGATACCGCGACATCGCCGTGTCAGGTCGAAATAAATGACAGCAGTTCATACATTGCCAACAGAGAATTTCCCGATCTGAACCCATTAAGTCAGTTTTTAATTGCAGACTTTGCGTTAAGAACATACCTATTTGTAACAAACCCTGTTACACCCTTTGAGTTAATTCCAATAACATCAAGTAACAGTGGATTGCTACGTCTGTTTCCTGGTTGGAATACAGCTGTTACTCTGGCCGTGCTGAATTTTACAGAAGGAGAGACTTTTTTGTTATTTTCATCTGGTAAAATAAAAGCTAGAACTCTGTTTAAGATAACATGTATTTTAACTACCTCTGCTTTCTAAACCTAAGCACAAATTTATTTACTAAAAAATTGTCTTTAAAGGAATATTAGATGTGGAACCTGTAGAGATGTGATTTCGAGTGAGTCTTTACCCTGTGTACCCTCAGAACCAGTAGATCTGAAATGCCTGATTTACTTTCTTTTCTGATGGAGTCTTGATTTTCCAGGGTCATTTAATTTCTAGTCTGCATAAGTGAACTCAGAATCAGGGGAAAAGAAATCATGCCACTGTTATACAAATGCCATTATTATTATTTCCCTACAGCAATGAGGCTCATGTCTTTATTGCATCTATTAATCCTCATTAACCAATCACATTTTATATCGCCTTTATATCGTCTGCCTTCTCAGATAGCTGAGTGTTAAGGGATCCACAGCATTCCTACAAGTCTTCTACCCTCACTCTGTTGTCCTAATTTGCTTTTAAACCTGTCACGTTTCACTTCTGAGGCCAATATTCCTTATTCTGTTTTAGCTTCAAAACAGAGAATCTAAAGCCTTTTCTTTCCCACCGCCATATCCTCTGGCTTATTTTCTTTATCTCCTCACTGTGGAGCATAACTGTTTATAGACAGGTAGGTGAGTACCTGCTTTCCAAGACTTGAAGGCTTGAAGTTGAACAATTCGAGATTTTGGGGGTTTTAAGTAAACATGATCAGCATTTTTTGCCTCATTCTGTGACAGCCCCTCAATTAAATTAGTTTTTCCTGCTGGTAGGACCTTTGCTGGCATTTTTGTATGCCAGTGACTGTGCTGTGTTTCTTCTTGATATTTGTAAGAAACCACTAGGATATCTTTGGGGAGGGGACCGCAGCAAGAAGCCCAAATCTTGGAGCAGAGTGGTGCTGTCACTGAATGGGCCACCTGTGCAAGTCAGGGCATTCCCAGCAATCGTGCAAGGCTGTAAAAGAGACTCCCTGAGAAAGTTCCCTCACACCTGAGACAGACAGACCTGGTTTGGAGGGACCTTACCTTGCAGGTCGAAGGGAAATCCTCTTCAGGGAGCTTTCCAAATGAGGAGAATTGGCCCATCTCTGGGAATCTCAGCCACATACACAGTCTTTGACTAATGATTTTGTACAGCACTCCAATAGGAAGTAACTTCTAAGTGCAGGTTGCACTCCTTTCATGAAGCTTTTTGCTGCATGCATGTTCAGATTTTAAAACATGTAAAAGGTCCAATCAATTTCCTGCCACAGAGAAGAAAAGAGAGCAGTTGCATCGCAGCTGACATAATGACACAGTGGAGAAGTGCAGTCTGGGCAGGACAGTGCAGGCCTTGAGGAGTGGAGGCTCAGGAGAGAGGAGAGGAGTACAGGCGTGGGTTGAGAAAGGCTGGGGCACATCTCTGGCACTGCAGCCCCCATGGCTACAAATTACTCACTTGCAGACCTCATGCTGGACAAAAACAGTTTTCATGTGTAACAAAAAGAAGAAACCCAAGTACCTAACATGTAAAATACCACGTATATTGAATTTAGGTGTAACATGAAACTACAAACCCATGAAGAAAGAGCAAGGTGCGTGTCAAACACACAACACACATCCAAATTGATCCTAGAGCAACGGAGAAGAAAACATCAACACTGTATTCTTCCTGGCACGACTCCAGATGTGATGGAGTCACTTCCTAACAGCTCCTCACACACACACACATACCATCGTGGAACCACTGACCTCCAGACCCAGGGAAGCAGTGGAAGTGTAAGCAATACACAGGTGAGGAGGAGGAGTAAAAATAGTAACAGTTTATATAATAATTTTAACTGTATTTTTATTGTTAATATTATTATTAAAACTTCTTCTGCACAGAAGTATTATTTCTTTTCCCATAATAATTAGATCTGGATTAAAAATGATTCTTGGATTAGGCTAAGATTTCAGTTATACTAATACATTTTTGGCTGTAAACATACATTGGTTTCCTCGTTGCCCATAAATAAGGTTTTCATTGTAGCAGCAGTGACAAACTGTAGGTTCTGAATGATGAGCTGCAGAGTTCCTTGGCAATAAGACCAGTCAGGACAGTAGAGGAAAAAAAACACTGGATTTCTTTAAAATTACTCTTTTAAGCAGTTTTGAAACAGTTGGTATTACTCCACTTGGTACTGGAATTCTAAGAATGTAACAGAGCTAATTAACACAATGCACATTGTACGATGATAAAATGTATTCAGTAATTTCATAGGATAGACAGACTAATGACTGTTACCAATAGCTCTGCCATATACTAGCTATCTGATGCCAGCATCCATGGGGAATGAAATTTTTTGATGGCTGCTGAAATGTTCTTTTCAATTCTGGATGTCTGGCCAGGAGCTAAAACAGCCCTGTAGGTGCCCTGTATCTTCACAGAACATCACTCTCCACACAGGACTATAGTGCCAGGTCCACCACCATGTGATGATTCCTTTTGTAGCATATTCTGGTTTTTCACTTTGTGATACTGAGATTTTTGGTGTGATTTGCTTCAACACATACTTTTTTTTTTCATTGCCCATTAAGTAGAATCCTAAATCATGCTGACATGGAAGACAAATGAGAATAATTCTAATTATCTCTGGGGTTTCAAAGTAGAAAATTAAATTGCAGTGGTAAATATTTGACTTCAGCACTTGCCTCTGGACCCTTTCACCCACTCTATTTTAAAGATTAACCTATGCTTCATATTTTCACTTTTCTCATTTGATGATGTACTCAGTATCTTTTAACTCAAATCTTTGGCAAGCATAAATGGCTCTCTCTGCTGTCTTAATTAGTTCAGCATATTAGCTTGTAATTCCAACAATTAACTCTAGTTCCATCATTACTCTTTTTAAGAATCTTTCTTCTTGGATTTCAATGAAAATGGATTTGGAAACAAATGACTATGCCTTTTACAGTGCATCTCAACTGAATAATAGCATAAATTCCTTTTCTCTTTCATTCAAGGATCTGCAAATATTTTCCAAATGTTGATGCAGAAAATTTCAAATCCCTCACTGATGAGGGGATTACTGTTATCTTCAAATAAAGAAACTGAGGCATAGTGAGGCTAATTACTATGATTATTTTCTTAGATTGATGTCATCAAAAAATTAGATAAAAACTTTGGCCAACAAATAATGAGTGTGAATTGGAGCTATAGTGAAATTTAAAAACCAGTCACATACAATTGAATAAATCTGTGTGAAATTACTTATTTCCACATCATAAAATTAATTTAGGCAGACATAATTTCAAGTTGCTATATATTTTTAGGCATGAAACAAATCTTGTGAATGTCTTGAATATACAACTCTATTTCAAGGGAGTAATATAACTTAAAACTATATTGAAACAGTATTTGAAAACTGAAATATTTTGAAATCCATTCAGACCTTTCAATGTTAAGCTCCCTGTTCAATTTCAATTTAAGATCTAGCATGTTCTTGATCATGCAATTATTAATTACAGGACCAGAAGCTGTTTTTGTTCACAGAATGCTTCATTCAGTTCACAGAACAGAAAATACCGAATTAATTTAAAAAACCTGAACACCTCTTTTTACTGTTCTTTAGGTCCGTATAGGTCCTTCTTGTCCCTAACCCAGGGGCTGTGCCAAAGATAAAATGGCATTCAATTCAGAATCTTTCAATTTGCCCCCACAGTGCTCTTTACTCTCTCTCTTTCCTTGCCCTGTCCCACAACTTAGCAGATAGGGAAGCACTATCCAGTCCTTTCACAGGTGTAGAATGGAGAAATATTTCAGTTAAAATTTGAAAAGAATTGGTAAAATGCCAGTGGTTCAAAGCTGCCAATGTGGTAAGTAGCCCTTCGGCATTGTTGTACAGGGCAGATCATAGATCAGACCTTCCCACAGCAGGAGGGACATCCCTTACACAGTGAAATCAAAGAAGGTGCCTTTCCTCTCTTCCTTTTTTATTTTGGAGACAGTGACACAGACAAGTATTCTATGGAAATTGAGAATGGTGCTGACACAAATTTATTCTGGTTTCACATATTGAAAGCTTTAGTCTGCATTCATCGCTAAGGAAAAAAAAGCACCCAAAATACTGTAATGCATAAAACAAGAAGCAATTTACTTTGAAATTAACTTTATACTTTTATTCTGTGCAATTACTGGAGATGTTTAGATATGAGCTTCCTCCCTTACAAGCAGATATTAACTAAAGAGTTTAATTATATGCTAAAAGAAAAATGTTTTCTCCAATACTTTCTTCTGAAACCAGCATTGAATACTTTATCCTGTGTTTATGAGAATAAAATCTGCTGCTATGGTTACAGTGAGGTCAATGTTTCAACATTATTATTTTATTGTGCTTTGTTAAAGGAGATGGTAGAAAAATATTTTTCTTTCAACAAAAATATCTTAGAAAGTATAATGTATTTTAAATGAATATGTAAAGCCTTTTATTTAATATTTCTGTTTCAAGCGTAGGAATTATAACAAGGTCCAGGTAGGCAGCATGAAAAAACACCTTGTCTGTAATAGAATTTCACTTCCATTTTCATCTGATGCTACAGTGTGTTTTACAAATATTAATTGAGCTGCACAAAAGTCTTATGATAATCCTCAAGGTGACCCCAAAGAGAAAAAGAAAGATTTATACTTTTTACAAGGAAAGACTGAACAGCTTTTTTTAAAAAAAATAGAAAAATGAGTAATGTCAATTTTATCTTTCTTGCTTTTTGAAGCACTGGAGAACAATAAACTCTTTTAATGAAAGAATAATGCTAAGGAGCATCTCCTCCAAACTGGCTGTTAGGCAGTTGAGTTAAATAATCATACTAACTCAGTTTTAAAATTGTCTTGCAAAAATACCTTCCCTATCAATTACTCAGTTTTTGCTTTCTCTTTATCATTGTATCATAATCCTTCTAACTTTCCTACTACCTACAGCATTCCAGAAGAGACGACACAAAAAATAGCACAACTTTTAAAAGCTACACGTAACACAAATACATCCAGTCTTCTTTCTTTTATAGGAATAGAGAAAAATAGCAGAAAACCTCACCCTATTTTTTCCTGTACTGATCACATTGAAGATACTCATCATGCTGAATCTTACCTCTCTCTCCCCCTCTCTCCCTCAAAGAAACTTCACTCAACCAGGTAACATTTTTCTGAAAAGAACAAGCCAAGGTAAATCTGCAATTTCCAAATAGCTCAAAATAGTTTATTGTTTTATCATTGGGCTACAATACAGGGAGAGCCTGACTGAAGTAAAAGGGACTGGCATTTTTCACAGAAAATGAACCCAGGAATGGTAACTATTAGTCCTGAATTTTCATGGCAGCATTGAAGCATAGCTAGTGATAGAACAAGTCTCACAGGTCTTCTGCCCAAATGTCCTGGTTTTTTTGCTGTTTGTTGCAAGCAAATCAGTGTAACTAGTGAAGGAGTGCCTGGCCTTGAGATTTGAGCACAACCAAAGGGCCATGAGCACTCTCTTGTGTGCAACTAACTCACTTGTTCATGTCAGGTTCTCCATCTCTAACACTGGACAAGCATATTGCCTCAGGTAGCTTTTGTTATGATTCATTTGTGTTTCTTCAGCACTTTAAAATAATATTTACAGCAACATACATAGAGGTTTAATTAGCTTTTTAGAATTATATAAAAAATGTTCTATATTGTACCATTTTATTCTTTGTACTGGCTTGGGGCGGTTAGGTTATTTGTTGTGAGTTTTTTGGTTTGGTTGTTGTGTTTTGTTTTGTTTTCCAAAAAATGCTTTGAAATTATAAAGACATCTGAATGATCACTTGCACCCTCAACAACCTGAAATGCTAGTTTCCAAACAGATATATAAAAGAACAAACTCAGTAATGATTTTAGGTCCCAAAAAAATTCTCAACCTCATAACTAACACCAACTTTTGATAACTGAAAAATCAACTTAAAAATTGCTGATGAGAATAAAACTTCTGGGAAAAAGGAGTATCTGCTAGCAAGCACTAGAAGGCTACAGACCTATTCAGCTTTTCTAAACAATAAGAAATTATTGAAAAGATAAAAAATCCTCTTATTAAGAAACTACTTTTTAAACACCTAATTTTCAAAACTATTTAGGTTTAAATATTTAAAAGTAAGAGAAAAATAAAAATTATAAAACACATCAGGAGCCAAATGTGATTAATAAAGCTGCTTCTCTAACATTAGAAATCAAGCCTACATCTATAGCACTCAGCGAATTATTGTTACTGCAAAAGAGAATTTAGTGAAGCAGAGAAATGATCCAATTGAAAAGATTTTCTTCAGTTATTATACATCCTTTGGCAGGATCAAACATGTCTTCCAAACTTGCTATTGATTGCAAAGTAACATCAAATGGGATCTGGGGAAAAAAAAAGGAAAAACTACCAAATTAATAACTTTATTAAGTTTAGAGGTACCAAAAGATACAAATAGCTCCACATTAAAGCCAGATTTCTGACCCACAATCAATAAATAAGTTAGAAATACTTATTGCCTCAGTATAAATTAATGGTTAATGACATCTCTTGCAGGAAACTAGTAAAAGAGGATTCAAGGGAGAAAATTTCTGTGAACAGTCTTGCTCACAAAGTTTATCCTTATCACCTGTAGGTAAAGTGAAGATATTAGACAAGAGCAGCAAGAATGATTAGTAATTTGGAAAGCTTTTCCTAAAATGAGAAGCTGAAAGAGTTGAGCTAACTGTAAAAGGTGAAACAGAGGGCAATGAAAAACTGGTTTGTGCGTCCATTGAACATGAAGAACTATTTAGCTGTTTTAGATATCAATGGAAAAACAATTAGGGAAGATAACTTGGAGTAGGCTACCTAGGGAGGTTAATTTTTAATGAAATTCTTTTATTTATAAATTTACTTTTAACATTTAAGATTGCAACTTCCAAATACTATACTTTGTCTCCCTCAAGGACATAGCTATTCATTAAATAGCATTGAAAACAAGCAGGCTGATCAATTTTTATTCTTAAAACAGTTTTGTCATTTAAAATGAATAATTCAATAAAAATGCACTTTTTCCATTTATAAATATAATCCAGGGCTGAATCAAAAGCACCATAAGACACAAGAACAGAAATAAGAGAATCAAAGAAGAGAAGGTGAAACATGACAGGAGTTAAAGTGTGACAGCTCAGACAGTAAGAAAACAAATACCACAAATTAGAACTGACTTTGTCCAATTAATTCACCAAAAGATGAACAACAAAAACTATGTGGTGGGAGAATGGTGTAAAACTACATATAAGCAATGTATCTGCTGCCTTCTCCTGCATGCTTGAAAACAAAGGGAATGTACTGATCCATGGTATACATAGTCCCACTCTGAGCTTTCTGTCTCTAGCTGAGGTAATGCCTGCATACAACTTATCTGAAAGTTTGGAAATACTACTTTGAAGTATGCTATACATAATGAAGGGCTGAACAGCCTACAGGTTCCATTGACTTCAGGGAAGAATGAAGATACTCAGCATCTTGAAAGATTAGGCTTCAGCTGCTCAACCAAAACTCCCATATTTAAAAGCATCTTAGTTTGAAGTCTTTATTTGAAACTTTGTGATGAAAAGCCCATTGTTCCACCTATTGAAACATTTTAGCTTGGGGAATTTAGCGAGAATAAAACAGAGCAGTAAACATCACATTCTTGCTGGAAGAACACCACTAAATCTGCTCCCTCATTTCCATCATAGACCCACAAATAGAAGCAGGCAAAGTCAAAGGAACTCACAAGAATTTAAAACAGTTCCAGGAGGTTTCCATGATTCTATGAAAGCTTGGCTGTATCTTTCCCTAGGTATCTGTCAACTCTCTCTACCATGGAAGATATTTCAATGGGACTCTGAAAAGTGCAGCTTTGCAGAATGAATGTGTGTGTATCCTGATGCATTGATAAAGCCAGACTGAGTGATATGAAGGTCTGAGAGTCATTTGAGAGAGAACTTCAGGAGGGGTAACAAGGGGTGGCAAGAATGGTGCAGTATGGGAAATATGGACTCTTAGGTACCGGACTGCAGGACACGCAGCACAGTGTTACAGACTCTCTCTTCTGCAATAGGCTACTAGCCCAACTGTTCTCACATAAAACTCAGGATCTTCTTCTGGTAGGAAGAACTACCTGGCTGGAAGTCTACAGTGGATGCCTTATCATTATCATTCCATTGTGAACAATTAAAGGTAAGATATTTGAGGATTAGTTGAAGGAGTGATATGTTACAGTGAATTCCAAAATCTTCCTTGGAGTCCCTTGAGCCCTGGCAGCTGTGGCGCTTTCCTGATCTCCCTACAGTGGCCGAGTACACTGAACCACACTGCTGCTCGTTATGGGCCAGTTCCCATAATCTCCTCTGGGATACTGACTACAGCTGGGTAACAAAATGAATGCAACAGGCTGGACAAAAAAATGGCATGCTAGCTCTGAGAACATGTCATGGGCAAGGCAGAGAAAGCTAAAGAAAATAGAATGAAAGCCTGAATAACTGCAAAAATGCAAGGATGGAAGGAAAGTGATTTGGCAATTGAATCATGGAAATTCACTGGAGTCTGTGTAAACAATGACCAGAGAATGGTGGACAACCTATGTTAACCATTGTAAGCAAGATTCACTTTTAATACATTTTTGTATGGATGAATAGGTGATTCTAATGAACAGTGAAGATATTCATAGTTTGTAATCTTGCACATTTGTATTTAAAAATAAAACCCAAACAGAAAGCCCAAAAATGTATGAGAAAAAATGGGAGGATACTTAAGGGTATAATTCATGTTCCAGTTTAACTAAACAATTGTTTTATTGTAGAGAACAGATTTTTACTCTTAATAAGAACAGCATACCTCAGTTAATGGTGAGGACAGGGCTGGAACAACAGACAGCAATGCTTTGACTTCAGATAAACACCTTTTAGCCATTTCCTAATGGTATAAAATAAGAAAAAACTAATGCTGTACTATCAGTCTCCTCCAATAAGCTAACAGATGGCTCAGCCTTACAAAATTTTTCAGAACATTCAAGTTTTAGGTTATTCTAATTGAATTCACAGCAAAATAAACTTTAGCTGATGAATATAAATTTTCTGCAACACAAACAGTTGTGTTTGCAGCACAAACACAAGTGCCCAAACTTTGTAGTTTCTACTGAGGCAAAATTGCCCCTGGTTCAGGTTTTAAATCCAGTGACTGAGCATACTTTTTCTACGTGTTTACTGAAGACATTATAAACAAACACCTTGACAAGGTTATATTTATATATGTATAATGCATGACATGTTAATCTTATTAGTATTCTAAATATTGCTTTTCCAATTACTGACATATATTAATGAAAGTTTGAGCAAACCCCTTCAGGTAATCAGAAACACCCACTAAAGGACAGCTCTGTCTACCCTCCCGAGAACTATGATTGGCCAAAATACCATTTGTTCTCCAAGCTGGGCAAAATACAGCCTCATAATAATGGTACAGTGCACAACTGTCACTGTTTCACAGCATCCATCACACAAAGTGACAGCCTCTACATCATTAATCATTTCATATAATAGATATAAAGAGAATCCTGTCACATGATAAATGTCTCCCACTTTGAAAATAAACGTCTATTTTGCCTTGGCATTTATCAAGCAGCAGTTATGCTGTGGCAACATTCTATTCCAATGACATTATCTCAAACAGACCATATGGAAAATTCTGAAATTACCTTTTTTGTATGTGTATGTGGGGAGAGTTATTTGCTTATGGACAATATTCAGCTTTGCTAATAAAAAGAAAAGAAGAAGGTGGCATAGAGAAAATGAAAATAAATTCACTGTCAGTTTTAGTCCTCTCTCAATGACATTATTAGAAGGTTCTTATTTCAGAAACCACCACTGCCACTGCCTGTTTTGCATTGAAGATGTTTAACTGATTTTTAAAAAGCACTTTCAGGTTGATCGCCTTGCTGATTTAACACAGAGCCAAGCCTTTTCTGATGTAGATTACTATAAATTAGGCACCAGTTTCCAAATCTATGTACCTGAAGATGTAGCCTTTATTTTCAAGTGAAAGGTGAGAAAATGCTGGTTTTTTTGTAAAGTGACAAGCAATATATAAGGAAGACAAAAAGTTAAATATTAAATTAAGAGTGTAAGTATTTCAACATTTCTTGAAAGGGGTGAGTGAAACTTAATGTCTGTGTTTATGCCTGCCTTCCAAGTTACCTGTCATTTATTTCCCCAAAACAGACATTTTAAATAAAGCCAGAAATATTTAAGAGCAGGACTTACTTCTGTTTTTTCATCAAGATGCACTTTTGCAACACTCATTTGGGAGTTTTTTGAAGGACTTATCTCCAAAATTTCACTCTGTTCAAGAAAACCTGTAGATTCTAAAGCTGATGACAAACTTTTAGAACTTTGCATCAATATTTTAACTTGCTCCTTCAGATTAGACAGTTTCTTCCGTAAAGAAATAATTCTGAAAGAAAACAAGGTTTTTTCATTATTGCTGTTATAAAACAACAATATTTGTTGTTTCCAGTTTATAATTAAGCTGACCTTGCTTTTATCACATATTGATTAGGTTCTACATTTTCTCACATTTCAGAACCGATCTCATAATTTTACAAAAATAAGTTTTTCATTAAAGAAAGTGGAGATATGGAATGCATTAGCTTTTTTACCATTAAAAATTATAAGAAGTATTATTTTAGGAACACCTGTCTAAGAAGTTTTTTTCATCCAACCAGTACAAGAGCGGCAGAGGCTGCAACTCTTCTTGGCCTGTTATTCCTTCCCTTCCACCTGCTTAGTAGTCCCAAAAATTTTGAGGCTAGATGAATGACAAGGAAGAAGTAATGAAAAATGCCACACGAAGTAAAAATAAGGGCTGCATCTGGGGCTACAACTGAGAAAAATCGTTGCACACTCAGAGTTGTAATATGAGGTGGAGAAACTACTTGATCCAGTGAGAGAGTGAGAATAAGTGCTGGGACTGCTTCTTAGATCTGCTATGTTGCTATGTTAGTGTATATTATTAGCACATGTTTCTCAGTTCTTTAAGATCAAAACTAACATGCTAATGCATTGAAAAAGCATTTGTTTGGATGGGTTTAACACTTTGTACAACATCTTACAGTTTTTATAGTGAAAAGCAAAAATGTATGCTTTTAAAGATTTATAGCTCTTTGATATTTTGTACTTTATTTTCTCTCATCCTAAATGGTTGACTGATCTTTAATACAGCATGAAATAACAGGATAAAGTCAGTGATTATTTACCTAGCCAATGGAATCCACAAGTGGCCTGAAAACACAGACATTGGACTGAAAATCTTGATGTTGCTAATCTTGACAGGCTGTGTATTATAAGCATAAAGTAGCAAAACCTGTAAAAAAGAAGGAATGGCTAAGGTGACATGCAATATGGTATAGAAGACCTGAGCTATTTCAGTGATACAAGATTATAATAAATATCAAATACAGTGTATTGATGAAATTGTAGATAACTGACCTTTAAAAACAAGGGGAGTGTGACCTCATATGAATTTGTGCTATACTCAGTTTTTATAGGCTTAAAGCAATATAATTATTAATATAATTTCTGTGGGTTTGAAAATCAGTGATACCCCATAGACTCATCATCAAAATCCCACTGTTGTCCTGGTCAATCAGTCCCACTGACACTCATATCCAAAGTTCCAACTGAAGTTAGGCTGAACAGAGAGCTTTTACTGAATTTCCAAAGGCCCTATGTAATTAGCTAAATTTCCTATACGGCCTTGTGCATGGCTGTCATCATACCAGGTTTAAGTCCATGAAGTGTGCATAACTCACCAATCTAATAAAGCTGCATCAGTATAAGAAAATTAAACAGAATGTTCTTATCTTTCACTGCAATAGTTTGCTAGTATGATTGAAAATATGCTTCCTAGTGGTAGCTGAATATTTTGACTATATGGAGAATGCCAAGAGTATGGCATTCATGTATTAGGTGTTCTGAAGAGTTGTCTCTTGACCTCTACTAATCTGTATGGCCATGCTAAAGTAACCTGCAAAACTATATTAAGAAGTACATTATTTGCATTAACTCCACAGGGCATCTATAGCTTACTAATAGTGTTAAAAGGGTCTAATAGAAATTCAGACACTGATCTGCTATGCCAAAAAGTTTGCAGATCGTGGATTTCTATTGCAGAAGCAGAAATTTTACCTACACATTGTTCCCTTGTTTAAACATAAAACAAATTCTACGTCCTAGTCTCTTGCTTTCCTGCAGCCCTTCCATCTCTTTTATCTTTCATGTTTAGTCTGATCCTTTAGGAAAATGAGGTTTACAAAATCCCATTTTCCTTGTATATATATATATTTCCTTTTCTAACAGCCTCCCATCAAACTATTATTTGACTGTATCAGTCAGCTCTAACCAAACTTAACAGTGGGGATCTTAAAGACATCACGGATCTGCAACAGGCATGAATACAACATGGCCTGGAAGCTCTGTATGCTAAACAAAGTATTTTTTCTGGCCTGCCAACAAAAAACTGTCAGGGCATTCTGTTTTCCTGCAGAGCAGGCTTGAGGCACAGTAAATATATAGCTCCCTGCTGTCCAGCTTGCCTACCAGGATATGTATAATTCAATTAAAAAGCTGATCAGTCGTAACATAAATATTCATTGGAAATGAGATTTAATTTGTTCCAATACCTAAGGAACTGCTTTGCCCTAGTTATACCTTAGTTTCTGTATCATTTGATGGCTTTGCCATAGAAGAAATGTACCACTGAATGTTAATTTCCTTATTTGAAGCATTTGCTGCCCTACTCTCAATGTGACTGTCTTCTGCGATGACAGAAACTGGAGAAGCTATCCTCACATGTGACACTTCTGATGTCATTTCTGTAACTTCAAGAGAAATCTGAAACACAAAAATTTAAATTATATTTTCTCTAGTGAAACATGCAAAATCTCTTATAGTATCTTCTAGAATTGGTAGGACTTTCACTCCTGCACAAATATATGCTCATTTAGATAAATGGGTGGTTTTCAAAGGTGTCCATTTCACCAAGTTAAGGCTTTTCAAAGCTCACACAATGAGACATTTCTAAAGGTAATGCAAAGCATCTTTGGGCTGGCTTAGAGAACCCACATTAATAATGATTGTTGCCTTTGACTTAGAATCATCATGGCATTATGTTTTTTGCCCAAATCTATTATTTGACATGCTGATCATACAAAATATGCTGCTGCAAAAGTAATGTCAGCTATATATTGGTAATTAAAATAGCATTCTGAATGTTAGAATAATGCTTTATTTATGTTTACCTATCTGTTTTCTCATTATCTGTGCAACTAACAAAGGGTGATACCTGCTGAAAATTCCGTCACTTAATTTTTGAGAATTCATTGTATTAACTAAAATACATAGAGAACATTAGCAGGCCATTCATCAAATAGTTACTGTTGGCTGTATTTACCAGGGAAGTAATGGAGGAAAACTGTCAACCAACATTCATTCGTGAACAAAAGCTTTCTTAAAATTTGTGAAACATTTGATTTAAAAGCTGAACAGCACCACACCATCTCTACTTTTTAGTGTTACGCAGCTATGCAAAGACAAAGAATAGCAGCCAAACAATGGCATTTTGTGGGAATATGGAAGCTATTTGAAAAGGTCCTCAGTGTCTCCATCATTGATTCCAAAATGTGGATACTGAAAACAGCTGCCTGGGGAGTTAGTTGTTTTCAAATTTTGAATGTTGATTGCTGGAAAAAAAGGAAGAATTTTACAAACTTTATTTTCAGAAGATACAGCTCGTGACCAATATAGGGCAGTAAATGCAAGTGAGCAGAACACAGATTTTTCACAATAACTTAATCTTACGTCATAAAGCCACTTAACATCCCACATCAAAATTTAGTAGAAGGGAAGATAAAGCAGAATCCATGCGTGGGAAGTCATGTGTTTGAGTATATGGATATGCCTTCAGTAGGCAGTGATAACTTTGGCCATAACCCATGGTATGCCATGAGATGTGCATGGATGACCCACCTACTACAACCATCATTTTACATAGTTCAGGAATGAAACATCCACTATCCTGCTAGCATGGAGTGTAAACAAAATTAGGAGAAAAAACATATATGGAGGTGGGAACAACCTAATTTATGCTGTGCCCCTGAACTAGACCTCTTAAAATTCCCTTTTATGCTATATATTTCTTTCTAAAATATGTGCTATGTTTCCTTTTTTGCTGAACTGCATCTTTTGGTTTTTACATCATATTGAATCTTTTTGAGAGAGGATATTACAACTGCTCTTGACAAACTGGAGTGTTGCTGAATTACATACATAAATATTTGTCTGTTCAACTTTCTCGAAAGCCTGAAAACAACGAATTATCTTAGTTAAATGTTTCCAGTCCTACAGACTATCATGGAGTGGAATAAAAAACAGGACAGAGAATTTTAATTAGACTTAATGTAATTTGGATTCTTTGTTCAGCGGACCTGAAAAAAACTTCAAGAATAAAAAAGAGAATTACAAAGACACATGTAAGTGAACATAAAAATCATTCTTTCAAAAACTACATCTTTTTGTGCTGTTAAAAATCCCAGTACTAAATTACATTTTTAAAATAACTTATGCAGCCTTCTGAATAGTAAAGGATTCTAAAAATGTTGTGATAAAATCAATGAAGCTTAGCATTAAAAAAAGTAAGAGCTTTATGCTTGTTAGGTGTCTACAATAGCGAAGCTAACACATGATTATGCAGCTTGCACCCGTCACGAACATGACAGTGAGCTCTGAAGCTTATTATTCCATGACACTGTAATACTAATTATGTCAAAAAAAGAACAGACAGAGTAAAATAATTTTTGATATATGATGGCTGTTATAAATGTCACATACCATATATTTACAATTTATTCAGTGGCATAGTCAGCTCTTTGTTGGGAAATGAGTAATGATATGCTGTCCAACACTGCAGAAAGTTCACCAACTCTAGAAGAGCTATCACAAAAGTATTTTTATTCATTTTTATAAGATACCAAGTTCTCCATCCTGAAGGCTTCCCTGTCTCCATCTAATACTGAATATAATAGGTAAAAAATAAGCCACAAACCTTTCAGTTTAATTTTTTAGTGTTAGGATAATTGTTGATGTGAGAAGTGGGATGGAGAAACTTTGAAGACAATTATTTTTACATTGGACAAACTTCATTCAATGTTCAATACCTGTGCCATGGACAGCATAGACTCCAGAATTCCAATTCAGGTTTTATCTGAGTAATATATTCTGAGTTGCCTACATTTTAAAGCTCAAATAGGTTGTTTGCAAGCCAGAGATCTAAAAAGGTTGATTTTCTAACTGGATGATAATAAGTGAAAAAAATTGGTACACAAGGCCTTCAACAAATTTTGAGAAAATATAACATATATTTTTGGAAATCGTGTTTTCATTATAGACCAAATTAACAATATAGAGACTTGTACATATAAATTACAAAACAAACATCAGGACATTTTTGGTTTGAAACATGGAGACCTACAAGATTTAAAGCCTCAGTCCTACTGAGTAGAGGAGCCAACTTAATTAACTAATAAAAAAATATCCTTTTAAATATCATTCTGCCTAATCTTCTAATGTCTAAATACACTGGCTGTGGGATCGAGATCACTTTTGCAGGAATGAATAACACATAGTTATTTGCATTTGTTAACTAAGTACTTCGCTGCTTGCACAGGATTTTGGTTTTATACTGATCCTCTGCATAATGAATTTCATTTTTCTCTAGTGCTCCCAGAAATATCACCATTGGAACTATCAATTCTGAATGAAATAACAGTATTATATTTTTGGAACATCAAAAAGAACAGAAGTACCTCTGAAGAATCAGCTGGCCTACTGAGTGGCAATTCTATGTCATGTAGCTCTTCTGGAAAATTTTCAAGACAACATATTGAATATTCAAACAAATTTTCTTTAAGAAAGGAACGCATTTCTGCTATGCGTAGAACAATTCCTGTGTCAGAAACAAAACTAAGGTGTCCATCTCTTGCAGAAAGTGATCCAGGTCCTGAGTTAGGGGCAGCTTTGAAAAGAGAAGTTTTTCTTACATCATTATTTGCCATTAAAATGTAAAGTTTCTACATCTAATCTATACTCATAACTTTTGAAAATAAACAATGTAAACAGATTCAATATCAAAGAAATGGATTTCCAACAATTATACTGATTGTCCTTAAATATTACTAGCTTATGCTATTTGTATTGTAATTTTTCACCAGTGGTCTGATAATGAAACAAGCTCTGTCTGGATATTACAAAGTAGCATAAAATGGGAGGTGCAATTTTGAAGTTTAGGTACTTAAATTCAGATGTGTAAGCACCAGTATGTTCAGTAGGTATCTAAGTACCCACCAGAATAAAGGCATATTTAGTCAATACAGTCAAAATAAGCTTTAAGGACTTTCAAGACCCCAGTTTAGACAACTAGAGGCTGATCAGCTGAGTTGCTCCCTAGGCAAACTGAGACATATATGCACATTTTGACACTTACTGTCCTTATAGCTCCATGGTGAGCCAGAATACTTTCCCTTCACTTGGTGCTGCAAGTTAAAAACCCATCCCTCTCTGAAATTATTATTTTCACAGTTGCTAGATTTCTCTCTAAACAGCACCTACATGTACACTCTAATTTTGTTCTCACCTATCAGGTCATCATTTGTATATCCAGAAGCTGGCCATCACATGTAGATGCATAGTATTAGGGCCTTGTAATTAATGAATTCTTAGTTTGTTTGAAAGGTCCTATCTATTACCATAGATTATTATAGCAAAATAACCCAAGTACATAGATCACATCTGGGGTTTTAAGTAAAAACACATTCAATCATGCTCAGCCTTCCCAGCTACACTAGACTCAGTTCTCAAGAACAGTACCTCAAACTGAACAGATTTATTTCTGATGGGACTTAAGTTTGATGTATCTAGAACTAAAAACAATATCGATTATAAATTTTTTAAAAATGCTTCAGATATAGTAATAAAAATTAAGTTTTGAGGGGGCTTTTCTGGTTTTGTGAAGGCTTATGAATACCTATGTAGAAAAGTAGTAATATCTTCACTTAAAGCACTTGTAATCTGACATAAATCTTGATTTCAGTGAAGATATTTCTGCAATTAGAGAATTTACAGGAAATCAAAATTAGGCTATTTCAGATAGCCTTTGAATATGACTCTGTTGGCCCTCAAGAACAGTATCTCACCAATGGCAGTTTTCTAGAAGAAAATAAAAATACATACCAAATTGAAGGTTTGTGTTAGAAAGCCTTTTTAAATAACTGTGGTAGCGAATTAGGTGAACCCATGTTATCACATCTTTCTTCTCACTGGCCTTGGTGGCAAGACTTTCTGTTCCTTCACTTTCACTCTGCTTGTCTTCTGTGATTTGGTTGTTTTCAGTAGAAGATGCTTTGGGACTTTCAGAGACAACATTGTATCCATCTGCAAATCCAACAAGAATTCAGGAACACGCATTAAGTGGTTGGAATTCCAAAGCTATTTCTGCATTGTGTTTGAATTGACCAGTCTGTAACTTGTGAACTTGGTTATGTTTTTCATATAAGGAAAATTCTTTCTATTCTGCTTTAATATTAGTGGAAAAATTAAAGAAATTGTTTCTCAGATCATGGTCAGGAACCTGAGTGGACCTTGCAAGCAGTTAAAAGGAGTAGACAACAAGGTCTGAGAAAAGGAGAAAGCAAGGTGCTTTCTCTCCCTCTGAATTTTCATATAAACCCATTCTTTCTACACACAGTTCAATAAAAGACATTTACAAAATGGAAACAATACAAGGAGTCATCACTCACAACAGTTGAACTTCCCGGTTATACTGACCTGAACTCAGTACACTTACGTATTCTGAAATGTTTATTGTTACCTTCAATCCAGTCCCTTTCAGATATTAAGCACATTTTCCATTAAATGTGTTCTTGGTTGTGGAATAAAACAAAAAATAATATTTTCTTTGGGCTACCTTAAAGTCATACTTATGCAAAAAGAGGAAAAAAATACCAGTACAAGTATCACTATATCACTGCTTATATTCAATATTTTTTTCACTGTATTAGTACATGGCTCTCTCAAAAGCATACAAAATTCTTCTGCTGTTTCTCAGTCCAAACTGAACAAACATTATGTTATAGTAATTCCTAATAGTAAACTTCCAGAAAATAATTATGACTGCTTGTATAAAATCTGAATGTCTCTATTATTCCTGACATTTCACTGTCAATTCCAAAAGTTAAAATGGCCACATTGTTTATAAATGAAAACTTAAACAAGTTGTTTCACATAGGGTTTTACAGAAAATATTTAGGGTGCTATGCTGATAATTTCCATTTTAATCTACCTTTTCATATTTTAGCCTACTATTGCTTTTCTACATTTTCTATTCTTCTTTGTATTAGCTAACAGACCTATCAGGAGAAACACCTGCTGCATTTGGTAAAAGAAGAAATTATCTGTAATTATAAGCAAATAGAGCTACTACAAAACAATCAGATTGATGGGAAGTCTTAGCATACAACACTTGTTTTCATAAACCAATCAAAACACATATGTTTAAACACTGTACAGTAAGCAGACATTGCTCAGCTTTGCCAGCAGCTATCAGGCAGAGAAATTCAGTCTTTGTCAGACACTGGGGATGATTGAAATTAAGCCAGTGAACAAAAATTTTATCACTAAATTAACAGTTCCCGGTTTAAAAGTAAATATGGATATTTTGCCTTAGCGTTTATATAACATCTAGCAATCATTATTCCAGTATTCCTAGTTTCACTGTTGGGTTTTTTTTAAAATCAAAAACTTCCATTTCATCATCTCCATTAGCTGAAAAATAAATGCAGAAGTTAGAGATAAACCGGGCAAAGTTCTACCAAGCTAATGGAAGCATCTCTAAATGATAATCCATTGGACTGAAAAGACAGTGAAAATTATACTGACTTTTACTTTTAGAATAGAGTACCCAGGCAGATGACTTTGTAAGAGTTTGGGCTTGTTGGTTTTAGTGGGCTTTGTTCGTTTTGGGTTTGGGTTTTTTTGCGGTGGGATGATGATTCAGGGAGAGACAAGCTATTCAACACCAACATCTCTTTGCAAAATCAAGAGTAAAACTGAGGATCTCCAAGGAAAGCTAATATACCTAGGGAAAAAAAATCAGTTATAAGTCAGTGATTGAAGAGAAAAAGCAGTGATGACTGATGGGGGGGCCCAAGACTTACTTTAGAAGTCTGGGGAAGTCCTGTAACAAAGGAGCACCTGTTTTTACAAAATTATGGTAGTATGTGCATTCTGTCTTTCTGAGCCACAATATGCAAACAACGAATTTTTCTTAACATATTGAACACACGCACAGGCTGATACTTGAAGACCCATTAAGTTTCTACTTAATATTTTGTACTGCTATGCAGGATGAGGATTTTGCTTTTACTTTCCAAAACTGATTCATAATTTTTCAAAAATTAAAATTAGATATTAAATGTATTACTAGATTACATGGCATATATAGCTTATTAGTTATTTAATGTTCTGATATTACTAGGTATAAAGGAATACCACATAAGAAATCTCTGTATGAAGAAAGAAGATCCATAGAAGCAAATTCCGGGATTTTCTGTTGCACTTCATCCTTTATGCTGTGTTCTTTAACGCTCTTCATTCCAATTAATAGCTGAGAAGCAAGCACAGCTTCACTGACCTAAGAATAATATTTATTTTATTCAGAACCAGTTCACTATGATATTTATATAGATTTAAAAATATTAGAGTAGCAAAATGATGAAAAAATTAATTATTAAACACACCATATTTTTAAAAGTCAGGAAATTATTTTTTTTTTTGACATATGGTACACATTATACTTAAATAAATCATTACTGCTGACAGCCTAATTACTACATAAGTGATTTCAAACCAGATATCCTCATCTGGATGCCACTGGTGTCTACCCACATGTCAAACACATGTGCACACGTATCAGGTCGTGTGCTGTTTTATTTGCACTGAACCCACGTTGAATTAAACAGAGTCAGATCTGTCTAAGAGAGATTAAACATGCTATTCAGACTGTTCCATTTTAATTGCCTCAAATATTACCCATGCCAGAAATTTCAGGAAATCTTAATACTTCTCTTGTTTGCACTGTCATGTTTGTTTGTGTAAGTAGTGTAAGATAAAATGTTAAAAAAACCCCAAAAACTACTCTTCAGAATATTGCACCAACCTTTGTAGCAGCTCTTATTGCAATCCAGGCTTGTCCTTTGTAGACTTCTGATTTCAAAGCCTCCTCAGGAGAATAGAGTTCTCCAGAAGAGTTCTAAAATTATACACCAGTTCATAATTAGGATTCTAAATATATTATGGTAAAATACATTTTAAACATAGAAAAAAGTCCTCCTACTTAATAATTCTTTTATTTGCAAGTTGTAAAAACTGGCATTGATTGCAAATCCATGGATTAATTGCTAAAAATGAAAAAAATTATCCAGAGCATACTAACTGGCTGCTCCTGAAAAACTTTCTCAGAGCAGCTCATACTATGGTCACTACTGCATACATTTTTGCTATGATTTTCCATTTTCTGGAATCTTAATTACCTCTTTTCTCTAACGTTAAACATTTTGCTTTCCATCTATGGCTTCAAGGAATTAAAACATGGTTAAAGACAATTATTTTTCTCATGCTGTCATTCATATTTGTATGGAAAAATTGAACTCTAGTGAAGTACAAATATTAGCATTTACAAAACCAAGTTTAAATGTCATGTTTTCTTTGCAAGGTACAAATTAATTCATACATAATTGGAATTGAAAACACTGTTGGTTCTGTGTCTTCCTAATATTTTAAATATTATCAGTCATTGCAATAAACATCAGAAATAACATCAAACAAGATTAAATTCTACTATATGATTTCTTTGTGTGATTTTTCTAGGAGGATTTTCAGCATCAGTATGATTTATAAGTCACTGCAAGTAATAATATGGCAAGGTGCACAATGTTCTAGCAGAAATATATTTCCTGCTTTGAAGAGGCCACTACTCAAAAGATAGAAAACATACACTTGATTTGGAAGGCACCATCTCATCTGTCTGTGATACAGCCTCATTATTTGTGGCAAAATGCAAATATAATAGTGCTATTTCAAGGTATGACCGTCTTATTAACCTGTAAGAAACAATACACAGAACAATCAACATTACTATCAAACTCAGCATTACAATGATAAAATCTGACTTTTGCATAAGACCAGCCAGGTAGCCTCACCAAATAAATAATTCATCCAGCCCTCATCATCTACTTAAAGTGTACCTTCTTTCAGAAAGCCATGGGATCCTGTTTTAAAGTCATGTGAATCTAAAACATCTCTATTGTATGCTTAAAAAATAATACATTGATTTATCAGCATATCAAATATAATTTGCATTATGTGCAACAAATATTCTGTAAATGAATTGCAAATGTTTACTATGAAAACCATAATTCTGCAAGGGAAGTGATCTTTCTGTACTACGTCTCTTCCTTCCTCAAGTTAAGACATATATCCGTTGTCCTGGTTTCCCTGTAACACAGGTGGCTGAATTTGGATACAGGTCCTCAGTCAAACTCTTGCAAGAATCAGCAAAAATACCCACAGTGACCAAAACAGTCTTTTGTTTCCTCATTGGGCTCAGCTGAGGAACCTTCTTAGTTCTGAGTTCTGTACCAGAATACCTTACATCTCCAGATAGCGCTCACTAATTCCTGCTCTCTGCCTGTGCTTCCTCTTTTCAGTGATTTTTACAGTAGTATTGTAAACCAAGCAAAAATCATAGAATCATTGATTGGTTTGAGTTGGAAGAGACCTTTATAGATCATCTAGTCCAACTCCCCTGCAATAAGCTGGGATATCTTCAACTAGATCAGGTTGCTCAGAGCCCCATCCAAACTGGACTTGAATGTTTTGAGGTATGAGGCATCTACCACTTCTCTGGACAACCTGTTTCAGTGTCTCACCACTATCACTGTAAAAAATTTCTTCCTTATATCTAGTCTGAATGTACCCTCTTTTGGTTTAAAACCATTACCCATTGTCCTATCACTACAAGCCCTATTAAAAGGTCTGTCCCCTTTAAGTATTGAAAGGCTGCCATAATGTCTCCCTGGAGCCTTCTTTTCTCCAGGCTGAACAATTCCAACTGTCTCAGCCTTTTTTCATAAGATAAGTGTTCCAGCCCTCTCGTAACTGTTGTGGCTCTTCTCTGGACCCACTCCAACAGGTCCATGTCTTTCTTCTGCTGAGAACTCCAGAGCTAGATTCAGTACTCCAGGTGGGATTTCAACAGATCGGAGTAGAGGTGCAGAATTACTTCTCTCAACCTGCTGAAAATCACTATATCTGGAGAACTTCTCCAAAATTTCTATTCCCAATGGGTTTATAACAGTCTTCTTATGCAGATTCCTCCTGGCTTCGCAGGTTTCTCCAGATCTCTCCTGTGAATTAACTTTTCCAAGCATAGCAACAAACTCCTGCTCATGTAGTTACCATTCTGGACAGAGTCACATTGCACAGAGTTGGTTGTTTACACAGTACAATAAATTCCAGCTTTAGTATGATTTGTGTAAAGCAAAATACAGAAGTCAAAGGGTACTGTTCAGTTCAAGATAGAGCAAACTAAGTGAGAAAATGGCAAATTCTACACTTAGTTGGCAACAATTTAGTTAATTTTCTAGTCTTGCTAACAAAAAAGGATTTGAGACATCAAGAAACAATTTTAATTAAGCAATCCCATAGATATCACAGGGCTTATATAAATGTGATCAGGATGTTTAGTTGTCTAAAACAAGAAAGCTGAGATCCATTGATGTTGCTGCACATTCTTTTAGAAAGATGGTAGCAAATTAAATAAGAGTGTAGCAAATTAAACTTGCAAAACATGACCACAGTCCATTTCTGTACCATCTTCCATCATGCTGACTGCTTGTTGAGGTTTATTACTATGCTACTGCTTCTGTGTTGAGTTCTGGTTCATTAACTTAAGTAACAGAATATCCAAACAAGCAAGGTAAATTGCTGCCTTTACACTGTCTGTAACCAGACATGGCACATTATTCATTTAGAATGGTCAAGAAACTAAAAAAACCCTAAAGTCTAATGTATTAGAGCTACTTGACAGAATTTATTGGCTGTCTTGGCTCAGCTCTTCAGGCATCTTCTACACTGATAACTAATTCCAAAGTCACTGTCCTGATATCAGTTACAAACACATTTCCTATGCTCCTTCTGCCTCTGCTCTTCTGACTATTTTTGGCTGCTAACCTTTTCAAGCTGGATTTCTGTTATCTGGAAGGGGGCAGACTACAGCTCATCTTCTGAAATATGAATAAACCCGCTGTTTAATTGATAGCTCTTTTCCTGGTGTTGACAGAGAGAGTGCAAATTTGGAAACAGAATAGGAAGCTGTAACTTTTGTATGGTGTAAAAAATGCTTTTAAATGTTCTCAGCATTTGTATTAAATAAGAGAATAAATATATTTTTATATTGCAATAGAAGAAAACTCTCTAAAACATAAAAGATGCTCCATAGTAGAAGTCCCAGACCAAATCTCAAAAAACTGTTAAAAATTCATGTATGATTTAAATTATTTTGAAAGTTATATAGCTAGCTTCTTACTCATATTTTTGATCATGTTGCTGGCTGATTTTTATAGCTTCCGACAGGTTTTCAACAGCTTGAGATAACTTGTTATTGCCTGCTTCAGTTATCTGGCGTTCTACCTTACCTAAGAGAGAAATACAGAAAGTAGATTTTCAAGATATTATTAATTTTTTTTCTGTAAGATGTGATCTGTTTTTCCATCCAGGAAAGTTGAACAACATAGTATATTATCTATTCTCCTCCTGATAAGCAAAATCTATTCCAGTTTGTTTAAAAGTTAATGCTTGTATAACAATTCTCTTCATAGAGTAGCTAAAATAATTAAATTTGGGAATCATAATGACCCCTAGCATTTACTGATCCTGACTAGCAGACCAGTGGACGTGGAGGAGTTAATGCACAACCACAGGCCTATGCTGTGCTGTGCTGCACATATAGTGTGGCCTTCAAGTCTATTTTGTGGTGTGCACATCCCATAGCTACAGGATAAATGTAGCCAGCTTGCACCTGTTTGCAGCATCTTCTCAGTACCAGTGATTACACCACCTGCCCTTTCTGTAAAAGTGAAGCAGGAGGTTCTTATGTGAATATGCTTTTTGTTTGACAGAGGAAATGATGAATATAATTGTTTTCTCTTAAGAAAGTCCTCTAACAGCTCAAAAGACCAAAATGAGGCAAGCTTTCCACAGACAGGATCTGCCTGTTGTGCTACCTTCTAACTGGAAGTGTTTCAGTACTGTACAACTGAGGGTTCTCAGCCTCTGCAGGAATATAAGATTATTTACACTATCTCCTTTTTCTTTTATAGTGTTAACTCCAATAAATGGCATTTTAAGATATACATCAGAGAGTCTTGAACGTCTTTCTGGCTGGGATCCTCACAAGCCAACACCCTCTGGTGCAAAATAAAATGTCCTTAATTTCATTGGCTACACCTTTTGATCCCCAACAACATATAGATGAAAGAAGTTCTATTGCAGTTTTGAAATTATTTGTAGCATAATGCACTCTGAACTATGCTGGTGTGATACTAAAAACAGGAGAGAGATCTGCAGCTAGACAGTGATAAATATCCAATTCTGTTCTAGATTTACAGTAAAATGTCTCCATTTTATGAGAGGCCACATGCATAACATTGCCTAGGAAGGCAGTCATGATGAACAAACAGGTTTATTTACCTATCTGAAAAAGGAGTTCAGCTTCCATGTCTAATTTTTTGGTTGCAGATGCTCTGCAAAGTTTCAATGCTGATTCTAATTGTCTGAGAGCATGTAGCCATTGCAACGGATCTCCTCTTGCAGCTGTACAAGCTACTTTTTCAGCTAATGTGTGTCCTAAAGGAAAACAAAACAGTTCTTCGTAAATTATTTAATAGACAACCAATTTATGCAAAAGAAAGCAAATTCCTTAGAATAAATGCTGTTATCTACTTACTGTTACAATTTAATTCCCAAACATTCAAGTGATTGATGGATATAAATACAGAACTATAATGTCATTTCACTACTTTATGATGCCATTGAGGTTTACCTCGTAAAGAAGCCCAAGTTACACAAATCTACCCTTGCGCAAACTAAATGGAAAGACTAGCAGTAAGCCACTTCATAACTTCATTTGACCTGGCAAATGTTGTTATGGTTGTAGCCAAATGTAAACCTCTCTGAGCATTCCAAAATTCCCAAATTCCTTTTGTACTAACAATTTATAAAGGCTTCTTTGATGTATTGCATACCTCTTATAGTGTACTTCCCAATATTCATCTGTATTCCTAGGCTCTTCCTAAAAATGTGGATTCAGAAACATGAACAGGCCAAATACAATCATTACTCTGACAAGCAGTAAAGCAGAATAAAAGAGTGAATCTTCAGAGCAAACCAGGTGGTATCAAAGACCTGAGAGCCACAGCAGTTATATTTTCAGAGTGTTTACTTTGGACTACCTCTAGTCTAATCCTAAGACCTGAATACAAAGTAGTGGTTGGAATGCACCAATGTGGTTTTGGAGCATATCTTTCTGAAAAAGAATCCAGAATACACTGAGGCTGCTCCACAATATGTACTAAAGTGCAGTAAGTGAATTCTAGATTTTGTAATCTATTATAAATCAGATTTACTGCAAACTAAGTTTAGCAGAAGGAACATGGAGACAGTATCCCTTTCCCTATATTTGATGTACAGGAACAAATCTCAGACAGATCTTCAAGGTTATCTTCTGTTAGTATTCAACATATTTTCTAGCTTCTATATAAAGAAAACTTATCAAGAAAAGTTGTTAAATTAAAGAGGGGCAATGATAACAGATAGTATTTATTTTATTAGGATAGAGAAATAGCACTTAAAAAAGTTAAAGTTCCCATTAGTTTCATCAAGCTATAACGTTAACATTTAAGTCTTTGTTGATTATATAGTTTCTGTAATTGTACCTTGCTTATGCACACTGCGTGGACCCAAACAAGCATCTACTGTTGGTTTTCAAAATACTTTATTTGTATAATGAAAACAGTGATTTATTACTTTTACTTCTGATGCATCAGTTTATCTGCTGTTGCATAAAATATGAAAGAAAATTAGCTAAAACTTAAAAATAACAATGACTTGCATTTTTCTTACCAATTTTCATTTTGACTTGGGCTAGCAAGTTAATATGTGGCAGGTAGATATTTTTTGTAGGTAAGACCAGGCAAGTCAATGTACTATCTTCTGTTTGTCGTTCAATGGGTTGGCCACAAGCAAGAATCTATGAAAAGAGTATGCTTAGTAAAATCAAGTTGCAGATAGCAAATTAAATAGCAGTTTGAAAAAGTAAGTTAGGTATTGCAAAACCCTGGAACTCAAATCTGTCTTGTAAAAGAGCATCAGAAAAAGACTCGATATGCCTGAACTCCTTTACTTTAGTTTATACTTGGATTGCAGAGGACTCTGGTGATGCAAATGAACAATTTCAATGAACCCTTGATTGAATTTAATAATGTTAGTCTTTGGTTTTTAAAAGAAAACTCCCTCAAATCAGTCTTTAAGAAATAGATCTCACAATTAACTCGAGCCCTAGAAAGAAACTGTCATTTCTACAAAGAAATCTGACATTCAACAAAAGCCACAAAAGAAAAAGAAAATAGCATGTATGGACCAGTCAAACTTTTCATTCATGCAGATAACACGATGCAGACATGCTGTAAAGTGTCAAGTCTCTTGACAGCTAGCAAGTCTCACAACTGGAAGTTTGAGTCTGAAGTGATTAATATGATTCTTTACTATTTAGGGAAATAAATACTTCAATGGATTACATTTCTGTTTAAGAAAATATAAGGAAAGAGTTGTATAAAAACTTTTCTCTGTTAACTGTATCAAGAACATATATATGTATATGTATGTAGAAGTATATATGTATTTTGAGATTACAAAATAGGTAAATGGTTTAGTACTATACACACCTCTCACAGATTTCATGTCCTTAATTTTTTTTTGTTTCATATTTAAATTTTTACATGGAAATTATTTCTTCATACCAATTGTAACAATCTGTCTATCTAAAACATCGTGCTACTTTACATAGATTGTCCTGATTCAAATTATTCTAAGACACAAAGCTAAATTCTTAAACTTGGACGCTCAAGAGTTAAGAATTTAATGAGATGTACATCCTCCATGAGGTGTTGAGTATGAACATGTGCCTCATTTCAAATGGGAAAACTGAGTGTTCTGCATTTCTTCAAAATTCAAACTACATGTTTCAGTTTTCACATCTGGATGTGCATTTTGGAAGCATTCAATATTTTTAAATTGTGTCAATATACCAGACTACATACGTGAATATGCATCATGAGTATGGATAAATAACTCTGGTCAAATGAATTACCTCTTTACATTATTCTAATCTTGGTAAAACTGAAGTGATCAGTTAATAATAATAGCCCTTTTTAATAAATTGTTAAAATAACTTCCAGAATAGATAATTAAGATTGTTGGAAGGATTTGCAAATGCTGTGTAAATCATCAACATATACTCACTGCTTTAATCGTAAGCTCATGTGCCAAAACAAGTAAGTTTAATGGTTCCACTGAAGAAGAGCAATGTTCTGTATCCTCTACTATTTGCAGTGGTAGTATGTCTGCCAGCAGAAGCATACTTTTCACAAGAGTCAAAGAAGCTGGAGGGGAAATGAATGTATCCTCTTGGAGTAAACCGATGATATTCTGTTTGGACATAGAAAACATAAACCAAAGTAGTTACTACTTTTCTTGTCTATGAGGACAAATCACAGACATTGAAAAAAAATCTATTTTACAGGCAATATTTCAAGCTTATTTAATGCTGCCATCAGCTGTTCTAACTACACGAAAAATGCATCAAAGAAAAGTGAACAGTTTCTCCTTTGTGCTCAAACCTGCAAAAGAAGTTTAATGCCTTCCATGGGACGTTTGTCTTGCAGGTCAAGAATAGCAGCTTGTACCATAATTTCAGCCTGAGTCTCAATATCACCAAAGGCTTCTGCCTCTAGTATTACTTCTTTTATCACACTTCTGCGCTCACCCACATCATTTTCTAAAAGAAAAGAATATATGAATAGTAAAAGTACAATAGAAAAGACTTTATTGTGCCTTCTAGCATTCTTAAGAAGTAACTTCTACACTCAAATGTTACAGAAAAATATGACATTATAGATTCCACACTTATAATTTCATCAATTCTTTGTCAAATTTACTTTTAAAAGAAAGAAAAGCCACTTAGTTTCTAAACTGCACTCTGTTTAAGTTCATCCAAATGCATGCTTTATATGTAAGCCACCAGCATAAATAATAAGATATTGTACCCTACATATTTAAAAATCTGATTTTAGTTAGAATTCCAAAATAGTAACAGCCTTCACAGGAATTATCCAGAAGTGATTAAATAAGAGTTTGACTACAGACTTAGACTGTGACTTTGATACTTGAGGTGAGCATCAGAGTTTAAGTTCATAGAGCTAAGGAATGAAAAATATTTTATTCATAACCAAACTACAATAAATGTATTTTGTAACATCTCACCTAAATTCTTTTTAAAATAATCTATTTAGGAGCTATATAGGAACATGTCATTTATCAGAGATACAAAAAGTGAAAAGAACTTTGAGACTTTTATAACTAGAAGTGCTTAGCAACATCATTCTTTAAAACAAGCATACTTTCTTAATTACACTAGAACATTTGAAACTTTTACACAAAAGTGGTTTATTGAAAGATAATGACCATTAAATGAAAATTAATATAATACTGTTTGTTTCCATTATCTAGGGAGAGACCATGCACAGAAATATATTTTCCTTATTGGACTGGATGAATTTAATATAAATAATTCTTCAGTGATAATACAGCCGCAGAATTAATGTTGTACCATAAATTTTTTATTTATGAATAAGAATTGTGTCTGAATAGTCTCACTTGTTCATTATAATTCAAAAATCTAAACCAAAAAAGAGTAATACCTTTCATATTACCAACACCATGTATCTGTGCTACCAGTGCAGTCACTAACATCATACGACACCTCAGCCACAAGCGCACATTCATATGGTCTCGTGCTATTTCACTACGAGGCAGCCAAACATCTTCAGTTTTGGAGTCCTAATAATTTTCAAAAGCAAGAAAAATGTTACTTTCTGAGTCACATAGTTTACTACAAACAAGGCAGCAGGGCAGCATCAGTCTAAAATAAATCAAATTAATACAAATATATCACAAATAATAACATTCTAAACAAAAGTTGATTTGAAGGTTAACTACATATTTTTAATAACAGGAGAACATTTATTATTTAAATTTTATATATACATGTAAATAATTTTAACAATTGGAAATTAAACAAGTTTTTATGTGAGACTAAATAAATATAACCATATAATATGTTTTTTATGGAGAATAACTTTAACAGTTTGTATTTTATTCTCCTCAAACAGGAACATTACACAAAATTCTAAGGCACATAGAAGTCTAATTGTAGAGCAGGAGCAATATCAATTTCTGGTACCTTACTAGTGACTACAAAGAAATTTTTATTTTTGATTTCTAGTTTTCTGTGTTTCTGGTGCTTAGAAACAAATATTAGTGTAATGTAGTACTAGAAGTGTTTGTGAGAATTCTCAGCTCAACTCACTATGCCATCTTCACACATTATAAACAGTCTTTCTATTACTAAAATTCTACAGTCCATATTCTACAATTTGTTTCAGCAAGCAATCAATGGAAAATGCACCACCTGCATTTTCCGTTTACAAAAAATCATCACCACTGACTTGCATTGATGCAAATGAGGAAAAAATATCGATAGCTCAGTTACTGTCAACAGGAAGGTCCTAAGAAAACCTAGAAGCAAGTGCAAAGAGACAGAAGACCTTGATATGCAACAGAGACAGAAAATAATTACATTGCATGCAAGAAAGTCCAGTCTCATTATGCATTATTCATTACAAAATCTGACCTCACTGCTTAATTGCTCTGTCCACGTGAGTCAGTTTGACTCACTGTGGTGTCTGACCAACAGGCTTTGCACATAGGCTTCCAAAGCACACGTCAGTATCCCTGTGTGTCAGACAACAGAAGTCAGCTGAAATCCTGCTCGAAGCAGAACACAGTAATGGTGTGAACTGGTCAGTCTGTCTGTTCAAAAGGGAATAATCTGAAGTAGGTTTTCAATAGAAAAACTTAAAATACCTTAACTGAATAATGTAAGATTTTCACCTGATAGTTATTTTTTACACTTCCTGGTTGTCTGGGGGCTTTTAAACAAAAAGAGATTTTTCAGTACTGCCATTTGAGAGTATACAAACAAAAACTGTATTTCCTAACCACATACAAATTATAATGATGATTACAGACACATTGAGTACACCTTAGGCAATCAGGTACCTGAAGCATGTCAAAGATCATTTTTTCCCCAGGTTAATGGTAAATGCAAACAACTCCTATGTTCTAGTATTATGAAAATCACTCAACACTTAATACAAGACTTCATATACTAAGAAAGATTATTTTAAAACAAATATCCACACATACCAAACACTCCCGTTCATCCTTTTCTTCTTGAAAATGTGTCACTTCCATCCTAAAAATCTTTGCATCTTGGAGAAGTCGAATTGCAGAGAAAGCCAAAGCAACACTGTGATACAGAGCAATATTATTTAAAAATACTAATTATTTTTGCCACTTTGTGCCTTTTTTAAAATAGATACTTCATTTTTTACTATTTCAGAGATGTAAATCAGCAGTTATAGATTTTTGCTTCAGTAGAACAAAAAATTGCACTCAGACTATTTTCTGAATTTGTAAGTACTGCATTATGAAACTGAGAAAGTAAAAGAAGTAGTTTTGTCTTAACCAAATAATAACAAATAAACTAATACATATCATATTCTGTTGGAGCAATCAAAACAGAACTCTATTATAACTTTCAATCACACACAGAGTCATAGAATCATTTTGTCTGGAAGAGACCTTTAAGATCATCAAATCCAACTGTTAGATCTAGTCCAACCACTAGACCAAGACTGATGATGGCACATCTGTCTTCGGGGATGGGTTCTTAGAAATTAGAATATGTAAAAATACTGAAAACGACAATATATATTAGGAGAGTTCTGTATCTCAACCACAACTGGAAAGGTAAGGTAACACCTTCCTCCTTAAAGCCTTTCCAGGCTATATGTTAATCTCTCTATTAAATGCACATGGCCAAATACCCACAGGATCCCAGTAAACACCAAAAATTGACCTAGGTGCTGTCCTGGCAAAACCTCATCAGTAAGCAATCACATGGTAATCACTGCCCCTCCCTTCCCCCGCCATAGTCCTAAATCCTTTTCTGGAGTTCACTCTGAAAAGCATCTAGAAAGATACAGATACCATTAGGACTGGTGCAGCATTCAACACCACATGTAAAAAAATGGGCTGGGATCTCAAAATATTGTCAGGTTTCTTGAAATGTTGACTACTGGGGTTTTTTTCCTTTTGTGCTGTCTTTTTAAAGCTCTCAGATATACATTTTTATACATGTAATGAAAATGGAACAGTGTAACAGCAAACTTTTAAATACAATTATTTTTGTGCTATGAAGACACCTGCAAAGCCATCATAGTTAGAAGATCTTTTTCATAACAGGATATTGTCCAGAGAACACGCTACCCAAAATATTCTGAGAACTGCCAAAATCAATGCCTATTTGAATTGGTTTTCCATCTCTAATTGCACATTTTCCTCTACATCTGTAAATCTCTACTTTCCTACCTCTTCTCTAAAACATTTTTTAGTTTAGTGTGTTTTGTGGGGGTTTTTTGGTTTTGGTTGGTTGGTTGGTTGGTGGTTTTTTTACAATTCTACTTATTCTCAGCCCATAGAAAGATTTTTTTTTTTTAATAATTGAAAAGTACCAGAGAGTATTCCTACCTCACCACTTAAAAGATATTTCAACAGATTAATTGTTCCAAATGTAATCACAAATGTTCCAAACCATAAGTTCTCACCTATGCTGTTTTTTTACACAGAGAGACTGTTTTTATATAGAGACTGGCTGCTATGAAGCATATGAAAAAAAAAGGAAGTCCTTGTTAGACAGCTGGAACACTGTAAAGAGCTATTAATGCAAGAGAGATTCAAGGTCTGTGTGAATTTACTACTTTTAAGGTGTTCTGGACTAATCTTTGCAAAGGCACAAGATCTTGCACAAAGAAGTCTGAACAAGAGCTGAACTACTAAATTACTCACATTATTCTGACAACATATATCTAACCCCAGGATGGATAACCTCCAGAGATAAGAGGGTAGTTAAAGTCTTCCTGTCATTTCTGATTCTATCCTGCTTGCTGTTTTTGTGACACAGAACTGGATGGATTACACCAATTCAGCACAAATAGACCCCAAAGTAACAATGAGAAAGAAAGCAGTTAATATCTTGCCTTTTACCTCTCAGAATTCAATCCTTATGAATCTCCTTCATCATCCTTTTACCCCAGTTTTATTCAACAAAATGAAAACAGAATAAATCAATGTTGAATTTGATGATAAGTTTCTTTCTAGCAATGGAAAAGGTGAAACAGAATTTGCTTATTAAAGCAAACAGACAGTAAGGATAATTCAATGAAATATTCCAACTGCTTTTCTTTCTTTTTTTTAAGAGTTCTCCCCTGAAACCAGGCGTCAAAGTTAAAATTACAGCAAAACCTGGCTTTTTTCAAAACATTGTGTGAGATGCTACGTTGGAGAAGGTACAGCGCCTAAGAGTATATAGGTTTTTAAGAAATATCAACCTAACTTCCTGAACAACACTGCCTCCAGTTAACTGCTGTTGTCAACATTTAGCAATTCTGAAAATGAGGCTATTTTTACCTACATGCTTACATAAAAATGGCATAAGTAAAAGATAGGCCACAAGCCCAAAGACTCATATATGTATTGGTTTAAACAGTAATTTATTCACATAAACAGACCAAGGCACATTTAGGTAATTAGAAAGCTCACATTCTTAGGACAGACACCATGTAAGTACTCTCCTTCAGATCAATGGAATTAGTCCTATACATAAACTTATTCTGAGGCATACATTTTTTTGCAAGGCAGAAGGTGTAATGTAGAAGCTTCCCTTGATGAAATTTTTGTGACCCTCTTCTGCTGTCAACACGAGTGATGTGTCTATATATTTCTCCTGACAAAATACACATCCTTTTATCAGCTGAATCAGAAAGTGACAAGATGATCAAAATAGGAAAGTACAGCTGACTATAACAATTTCACCGCTAAGTCATTTTGCCAAAGGAAAAAAAAGATGAATTTCTGTAATATCATGCAAAGTTTGATTTCTAGGCTGGCAGACAGAAAACATTCAGCTGTCTGAAGAAATGTTTCACTTGTATCTGAGGCAGATATATCAGCAGTTGCCATGGATGACAGTGCAATAAAATTGTAAAATAGGTTAAAAAACCCCAAACCTTTACTTTGTTTTTTGATGCCTTTTTTTTTTCCTGCTGCTGACCACCACCAATATATAAGGCACATTAAACATCCATCAAAAATTTGAGAGTCACAAAAAGTGATCCATAAAATGCTTGACATCCATTGAAGTCCTTGATATTTGACAAAAAGTTTCTTCAATCTAAGACAATTTATAAACCAACAGAGAAACTAGACTCTAGGATACAACTGCATGGCAAAATAAAGGGTCCTGCACTGAAAATGGGTTGCATGCTGGAACCAGTTCAGCAGGGTGAGAAAGTTTGGGACAGAACTTTACTAATGCAGGTTTTCTCAAGCCTAGTATCAAGCCAAGGTTATGCACAAGATATTTCATAAGTCTGCAAATTTCTCCTTGTTTACTAGTATTGTATTTTATAAAATCCATGACACTCAAAAGCATGATGAGGTCACTGCCCAGTGATTGGTTGATTTTTCTTTAACAATTTATGGTGAATTAATCTAATTCAAAAGACACTGAAATAGACATATTTCATGATGAGAAATGTCCAAAAACAGCCTACAAGTTCTCACTTCACACCTTGACTAATGACATCACTACTCAATCACAGAATCACAGAATATGCTGAGTAGGAAGGGACTCACAAGCATGCTCAAGTCCAACCCTTAGCCCTGCACAGGACCATTCCCAAGTGTCACACCATGTGCCTGAGAGTATCATCCAAATGCTTCTTGAACTCTTTCAGCCTTGGTCATGTGACCACTTCCCTGGGGAGCCTGTTCTAGTGCCCAACCACTCTCTGGGTGAAGAATCTTTTTCTAATATCTAACCTAAACCTCCCCTGACACAACTTCAGGCCATTCCCTCGGGTCCTATCATCAGTCACCACAGAGAAGAGATCGGTGCCTGGCCCTCCTCTTCCCCTCATGAGGAAGTTGTAGACTGCAATGAGGTCTCCCCTCAGTCTCCTCTTCTCCAGACTGAACAGACCAAGTGACCTCAGTCGCTCCTCATACGGCTTTCCCTCAAAGCCCTTCACCATCTTCATTGCCCTCCTTTGGACACTCTCTAACAGCTTAATATCTTTCTTATATTGCAGTGCCCAAAACTGCACACAATGTTCAAGGTGAGGCTGCATCAGTGCAGAGCAGAGCGGGACAATCCCCTCCCTCAACCGGCTGGTGATGCTTTGCCTGATGCCCCCAGGACAGGTTGGCCCTCCTGGCTGCCAGGGCACTGCTGACTCATATTCAACTTCCCATTGACCAGGACCCCCATGTCCCTTTCTGTGGCACTGCTTTCCAGCATCTCATTCCCCAGTCTGTATGTACATCCAGGGCTGCCCCATCCCAGGTGCAGAATCTGGCACTTCCCCTTGTTGAACTTCATATGGTTGGCGATTGCCCAGTCCTTTGATTTGTCAAGGTCTCTTTGCAGGGTTTCTGTGCCTTCAAGGGAGTCAAGAGCTCCTCCCAGTTTTGTATCATCTGCAAACTTGCTTATATCCCTTCCAGTCCTGCATCCAAGTCATTTATGAAGATGTTGAAGAGCACAGGGCCTGAGATGGAGCCCTGTGGAACCCCACTAGTGACAGGTCTCCAGTCTGATGTCACCCCATTCACTATTTACCCTCTGTGCTCCACCCGTGAGCCAATTGCTCACCCATGGCATGATGTGTTTATCCAGTTGTGTGCTGGACATTTTGTCCAGAAGGTTTCTGTGAGAGACAGAATCGAAAGCTTTACTGAAATCCAAAAAGATTACATCAGCTGGCTTCCCCTGATCAACCAGGTGGGTTACCTTGTCATAAAAGGAAATCAGGTTTGATAAGCAGGACATTCCTCTCATGAAGCTGTGCTGGCTGTGACTGATCTATCCTGTCTTTCAGGTCTTTTTCAATACTTTCCAGAATAATCTTCTCCATAACTTTACCAGGCACTGAAGTGAGACTGATAGGCCTGTAGTTTTCAGGGTCCTCTTTCTTGACCATCTTGAAAATCAGGACGTTTGCCAGCTTCCAGTCAGCTGGGACCTCTCCAGATTACCCAGACTGCTCAAAAATAACTGAAAGAGATTCTACGATGACATCAGCCAGCTCTTTGAGGATTCTGGGATGAATCCCATCAGGCCACATAGATTTGTAGGGATCCAGCTGGAGCAGCAGACTTCACACAATTTCAGGGTTGAGTTGGAGTACAGTCCTAATATCTGAACTTGCAGGAAACTGCTGTCTTTTAAAATAACATAAACAAAACCTGAGTGAAAGAGCATGCTGTAGACTGTTACTGTTCTCAGTTCAGTAGTCTATACAGCACTGTGAAGCTCCTGTTAATTTTTACTTTTTTTTGCCATATGATAGCAACACAAAAGAAATTGTGCTATTTTAAAGGTATTGATTTGGAGGTTTGTTTATTCACCTAAGGGAGCTGAGAGAAGAAAGGTGGTTTGTTTTGTCATAGAATAAAACACTTTTTTTTTAGTTGGGTAAAAAGTCATACTGAGACTAATTTATCTATTGGCCTGATACTACTTCATCTGTAGGAGTGTTAAGCAATCTTCATCACTACTGCAACAATAAAAAAAGGTTAATTTTTCTTTTTATTTGATGTTTACTCTGATATAAGATTTATTGTACCAACTCTGGTGTGTTTAGTCAGATTAGACCTAGAAAAAATTACAAATACTGATTACATTGTACCTAATCTCAATATAGTCTGGCAGGTGATAGTGCTGCATCTCTGTATACTGCATCTGTAGTTAGCCATTTGTATCCTCAAAATTTTTCCATCTAATAAAAAATTAGATAAAAAGAGCCTCGCGCTAATAAAAATGATGTATTGTTAAAATACTATCCTTCTGACACAGATTACTATAAAATTACAGGTATACTAAACAGAAGAATCTTCCTAGCTAAAAGATCCAAACAGTGTTTAGAATGCAACATCTACAAAGACTTAATATATTTCTTTATGTCCAATATATCAAAGAAAATCAGTTTTTCTCTCATTAAATTCTCCAAAAGAAATCAGAATCTAAAAAAAAAAATCACAGAATTTGGGAATTGTAATTTGGGGAAAAGATCAGGCAGATCCTGTAAATACAACAGTATTTTACATACTATCACTAACTATATAATTAATGCCTGCTAAAAGCTACTCTAATATGTTAAAGGTTGCATCAATGGTTTTCAATCACGTTATTTAAAAAATATAATTTTGACATTTTAATTTGAAACCAATAAGTACATCAAGAAGAAATGTTCTTCAGAACAGTAGCACAGGGCATTCTAGAACAAAGTAGAATTCAGTAGTTCAGAGATAACATTAGTGCTCTCTTGTACACTTTAAAATTATAAGAAAATGCATGACCTAACACACCCAGACTTTAACAAAAACAGTGAACATTGTAACCTTTTACTTGTTTTTATATAACACTGTGTCACAAAAACAGCTCACAGAGAAATCATATAGATGATCACAGTTTAAAAAGTAAAATAAAACAATAATGAAAAGATTAAATGCCTGTGTATCTTACATTTGTAAATATAATAATGAAGTTTTTACAGATAACTATTAAGATTTAGAATAATAATATAGAAATAAAGAATTTTTTTAAAAAATCTTTAGTAGTCAAGACTGTGCAAGATAAAGTTGTTCATAACATTACTTACCTGAAAGCTGCTTGATGCCTTTGCTGAGAAATATAAGCAAGCTCAAGTTTGGCCTCAATAAGAGCCTCTAAATCTTCTGCAGAATACCGAGATGTGTTCCCATCATATTTTTCCTGTATGTTCTGTACAAGATGGCTAAGACTTTCTTCAGCTTCTGTCAATAAAATCCCCTAGAGAAGAACACGGTGTTGTATGATTTCAAAAAATAAAGAAATAAAAAATTTCTTTGAAAGTTTTTTTTTTTTATAGCCTGCTATCACCGCACCTTAAAATAAATCAACTTAAATGCAATATGCCCTTTCTATAAATGGGGTGGCTGTGTGTGGAATTTTGCTTTTCTTAGGTTTATAGAATTACTGTCTTCAAACAGCAACATCTTAACTGTACCTGTATTATTTATTGCCTGCATATTTTAAGGCTCAGTAATATTAATCACTAATTTCCCATTCTTTATCTAATAGCTATACTTGATAATTTTATACTATACTACTAGCTATGCTTCATAATTTTAAGCAATAAAATACAGTATTAAAAACAACATTAAAGATGCTGCAAGAAGTATTGCATGCTTTACTAGCTATACTTTGACATATCGTTGAGTGCAGTATATATCCTGAAAGCTCAACTATAACTTACAGTCTTTCTTATAAACAAAGATGTAAGAAGCTGTGAAAAACAAATCTAAAAAGAAGTTAATTATGAAGAAAAGCTCAACTGTGGAGCTTTAAGCAGAATTAAAAATTAATTTAAAGGTCTGTATCATCCAATACCTTTTTTTGATCAGTTTCATCAATGAATTCAGAGCTCTACTTCAAAACAACAAAACAAATACAACAACAAAAAACCAACCAAACAAAAAAACAAATCAAAACAAAAAACCAAAACCAAACCAAACAAAAAAAAAACCACAACAAAACCCCCCCAAAAGAATAGAACCATTAAAGAAAAATCAGAAGGGTAAGAAATATCTCTTATATCAGCCCTATAAAAATTAAATTATTATTTCTATTTTAGTTATTTTCAAGATGTTATTTTCAAGTTATACTAAAACTTTCAAGTTTTTAGTTATGACCTATACCAACTGCAATACAAAATCATCTTCCATTCTCCAGATGTATTTTGTGCATTACTTTGCTTGTAACAATGGCCAAAGTAGATACTCCCAAGACCCCTTGGAAATAAGAGTATGTCAGTCCTTAATTTTGGTTTTTTTGTGATGTGAAACTGCCAAACATAAAGTTTACAATTAAACAAAAAAAATACAACCAAACAAAACCCTTTCAAACAAAGAAGCTAATAAGCTGTGGTATATTTTCTTCAAAATAAAGTATCAGAAAGAACAACACGAAAAATTTGAGACATTGCACATATGGTAGAGAATGGTTTTCCATTTATTTGTAGAGCATACTGCACCATCAAAGAGTCTCTGACATTCTACAGGTGGCATCTTCTGAAAGGAGATGATTTTATCTTGAAATCCCATTCAGTCTTTACCCTTTATGCTCTATCATACTATATCAGTCATATTGAGATCTGATTGTAAAAATATTTCCCATCATTTCAAAAAACTGCACCAAACAATCAACATTTCATGCACACCTAGTAAGATTACAGTCAGATTAGAAACAGAAATTTCTAGTCCCCTCATTCATACCATTCTCTCATCATAATTTCTGTTACATTGAAAGCTTAGCATGTTTTTGGCAAAATTTGCAGTTTCTTAATCCTTTTTTCCTAAAAACCAAAATTACCTTCAGCATGGCCATATTTAATTCATCTTTACAGTCAACAAGCTGCACCATGGTGTCTCTTTGTTCCTTTTGTCTTGAATTCTGATCAGCATCAACTGTCAAATACAGATAAAATACAGATAACAGACACAGAACCAAAGCATTCTCAGTAATTTGAAGAATATGGTCCTTTTCTCTCTACCTACAATGGGGACTTGCAATATCAAAATAAGTAAGTAATAATGGAATACAACTCTAATATTAGAGACACTAGCTAAAAAAATCTTGACAAACCTTAATGCTTATTACTTCAATAATGACTGGGTTTTTAGCAATATTTAATATTAATATTGCTCATAATATGACATTGATTCATATGCAGTTAAAAGCAGAAAAAACATGCTTGAAACAAGTTGCAGAATAAATGTGCTTTTCCACCATCCTTATAATTACCTTTTATTTTTGATGCTGCAGTTTTGCTTGGCTCCATCAAGCTGTTGTCGTCACCAGAATATACATGTTTTTCAACTTTTGCAGGTATATTATTTATTGTGGCAGAAAGACAAATAATGAAATGCATTTTGACTAAGGTTAATTTATTCATAATTTGTTGGTTGCACAGTGGCGCCATTGTTAAAGATAGACTCCAATTAAATATGTCTTCCAGTACCTACAACAAAGTTAGCAATTCTGAAATTACATATGTTACATTTTTCTTCAGCAAGACATATTCTGCTTCTATTAATAATTACACTTATCAACAACTAACATGAATAACATTAGTAATATGTTCTGTTCTGAATAAGTTGCTGGTTTTCTTTCCAAACTTCACCCCTTAGTAGCACTTGTTACAGTTTCAGTGATCAGTTTTTCAGCAGAAGGTACATTTATGAAGCTACAGCTCTTACTCTGTGAGAGTTCTAGTTTTCTGCATTGTAGGTAAATTTGTAGTTCAGAAATCTCAACTCTAAGGAATGTGTTATTACAATTCACCCTATCTAGAAAGATTAAGTAAGGAAAAAAGTCTTTTATGAGACCATTCCAGTGTATTTCATGGAACCTTTTTATTATTCGTTATAGCATTCTTGTTTTATCTCAAGTTTAATATCCTCATTTCAGATTAATAAATTTAGAAGTTGAAATTCTACACAGATCTGGGAAATCATAAGGAAACCAGTAAGAGCCCCACATGTACTGTGAAGTGTTCCAATCAAAAGCTCAGGATAATGCACTACTTCAAAATAAATCTGAAACTGGTGAGATCAAAAGCTGTAAAGATAGACTTCTCATTTCTGTGTTCTAATATCAACTGTTGTAGAAGACACACAAGCTTACTATAAACAAAACAGAGAAAAGTGTATGGGAAAAGTGTAGGGGTTTTAATTTATCAATTTAATGGTACAACTTTTTCACATTCTGCTAAAATTTACACCGCTAACTCAACGGATCTGTGACAAGGTTAATAAAAAGAAATTACTAAAAGAGAAAAACACAAAATAAGTTATGGATGAATATGTGATTTTAAATAAAATGACAAAATGACTGTTCATCAACTGGTTTACACCGTTTTAATTTTTTTGTTCCCCCAGAAATAGACTTCAATTCCCATCTGAATTAGGACAAGTCTGTGAAGACAGCTCTGGTTGATAGAAATGATGACATTAAATGACTGATATTCTCGGTATTTTAGCAGCATAAACACCAGACCTTATATATCACAACAAAATCTGAATCATTCTACTAGTGTTTTGCACAGACAAGTCACAGATTTGTACATATTAGGTCTTCCATATGAAAAATGGTGATAATGGTACTTGCCCCTCCCTTGAGAGGGGTGTCATAAAACTAAAATTTAGGAAATGGTAATTCATTTAGAAGAATATGTTTTCTATTAACTGGGTTTCTTGATAACAAGTAGCGTTTCTGAACTAGATAATCTCTGTCTTAAGCCAGAGAAATAAATATTTATTTATAGCATAAAACTTTTAACTCTTTCAGATTTTTTTACCTGCAAATTTGTAACAGTCATGAGAGATTTTGAGGAGTCAAATTTCTGTAATGCCTGTAAAACAGACAAAACCAAAACTAAGTAATGTGTTAAAATATGAGTATAAAATAAACGAGTTGGCAGAGCAGTGGACAAGGGTAAAGGAAGCAAACATGAAGTCATAGAGATGGGTTAGGAATTCCCTTTTCAGCACTAGTCTCTAATTATCACCAGATTAGAAATACCATAGAAATGTCATTAGAAATACCATATATTGCATATATGGAAAGTGGCTGTACAACCAACTTAAATCCATGTTGCTGTCAAAAGGGGTGTCCTCACCTGTCCCACTAGTCTTCTATCAAACAGAGTCTTAGAATCATTCAGAGGTTGAAAAAGACCTTTAAGATCATCATGTCCAACTGTAAACCTAATCCTGCCAAGTCCCACTAAACCACGTTCCTAAGCACATCTACACATCTTTTAAATGCCTTCAGGGATAGCCACTTCCCTGGGCAGCCTGTTCCAATGCCTGACATCCCTTTTGGTGAAGAAATTTCCCCTACCATTCAATCCAAACTTCACTCGTTGTTCAGTCCAGATCTCTAGTGCTGGCACACATACTTTATGATGTTACCTACCCAAAGGCACCACTCAGATAGGGGAGACCTTGATTACATTCATCCAGGATTAAATCATTAGATTATTTTGGTATGGGCTAGGAAAACAAGGAAAGGATACACCACTGTTAAGGGGAAAGCTTGCCCGATAACCCAACCTGCCTGCACAGGTATGCTCACGGGTAAGACAAAAGTCCAGGTCAATTGTTAACAGTTCCCAATCCTTGTAGCACATCAGCAGCTAGATATTGAGAAAATCAAACTGGTCTGAGGTGATGCGACTGTCCAGGCTCTGAGGGCATCAAGAGATTGCACTGCCCAGCATCTCCTGATGCTGCCCCCACCCTGCCCAGGACCCCATATCAGCCCCCTGGGGCCATCAGTGGGCCAGTCTCCAGCTCCCCACAGCCCTGCCCTACCACAGACCCCCTGAGCTGTTCTCAGCAGACCCAGCAGCCCTGTGCAGCCATCGTGGGGCTGTGTCTGAGCCTGGTTCTTCTCCCCATGCTTGACCCTGACCCCCACCTGCAGGCTGATGTCCTGGCACAGCCCCAACCTGTCTCTGGCCCCAGAGAGGTGCCGCTGGGCTGGGGCTGCTCCAGCTGCCCTTCAGCTGCCCTGCTCCTGGTTGGGGCAGTGGGAGTTCGGCCATTAATGGTGCAAGAACTTTATCCATATTTTTCATATGAATACTTATGAAATCACTTTTTTTTTTACAGTATTATCTGCAATACTCAATGTATAAAAAAGCATATATGTTTCAAAATTGATTTTTTTGTTCCTGTTGTTCAGTGAGAGAAATTAATGTCATTCGGTGTCTACTATTTGACCCATCTATTGAAAGAAATGTAGAAATTTCTTGGGAATATGTAATAACTTGCAGATACAGAGTATGTGCAGTTTCATGAAGAAAATGGAGTGTTCAATGTTATACTTCTCTGGTATACCTTCACTTGTTCAGTTGTTCTGTATCCTTCAGGTATTTTCCATGGAATTCTCTCTCCATAGTTAAGCAAAGATAGTTCATGAAAGGCCTCTGTAAAAAATCCTATATCTGTAAGTACTTTAATCTGTGAAAAAATAAAAAAAATAAATTACCTAACCCATATTAGCATTTCCTGAAAATAATCTAAAACCAATAATACTTTGACAATACCAGTTAGATTCCTTAAAAAAAACCCAAAACCCCACAAATCAATAAGAAAAAAAATTTAAAACAAAACAAACAAGTGAACATTAGTGAAATGACAATTCCACCATGACAGTGATAACAAATCCAAAAGCGAACATTTTAAATAAAAAAAATCACTGATGTTTTGCACTTGAGAAAACATTTAAAAGAAAAGTAGAACAAGATAAAAAATACCAATTAAAAAGTTTGGATTGAGGAAGGAAAACCTTCTCTTCATTAAACAGAGAGTGGAAAGAAATGATGGAAGCACTCAACAGCCTCTGTAGAAAATTAACAGTAAAACTGTATAAATAACTCTGCATACTGCTAAAACTGAGAATATAAATAATAATTGCCTTTAGAAAGTAGTCCTACAACCTGTTCTGCTAAGAAACTAAGCAACAGCTGAACTTCAGAGCATTATTTTTTATAGTAGTGATATATGAAGATTAAATTGACTACATTTAACAAAGAAATGAAAAGCTTATTTGAAATACAATGTGTTGTGAGAAAGTTTATTTGATTACCTTGAAGATTCTCCCTTCAATACATTTAGCTGGGTCCTTACAAATCTCAGAAACAATATATTGGTATAATGTGAACAGTGGTAAAATCTGTAGTAAAATAGTATGTCATCTAGTTATAAACATCATACCGGGTACAATTAGGGAAATACACATTGCAATTGCACATCACAAATACAGAGATAATATGGGATTTCTGCTTTGACTGTCACATATCACCGCTACTTCTCTTATGCTCTATGAAAGATGAATGTGTTAAAAAGTTCTTCAACTGGCTAAAGCTAGCCTTTATACCACCTTATATGCAAGTCATAACATAGCAAGTGAATTTTCTCCAAATTATTCTCTGTGTTCAAGGTGGGGTTTTTTACTACATCATTAGTCAGTAAACCTATTGGAAATAAATCGATATAAGGGATTTCTAAAACTCTCTGCATCTTGATGCCATATTTTTTCAATATATGTAACAGAAGAATAGAATTTTGTAAGATTTATAAAATAAATACATTTAAGTCCTGCAACTCTCTAAGTGAAATTACACCAATTATAAACTAAACTAGATAGTGATGAGGCTTATTGACAAATTTATTTGTATTCATTTCAAAATGAACGTTTTTGTAGGGGTAACTAACAAAAAAAACCCCTAACATTTTAAAATTGAGTTCTATTAAAGTATATCCTTCGAATATCTGAAGGGGGCCTCCAGGGAGAGAGACTCTTTGTCAGGAGCCATAGTGATAGGACAAGGAGTAATGGATACAAACTGAAAGAGCAGAAAATTAGGTTAGATATTAGGGAGAAGTCCTTTACTGTGAGAGTGGAGATGCACTGGAACAGGTTACCCAGGGAGGCTGTGGATGCCTCAGCCCTGACAGTAAGCAAGGCCAGGTTGGATAAGGCCTTGAGTAACCTGGTCTGATGGGAGGTGTCCCTCCCCATGGTAGAGGAGGTTGGGACTAGAAGATCCTTAAAGTCCCTTCCAACCCTCAACATTCTATGATTCTATTATTTATTGTTATATAATATTTCAGAAAAAGATGATTCTTTCCTAACAGATTTATTTGTTATTGAAAATGAAAGAACTTCCAAAATTTAATTATTGCTCAGCTTTTACATTAAAGTTCCACTTTAAAATGCCCCCAAGCTTGGAAAATGCTAAGAGCATTGTTAGATTTTTGGCAAATTCACTTGAAGTTTTCATAATGTAGCTTAACACTTCTGAATTTGGATTACAAATGCTTGAGGCAAATGTTTTAATTGTACCCATACAGTTTCCTACTGATATTTTGAAGTAGTTCAACAAAATTAGTCTTTGAAGTTTCATTTTTAATAAAACTTGAATCTTGATGTATTTTGATTTAAGTGTCAAATCAACTTAGTGCCCACCATCCAAAACATTCCCACACAATAAGCATTCATTGGAAATGAAGCCCTAATCCTGCTAAAACTGCAATTGCTTTGACCATGATCTATGACCTGGATCTATACTCTGCTGGTACAAGTGCAGAAAGAATCAAAAGTGTGCATGGTCACATGAAGCAAGCAGTCAAATTAAGTGTCCCTGCCTCCAGGTAACTGTCTGCTCCTTGATTTTACTTGATCTCCCACAGCAAGAACAATTAGATAAATAAGCTAAATAAGTAAGCTAACTAACGAAGTGAACTTCAGTAAAGCAGGATGGGAAGAAGCAACAATGGGAGGTAAGATAGACAGTTAACCTGAAGTTCCAAAAGAAATCAATCCAACAAATGGCTTGCTGACAAAAAAAGGTGTAACATCTTTCTGCCTCCTCCTATCTCCTCTTCCATCTCTACCACTTAACCTTTTCTTACTCCTCTGCTGCCGGCCATGCGATCTTTCCCCCTTCCCTGGCGTTGGCTCTGCTAGTTGCAGGATCTTGCCACAAGTGCATTCAACTCATTAAAGTGGGAGGAAATCCTTTTTCTGAAGGAGAGTTTTCTGTCATGCTTAGAGTTATTTATAGAGTCACATAATAACGCCTGACATGAAATTCTGTTAGAGCATACAGGATTAAACTAAAACAGAATTGCACCTTTTTCAGTCCTAGTAAGCAATTCAATCTGTTTATTCTAATGCACCTTTGAAAGAAGTTGGATTAAAGTCAAAATGGTCAGACATTGAATGGAGGAAATAAGCACATGATCAGCGTAAGAGGGAAACCATAAAAACGCTGCATACAGAAGAATAACAGAACATGAGAAGGAGAAAGGCAGAAGGGACTTTTATTTACTGAATGTAAAATTAACGAAAGCATTCTGGACATAATGCATTTAAGGTAATCCTCAGTACGGTGTATTTTAAATTGTATATAATAGATTTCCTTTAAAATGCCTAAGCTAAGTGAACCATGTTTTGTCATCTTCCAGAATAAACAAGTTCCCTGGACATCTAAAACTTGTATACCTTGCTCTATCTCAGTGCCACAGAACTAACTATTACAGGTATTTTGCTAGAGGTTCTGAGGAATCTCTTAGGTACACCCACAGAGAAAAGTAAGACTTGTTGTCTTACAAGTAATTTCCAGAGTATGAAAATAATACTTACTATTAAATTTTGTTTTGCACAATGTAGTTCAAACATAAGGAAATCCAGACTTGCAACTACAGTAGAGATATCAGCTCTGTAGCGATCAGAGAACAGGTCAATACCAGGAATAAGAATATTTGTTTCATATTGTACAAAGTCACAATCAGATGTTGGATGTGGAAGAGAAGTTCTAAACAGGGTCTGAAAGTAATAATAAACTATTTGTGAAAAGATGTACAGGTATTAGTGAAATAAACTCCAACTCATAAATGACTTCATAAATGAAACTCCATCAATGCCTTAAGCATCCAGCTGCTTCCAGAAAAATACATGAAAAACCTTTTTAGAAGAAATGCTTTACGTGTGAACTTAATAGAGGAAAAAAAGGCTGTAAATACTCTAAGGACAGTATCTCTCCCATCATTTCTGAGAGAATTGCTGACTGTAAGGCCAGTTAAAATCTAGTTTGACCCTAGTTGCACCTTTAACTAGGTCACTTAGTGCAGCTTATCAGCTAGTGCAGCTTAAATCATACAACTAAAAACAACATGAAATTTAAGGAAATCATTTAAATGTTTCTCCTTTAAAAATGGAGGAGTGCTAGCATTTTATCTGATGCTGGATATTCCTTCCCAATTGTGTTTATTTCGTTGTGATTGGCAATAATATGCTAGAGAAATTTGCATTTACATACTCGGATTTGAGATATTAACAAGCCTAAAGCCTATACCAGAGGTGGAATTTAAATAAGGTTATAAAAGATTTCCAATTCAAAGAACAAATTATGGGCTTGAACTTTGCAAGGTACAGTGACAGTAATTGATTATATTTTTCAAGACAATCACCCTGCAAGCTGCTCCTTCCCAATTAATATCAGACCCACTTCAGTCAAGTTACAATTATTTCAACTGGAACAAATGCTTACTACTATTTCTGTCAAAAGGAGGAATCACCATTATTCAGCTTTGTAATTGTTCAGGATTGCAGTGCTAGAAGTTAGTAAAAATTATCCTTTATCTTTGTTTCCTCAATTTGTGCTCCCTTTGGTGAACTTAAATAGATTTTTAGTGTAGCCTAGCACAGGTCACACAGTTACAATCACAGCACAAGATAGTAGAAAACAGCATTGCTTGGTTTTGGAAGAAGACAGATAACTTCCTGAAGCTGCACTGGGATGAGTCATCATTGATCCAGTACAACTGGCAGAATACATGCTGGTTTTTTTCCTATAGTACTTTAGTTACCAGGATCCTAAAACTTCCATTTAAAAGTAAACCGTAATGCTTTTCTTCTTCTATATTTTTTTCTGGAAGTTTGCAAACTTAATTTTAATGAACATACTTTCTTTGTAGGCAAAACTGGATCATTTTTACTATCCTCTACTTTTAGTGCTAACTTCTTATAGAGCTGAGATTTTAGTATTACAAACTAATATCTTTCAGTGCTAAAAAAGATTCAAAAATTTCTTTTTCTAAAGAGTCTGTGCCCTTGGTTGAAAATTTAAAACAATCTGTGAAGACTCTACAGATCTAAAAGAGAACACTGTGCTGCTGTTGATGTCATTCAGCTCTTCCTGAGCAGAACACTTCAAGAGAAGAAAAATATATTTGACTGTCAAATATTTTAGTCATCTTCACTTTTCAGTATTTCATTATTTCTCTGAGACACTAGCCTCCTATTGAAGTGATAATTTTTAAGCTGTAATACAGGAATACTGTTAAAAAACAAAGAATAAAAACATCGTATCTAATGTGCATAAATCCTCAACTACCTCTGATCTACATTTTTCCTTTACAATCAAAATAAAAAGAAAAATATTTTAACAGAGGGTCATTGAGATTTAAGTTTTAGAAGCAATTTGACAACCTCATGAATTTGAACTGAAATTACATTCTTACCTTAAAAAGTATAGCAGAAAAATAGCAGTATTTTGTTCTTAATCTCATCTGTGCTGTTGTTATATATCTAAAAGTACAACAAATAATAAGAAATATGAATGTGCCCCTCCATATAAATTATTGAAATTCTTTTTTTTAGTCTAATGTAATAATGATACTAACACAATCTAGATGTTTTCCCTACTGGAAAACAGCTACTTGTTCTGTAGATAGGTTCTCAGTAATGCCATGCAAAGAAAGAACCACTTGACCAAAGACATACCTAGACAAAAGTGAGTTGTGAAGATTCTCTTTAAAGAAGAGAACCAGGCAATCTCAATGAAAAATTAATCTCATTCAGGACTAAAAAGATAAAGCAGATTAGGCAACTCACACCTTAAAGTGTATTTCTTTCCATAAAGGAAGCCTAAGATAACTAGCACATGTGACTTTTTCACATGGTAAGTGTCTAGCTAAATTTAATGATTCCCACACAGTACCTTATCAGAGCTTTAAACCATACAGGTAGCAGGGTACTCTCTCATCTACAGGAATCTTTAATTCAATATTAGAATCCTTTAATCTGCATTTTACAGCCTGTGACTAAGTTGTTGTAGAAAGACCAACTCAAAGGAAAGATGTTTAACAGTCCAAGTCAGGCCTGAACACAAAAGAACAGCCTGAGGGAGAAGCCAGAATTTGGAATGCACATATTGGCAGCAAAGGAATAGTATAAAGTGCAGCAAAGAGGTGCCACAAACACTTGTAAAAGCAGGATTGGGTCTTGCCTGCTTGGACCGGAGACTGAACCACAGCTCAGAATTAGAAGAGCTGTGGTTTACAATCCACTTAAACTCACTCCTTTTCCTTTTGTGTGCTAATTCTAAGTGTGGCAATGACAGTTAATCCTGAAATACCCATGTTAATACTTTCAAAGCTGCCTTGGTTTACAGGTATTTTACAGTGCTGTTAATACGATCTGCTCCACTGATAAGGCAGTTTACTGGGATGAAGCTCTGCCTTTTCATGGTTATAATGTTTCTAAGGTCATTTAAAGCTGCCTTGGATACTTCTAGATTTTATGTTTTGTCAATACATTGAAGAACAGCTCAGAATTACATCCATAGTGTTTTACCAGCAGTCAAGGAGTATTGGATGGAAATATTTATTGATGGTAGACTTTAATACAGTAATTCAAATTTCTTTTAGTTTTAATTCACTAGAACACTAGTACTTTAGGCAGTAAATCTGCTCTCAAAATACATTAATATTTAATATGTGCAATGACTTGGGAGATGTGATATTTTGATTGAAAATCAATATGACTGTAAAAGCCTATATAAAATGTCTTTTTATCATTTTGTTTTATTTCAGTGATCTCTCCATATAATATACAGCTACAATTATGATCAAAGATGAGCACTCAAGAAAAGGGAACAAACAATATTCACCAAAAGAGCAGCTTTCTTCCTGGAAGGAAAAATTCCTCTGCTTTTGACGAGTCCTTTTTATACCAACTCTTTATTGTTCTTTAATTAATTTCAAATTGCATAATATCCTGAATGGCCAATTTGTTTAAAATATGAAAGAAATACATATATAGATAAGATACTTACTGAGCTATCTTAGCCACTAAGACTGCTGCATGTAAACAACCCCAAACTCCAGCCTGAGAAAGAAATTTCTGACTCATATCAGTCCATCTTCCAACTGCAAAGCAGTCTGTAGCATCTTTTGGTAAACCTAACTCTTGCCAGTTGTTAAGAGCATCAGCAATGTTGAGTGTTTCATCAAGGGCTTGACTCCAATATTTAAAAGCAGCTCTGTGACATAAAAAACATGGTGTTGCTGACATTTTCCAAAGTAAGATAAGACTTGCTTCATTTGTCCGTTATTGCCTGAGATATAACTAATTCTGATTGGGTCAAAAACTTAAACACAGTTTTTACAAAACAGAAATGATACCATTCCTGGCCAAAAAATTTATTGGAACTCAAATTAAATCATCAAGCAATAGATATTGCTTCTTAAAAACAAAGAGATACAAAATTAATTTGCTTAATGGCAATTAGGTAACTAAGAAAAATAAACAATGTCTAGGAAAAAAGCCTGTCAAAATATACACAATAGTGAGTTAGAAGAAAGAAGTTATAAGGACTTGAGGACAGCACAAGAACTTACACGACAGTTGAGGGGTATAGGACTGCCAACCAAAAAAAATGAAACTATTCACTTTTTTAACACAGTAAATATGTACCTTTTGTTTCCAGCATAAAAGTGAAGATTTCCAAGTTCATGTACAGCCTGTACCTTGAGGTCTCTCTGCTTATTCGTTTCAAGGATTCCTGTTATTTATTTTTAATCAATTAAAAAAAATAGTCACATCACTAAACCAATTCTTGAATTGTGAACAAATTTTGCTTGAGTAGACATGAAATCACATGTAATTCAATGCACGAATTTTTTTTTTTAAATTTAGTGGACTTGTATATCTTACCTTAAAACATACTATTTCTTATTTCTACTAACTTTGAAAACAAGAATAGGACCTAAGTTTTTCTAGTTTTGTGTTTTCAGATCTCTCAAATTTTTTCCTCTGGGAGATAAAATGCGAAGCAGGTCATTGGCCCTGCTAAACAACACTGCCTGCATACAGCTTCTATTTTAATCCCTTACTTCAAATAAAATCACTGAGAGCATGTGTTGACCTAGTACACTTGATCTGTTTTGCCATACAGCAAAAAGTAGTAGTAGTGAGGAGCTGTAACTGTATGAGTAAAGCCATAATAGAATGTAAGATGGAAGCTAAGTAACTCTATCTCATTCAAATGCATAAAATCTGAAAAGTCTGTTTGCTAGAAGAAAAAAAACAGAATGGAATTAATCTGCTAAACATATCAAATTCTGAATTGTGGATTCATCAGTATAACACCACTGAAGTAATGCTTTTTCATAAGATAACTGGAGAGATTATTGATCTAAGTAGTGTCTTATTTAGCATCTAATGCAGATTTTCTCAGTCAACAGGAAGAAGTGTTGTGTATTCCTGGAAACCAGCTTTCAGACAGTTACAGCTGTCTGACAGAGCGAAATAATACTGGAATAAACATATATAAACACAGGCAGAATGTTACTATTCTTAGCTGTAAGCAGAAATTTATGAAAAAAAATTACCTATTGTTTGTTCATAGGAAGAGATAATTACTGAAAACTGTGACTGTGGTATTGGTTTACTCTCAACCATACTGGAGAAATTAAATTTTTCTTGAGAAAGATCACATGGTGTTGGTAGAAATATCAGTTCAGCTCCCACGTTAAATTTCAGCTTTTTCTTTGAAGAGATATGACTGCTGATTGCTTTTCCATCATTTTCTGGATCAAAAAAGTGATTTATATGATCAGCTTGGAAAAGTATTATACTATTTCTAGCACCACAAATATTTCCACACCACGTTAGTCAAGCAAATATACAATTCCCGAGCAGCTTATTTTCATTTGGTTTCTTATGCTATAATTCTGAGTGTCTCCTAATTAAAATTATTGGACATAATTCATTGGTCAGTGTAACCAAATAAAAATATGTGCTCTGCTGGGGAAATCAAATTTGGGAAAATCTGCCAGTCAGTCCTCTGCCAGAGGTATGGCTGCAGAGAGACAAGTGACACAGTTGCATAAAAATAAAAGTCAGGCTTAGAGCTTGTGCTTATAGAACTTCATATATAACTTCATATTCTATCTTTTTTTTAGTTGTCAATAACAATAAAACTTAAATTTAGAAAAATCTGTTCCTTTCATTCTTTATTATTTTAAATGCATATACATTTCATTAAATGAGAAACACCTCAATAAATAACTCACCTTGTGTGTGTGCAAGAAATAATGAAAGTAGTTTTCTGCTGTGTCTTAGTGCTCTGCTGTGATATTTAGATTTTTGTAGAGTTTCTCTAAAACATCTCAGTGTATCATTCACATCAAGAGGCACACAAACTAGGGCTTTTGCCTGGCTGTGATCTAAAAAGAATTAATAATATGGAGAACAATTCTGTAATACATATAGAAATATTTTTAGTAAATCACCCTGTAAAACATATTTGAACAATTTCAGAACTTTAAAACTAAAGTATATTAAAATTTTCACTTCTGTTTCCTGTTGGTTTATGAATTACATGAGATTGTTAATCACCAGGAACATCGATTCTATCGATAACAGTGCTGGTTCACACTAACTTCTGGGTACATTGCTGGGTATCCAACAACACTGACCGTAAACTGGACCAAGACTACCAAGCTCACTCACATACTGTAGTTCATCTGACATCTGGATGACAACTGCTTTTCTCTGCTTTCAGATACAGTCTGAATATATTTTGAAAGATCTTGACAACATTAATACCCACCCAAAATATTAAGAACAATACATTTGAAGACAAAGCTGAGTTTATATTAAAAGAAACAGTATAGGAGTAGTGAAGGAACTACAATAAGAAGGAGGGGAAAAAAATTAAAAATCCAGTAGGAAACAAAGAAAAGAGTTTGGCAGAAAAGAGAACACATAACACTGAAATGTGCTCTGACCTGTAGAATCATTTTTCATCTCAGGATAGAAAAAGGATCCAGGAAAAATGTCTTCACTAGCTGAACGGGCAACAGGTAGCTGTAATTTGTGTCCTATATAGTTTCTGCAACTCATCTAAAAAGTAAGTTTTGTTTCATTATAATTGGATAATATTCAGAAAAATCAGTGTTTGGTGCTTTTAGTTGAGTATCAAAACAGTCATATGACAAAATAAAAAGGACTAATTAACAAAGACACCAACGATCTGTAACTAGTGTTCTTGTTAGTAAGAGGTGAAACATTCACACCACCTAAAAATTGGATATAAGTGTTTCAAAGTTATTGAACTAAATTCGTATTGTATTTGGTATTTGCCATAATCATGAGAAACTCCTCAATGTTCATCAAATATTCCACATTTCTTTCTTCAGATGAATGCATGATTGCACAGGACCTGTCACTGTAAATGTGCCTAAAGGGCATGTTGTCTGTAAAACACAATGCAATGCTGCATAGGGATATACAAAATACCTCTAAGCAAGTAACAAAAGCAGTCTAATCCTGTCAAAGAAGCAAACCTCCACACTTCCATAAAGGACTAATCTAGAAGAGACCTTTTATTTTGCTAATGTAGTTACATCACTTCAGAAGCAGAAGAACCAATTCAGGACTATTTCTAGACTCTCTGAATGGCCCTGCATTATAAAATGTAGCCATAACCTCCAAATCTCCAACTCAATAATGTCTTTTTTGAACAATACTTATTACTGTTAACCAAAACCAGTCTTTATTCTGTAAGCTGTCTTTCAACGCTATGATTACTTTTCCAAAATGCTCAGTTATCAGCAGTATGTGGTGGTTTGCCATGGTGTCCTTTTTTAGACACAGGACTATGCTCTGAATAGCAGGGCCTGAAAGAAGTCAGCAGGAAACAGCTGCAGAAAGATAAGACAGAGCACACCCCAGCTGCCTTTCATGAGCCAGGAGTGACTTCAGAGTCCCTACAAGCCCTGGGCACCAGTGTTCTGGCTCTGCAAAAGACAGTGGCTCCTGAACCCCATGGTCATTTTCAGAACAAACCTCTTTGGTATTCCAAATGCCACTTTCCCCACCTCTCCTTCAAGTCCTGTCTTTATATTAGTAATAGAAACATATTAAAAATATCCGCAGTGTGACTGACTTTAGCAAAACTTCTTAGAAATAAACCTTACATTAACAAAATAAAAAGGAAAATCCTAATTTCTAATAGGTAATTTGATGAAAAATTTCCAAGTGTCACTGTTAAATATATAGAGCCATGGTTTTAAATGAAAGGTACTTGCTGAGCATCCTAGGGGATTTTTTGTTGGTGATCAAGTTTTTTCAAGTTTTTTATTGGCATTGTCAGTGTTTGGGCTAACTCAGTTTTACTAGCTTTGATCTTTAGGAGCAGTGTTTCAATGCAGAAATACAGCAATCTTTGTATTTAATTTTAATTAATCACAAAGATTGCACAATAGCCACATAAATGTTTTCAGGTTAAAAGAGTGGCATTATGAACTAACATGAAATTAGATTTAGGCTCATAATATGGAATGTGTATGTATTGCATGGAAAAAATATTCCTTGGGTCATCTGCTTCTCTTGCAATCATGTAATACAAGCCTTTTCATGCACTGCAATCAATTATGTTCATTAATTTATTATAATTGACTATTTGGGAACATTATGACAAAACATATTAATCTAACTAGTGAAAGTGCTTCTCCATATTTAGTTCACATTATGAGTCAGTGCCCCCAAAAGAAATCTATGTTTCACCTTATGTGCAGTATCAGATAGGTATTGTATCAAATGAGATTCATGGCTGTCTGGGCCACTGATTTGCTGTATTCTTTCCAGCAGCTGCCTCTGAGCATACACCAGCAGTGGACTCACTTGCTCTGTATATCTCTCACTGGAAAAAAAAGCAAATTATAGTAATTAAGCAAAATAATCATATATTGAACTACACAGTGTTAGTTTTTTAGTTTTTATTGGAGCTGGTGTAACTTACTGTGTAAATATATTAAATTGAACAGTTATGTGTACAAGTGCTTCCCACTTCTTCATTTGATATAACAATTCTATCGTTTTAAGAATCAGATTACATATCCATTTCAAGTCAACCACATTCACGTCATCCAGAGGAGGCTGTGGATTAAGATTCGAACCACCATTCTCATCCATAATACCTCCTAAACAACTGGGAATGCAGAAGTCTCCCTCGGGTTCCACAATCTACAGGGAAAAAACATTATTCTACCTGTTATTTTCAAATGTGTTTTTAGGACAAATCAATTACAAAGATTAGAAAAAACTGTAATCAGCTAAAAAACTTGTTACAGAGAATAACTTGGATATATATTGCAGAATATAATGGAAGAAAGAGAAAACTACTTCTAGTAAAGATGTAACAATAAAGAGTATATTTGCTTAATGAAACCAATTTCTACCTTAAGAGAACTGCTTGCTTGTAGTTCAGTTATCATATCAATCATCATGTCTGATGCCAAATAAAATGGCAACCAGATGGTGTTCCTAAGAAAAGTCCAGGTAATGGGAAATGTATCCCTCTGGGAATGTGACTGGTTAGCAATCAATTGTAATTCTTGCGTATAGTTCCAAAGTTCTCGACAAGCATTTTGAAGCAATGTCCAGTGGCCACCACGGTGAGCAAGAATCTATGTAATTAAAATATAATAAACAAAATATAATTATACTTTTGAAATGCAGAAATTAAAAGCTTCATTCTTTTATTGCAAAACTTAGGCATAAGTGATCTTTCAGAATTACAGTCTAAGCGTTATAGAACCTTAATTTTTAAATGTTCATAGGAGGACTAATTTATAATGGAATTTAATTGTTGGGTTTGGTGTGAGAATAAGAAATAAAAATTAATTCACACCACCTATACGTGTATTTTTATTTGGGTTTAGAAGAGTAGTTAGTCTGCATTTCCTTTCAATCACTGGTTCTTCTGTTTATAGTGTGACATTCCCTAGGACCTGTAAAAGGAAAGGTAAGTCCGCAAGTATTTTCAGAAAATTTAACAAACATGAGAAGGAAAGTTATGAAGATGAAATGAAAAATAGAACAATTACATTAAATTATTTTACGTTTTATAGAAATATACATTATGACTGATGATATCTCTGAGATTTTGTACATTGTACTCAGACATTTTTCAGAAGATGTGAAATCATTGCCTCTACCCAGTGAAATTTTTCTTGAACTTTCCGAAGTTTGTTTTTTTTAATGTAGAAAGTAGTGAGTATTGTAATGCAATGTTACAATAAATAAATAAATAAATAAATAAATAAATAAATAATAATTTTAATAAGAAATCGTATCTTACCATTGCTCTTCTTAAATGCAAGAAGATTTCTGTAAAATGCTTCAATAAAGTGGTATTTGACTGAAACTGGTTCTGCTCTTCTGGGAAATGAGAGATTGATATTTTTGTATCTTTTGTTGTTTGAGTTTGAGGAGTTCGACTCTGTTTAATTCTGCGCTTAGAAGATTTATCTGTATCTGAAAAATAAAAGTTCACTGGTTAAAAATTAGTTAAAGTTCTCAAAAAACCCATAAAAAATAATTTAAAAAAAATCAATCAGCTAGGATTTTCCTGTGGCAGCTAAATACTTAAATGGTACGAAATGCCAATGTTAAGGTTATCATATTTGTAAGGTTATGATATTTAAAATATAAGATGCTTTTACTTAAGCATTGGGAGAAGCAGGGAGGAAATAAGTTCAAACAAAATAGTAACAGGTACCAAATAGTTTTCAGCCTCAAAGCCAAAACACAACCCTCACAGAAGTTAAGTTTTAGGCAAGAAATCACTTGGCAAGCTCCCAAGAACCTCTCTGAAACAGAGGTCTCTTAAAAGAAGACATTAGGAAAAAAGGAAGATTTCTGACAAATTCTCAGGTATGTGTATAATTGCTTCATTATTTTACTCATACCAAATATACCCCAAGGAGGAACACAAAAGTTCATGGTTCTGGAATACAATAATACTTGAACTATAGGTTTTGGGTAGAAGCTAATTTCAAGCTATATAGTATTTGAACTATATGGGAAACTACACACTTTATGTAATTCTTTTTATTCAGAATTGTTGCAAAGGCTAGGAGATAGCAAACAGGACTTTTATCAGGTTTCAGCAACTTTTAGTGACTTGTAAGCATCAAGACAAAACTGTTTAACTAAAAGTAAGCTGTTGCAAAGAGAACCAGTGAATTCAAGTCCTAGGTTTCGCCACACCTCCTTGGAAAAGGCAAAGAGGACAGTTGATTCTACTTAAGGAAGTCCTACATGGAATGACAGGAGAATTTTGATCTGTACAGCTCTGGCACAATGTGTCCCTGAAGCGCTATTGAAAAGACGAGGCTTGTGATTTCTTTTTGAACTTATGGAGCCTAGGCAGAATACTTTGTGTTGACTTGCATGTTATCACTAACATCTGAGGAAATCAAGGTCCTGCATTTCACAGTTACCCACAAACAGGAACTTTTTGCCTTCTGTTGAAATCTCAGAGGATATAATTGAAAATAGCTGGAATAATAAAACAGTAGAATGTGAAAGACAGAGAATTGAAGTGAAAGTGGTAGAAAATAAAAAATTGATCCTGAGGTAGCTTCTTGACACAGAAAATACTGGAGAGTACATAGTAGAGAAGGAAAACTAAATTCTACTTAAAACTTGAAACATAATAATAAGCTTCAGTCTATAATTTTAAGAATAACTTACAGAACGAACCAGGAAATTACTGACCTGCTAGGAAATGTAAAGGAAACTACAGATCAATTAGGAACCTCAGAAACAGAAACAAATTGTCAATGCATCTGGAATATTATCAATGTAATAGCTCTAGGTAGTTATAAACTTTTTACTAAAGTATAGGATAAAGAATAAGTACTTGATAAAATGTAACATATTTATCAAATACAGTAAAAAATGCTCACAATTATTAGATATGCCTCATATACTTGTTATACTAGGTATGCCAAAAAAGTACAGAGGACAACTGAAATCTAGAAATGTCTTCTCTTAACTTGGCATAACTGTTTTTCCAAAGGTGATGTGGAGAACTAATGATGGAGGTCAAGACAGAATTTAAGAGAGAGAAAAAGTTAAGTTGAAATGGATTTCAGTTGTGCGCCCAATAAAAGTTCTTACCAGTTTGATTTTCGGTCGTTTCCAACTTTTCAAGGAGAGGAGGAGTTGGTTTTCTCATGTTACTCTCTGTGGCTTCTCTCACCATCACAGTGCCAGAATGGTTTAGTGAGAATATCTCTGGATCCAAAATATTGTAACTGTAGAATGGGAGAAAGAGAAGAAAGCGCAAAAAAAAAACCCCAGACACAATAACAAAAAGAATTCAGAATACATAAATTCAGTTTCTTAAAAGTGATTACTTTCCTACAGCTTCAGGAATCAGAAATAATGAATGACAGCCAAAAGTTATAAGGAACCAAAAAACAACACAGATAACATATTTCAAAGCTGTCATCTGACCAAACAAGTGAGTAACCAAAAATATGCATGATGTCTACATGATGGAAAGCAAAACTTGTTACATAGCAAATCAATTTGTATTTGGAAGCGAAACTGTTCATATGACAAACTGACTGATGACATTGTCATTCAGATCTGCCTGCATTAACAGCAATAACACAATAATCTATATTAGTAGCAACCACTGATATTGCAGTAAGATATACCTCTCCAAATGCTGTGAACCACAAATTCCAATATTGTATTGCTCTTCCAGGTTCTTTTTAAATAAGTGGTAGTGCGCAACTGCTAGATAGATATTCATCTGGGACTTCCAGGGCATCTCTTCAAGACACATGTGACGAAACCTTCTTCGCTTTAAGTAATCACCCAGCAGTACCACTAAGGTCTGTTGAGCTGCTTTTTGCAACTTTTCCTTGCCTTTCCTAACCAAAACATATGAAGTAGCAAAAAATGAAACTGTGTTTTCCTGAAGTTCTAGAAAAGAAAATTATGGTAAAGATACACAAAAGTATACCATTGCATATCCACAGACTTATATTAACTCCGCAGCATGTGACATTCTAACGAAAAGATTTTTGCTTTAGTCAAGAAAAGCAATTATGTTTTCCCTCTCTAAGTGCACTTAATACACATTAAATCCCATTTTATATTTTACCAACTTCCATGTTTAGTTCTGTGTTTGAAGTTATTTGTGCCTGAATCATTCAAACAGTATTATAGCAACAAAATGTGCTTCACACAGTCTGTTCAGGAGATGGAGGGTCTACTATTATACTATGAATTTGGATAATTTTTTTATTGCTTTGCTTCGGTAGCTAATCATCCTCACTGTGAAGAAAACAAACTATTTCAGACTTAGATGCCCTGCTTTAATTTCCAGCCATAGTTTTTTGTAAGTTTCTCTGCCAGATCAAAAAATTCTGTATCACCTCACATGCGTACATTGCTATATGCAAACCAAATGTCATTTTTTCTTTTTTTTTTAATAAACTATTTTTTTCTCCCTGTTTTCCATCTTTAAAATGTAGGCAGAATAGTATACTGTATAGAATTATGATCATATTATACAGTACTACTATTATATAAGATACAAAAGAGTGGCTGAAAAAGCAAAAAACCCAGGATAAGTTTAACATCTCCACTTCTGCTGAAAGCCATGAGAATCATTTTAAGCAAGGTGGAGTTTTTTCTGTCAAGGAGGAAAAAATGGATGGTTTGGGTGAATATTTAGAAGATTATATGTAAGACTTTTTTAGGTTATTTAAAACACTTCCAGAATAAATTACATTATTGCTTATGTGCAAATATTTACAGTTTTCTACTTGCTAATTGCTGGAAGCATAAGTGACCAAAACACCAGGAAATGAATACTACATATTCTTTTAGGTCAGAAGGTAGTGTTATTATTAACATATACAAGTACCTGCCAAAAAAAGAGGTGAGCGAATATTTATTTGTTTTTATCAAGAAAAAGTTTTCTGAGAGCTACAGAACAGATAGTCCAAAAAGACTAGTACAAGGATGACAGAAATCATTCTGAAACTACCCGAACATCAGGAAATAATAAATATTTTTTATTAAATTTGTGTCAGGTAAGCTCCCCAACACAGTTTGAAAAGCATTACAATACGTAGATTAACATAACTTTTCCACCTTGATGAATCAATATGCTAATGCAAATGAAATACAATCTTTAATTATTAATACAAAGACTTAAAAATATTCAACAATTATTTTCTGAAACAGAAATGACAGATTCTGTTTTCTTGAGAGGAAGCCAATTTTATACTAAACTAAAGCAGAAAAGTTAGAAGACTGTGCAGAAATTCATCCCTTTGATATAAAAAAAAATTAAATACACACTTAATTGTAAACTAAATTTCAGTCGAAATAATTTTTTTCTGTATATGAACCTGACAACTCTGTTCATTTACCTTTGTGCTTCTGGAGAACTCATTATATCTGGTTGTTTCTTCAAAAACTCTCTAAGAGTCTGTTCTTTTCTGGCAGTTGATTTCTTCGAAGGTGATGCCTTTGATGCCTTTGGTTTCTTTAAAGAAAGAAGGCATTCTCTTTAAAAAAAAATCTTCCACGAAAATCTTAAATGTATTTTAAATACTTATTTATACCTACATTATCAATTATTTGAGGCATACAGCAGTTTGGCTTACACAGGAACAGAAAAGAACATTAAAAAAAAAAATCTGGAACTGGTTGTCAAAATAAGACTGCAAAATGAATACTTAAAAATTCCAGAGAGCTTCACAATTTTTCTGGAAAGTACATGTCAAACACCTGACACTAAGAAGCCAGCCAGGTCCTCAAATATTTACTTTCATATACCAGTATTTTCATCGCAAAAATAATGATATTTCTTTTCCTAATCTTACAAATTATTATTATTTATTATTATAAATATTGAAACTTTGCAGTGCAAAAACTAAGACAGAAAAATCCTTTCCCTAATATATCTCAGATGCTACCAGCATTACAACATTACTAGGTGGGAAGAAAACTCTTCCTCCAGAACAATACAAATCCATTAAGATTATTCTCACCTTCCAATAAAAACTATAATTTATTTTAAAATAATTCTGAACAAAAAGTCTTTACAGTGCAACTATAATATCTGCACAAGGAGTTAACCACGAACAACTATTCATGAAAAAGTGTATGCACAATATATTGTACAAAAAGGCCTGAGCTGATCTCCTTTTCTTCATGTGAGTGTACCCAAGGCATTTCCTATTAATATTATGGTTTTTTAAAGGGAGGTGAGGAAAGGAAAGTTTCCACTGATTTTTTAATGCATTACTCTGACTCATCTCAAATTCTCACAATTGGTCTTTCAGATAAATCTCATGCCAACGTTTCTTCCTGGTTTTAGGAATCCAGAGGTGAGTTGAGGACTAGAGTTTGTACCCCAAATTTTAGCAATTCTGCATGTCTCTTGTTGAGGTTTTTACGAGACAATTTTTAGAAATTTATTTTTGTGCTTATTGCTGCCCAGGAAAAACACACATGACTCCTTAAAAATAAAACTCACTTTCTCAACTCCTGTAGTGCGTTTGCCTTCCTGCAGAGGGAGAGAACTTGCTTCTTGTGTTGAAATTCCATTACTACCTAGAATGATGTCATTCCTCCTGACAAAAAAATATTGTTAAAATCATCATCATCATCATTATAATCATCATGTTAAACTCCTTTCATCATGTTAAACTCCTATCTTTCAGAACATAAAGGGCACATGCAATTCCTATTTCATTGGCAGTTTTAAAATCAGTAGACTTTCTTTCCTTCCTTCCCTTCAGAAAATAGCAAGTGCTCACCTTCAAGGTTTATTACAGAAATCTGAATTTGTAAGTAACAACTCTCTCACCTTCCTAACTCCTAGTAAAACAAAACAGTTTCCTTTACTACCCAAATTAGACTACAGAATTCTGCAAAGAACTTCTTCTTGTCCAATTTTTTTTGCAGCAAAAGTTGCTCTTTTAACAGCAATTCCTGTTCCCTAAAATATATATCTCCTTTTTGTTGATTATTTTCCATTCAGATTTTAGAAATACCAGGGTGCACTTCTAAAAAAGTTGAAGTTCTTTGGGATCCTTTCAAGTGAATACGTACAATTTGGTTCCACTTTTCTGTATAGAATTTTTTTTGTGACCCTATAGGTGGGCCCTGATCAATTTGTTTTTGATTTAACTCAGCATACTCTTCTAATGGCAAATTCCCATAATATTATGTCTTTATGTATAGTCAGGTCACAACACAGTATTTACTGTAGCTATATAATCCTCTGTGTTCATGGAACTTCTGCAGACTAGAAGTCATGGAAATTACTACAGATGGGTCTTTGACCAGGTATAACTTACAGTTGCTGCTGTAACTGTGACTCTGGTGAACCTAAGTTGTAGTTTTTTGCTACTACTATAATAGAGATCTACCTTTTCAAGTAATCTTGCACATTGTCTGTCCATTCCAGAACGCATTGAAACTTCTCTTCATTCAGAACTTTTTGCAAAAGTTGAACAAAGAACTCAAGAAAACGCGATTGGTTTCTGAATTTAATCACTGCAATAAAGTGACAGATAACACAGGTTTTGTATTTATGCTGTAAAAGGATTCTGAATTCAGCCACAAGTACAGCTATGTAAGTCTTAAAGCACATATTTATATCATGTTGCACGCTTATGAAGAAAAGTCATACTGATACTGAAATCAGAGATACACAATAGCAATTGCTAAATACTTCCTCTTGTTGGGAATCCAGACTCACAAGGTTAGTCTATTTACACTCTTAGAATGACAAACTTTCTAGGGACAGAGACTTCTGTGAATTCCTCTTCCAGTAAAATAATTAAATGTGGAAATGCGGTACCCCAATTTAAAAAGAACGTTTCATACAAACAGAATCTTTAAAAAATTTGGCGCTATTTTATTTTTTTTTAAATTAGCTCATTTCTAAGGTTACTAGAAAATAAACATCATTCAATTTAAAATATTAGTATTTTATATACTTAGCCTCAACATCCAAAATGATTTGTTGCATGCACTTCTATATGTGACTATATTAAGAACTTCTTATAGGTTATGTTTCGCTTCATTTTGTTTATTTGATAACCAAATGAAGATAACATTTCCAAGAGCTTATTTCAAGCAAAAACAAGACAGCTTTACTGACAACTTTCTAAAGTAAAGAAGCCTTTACAATTAAAATAAACACCAATTATCCTACCTTCTCGATAAGCACGATCTGATTTCCAACATGAAATTACAGGGTAGAGGAACAAAGGATATTCCTTTCCTGTAAGCTCTGATCCACGAGCTAGATCAATAACCAAATCAAATCCGTTATGATAAGCAGTGATACTGTGCAATAGAAACTCTACCAGGAACCATAACTGAAGACTAGAAAAATTCTTCTTTAGCACAGAGTTTGCTTTTAAATCTCTCACTGTCATCCAGTGAGAAATTCAAATGCTTGTTTTTTTCTTCTAACAGAAGTGGCTATGCAACTTAAATAATGAAGAGCTTACAGATAAGACTGATGAACTTCCAGCTACTAGACTAATAAGGAGAATGTCTGGAGTTCACCAGAGGTCTAACAAAGATCCATTCAAATCATATGTAGAGGATAATGTGCAGAAAGGACAGGTCAAAAAATGTATTTAAGGCTATACAGCATGAACTGATCACAAGATGCTACTAGTGAGCAGTACTTACATACATGCTCCTCATATGGATAGCATATGTAGGGAAAGGATTTTTTTTTCTTAATCTAAATATTTACATAAATATATGTCTACAAAAGTGTTTATATAATATATTTTATATCTATAAATGTAAATAATATATACTATATATATATACAGATATAATTAGTATATATAATACATAGGACATTAACTTGGATTCAAGCTTCTGAGAGTTAAATGCAACTGCATTATCAGCTGATGAGCACCAGAACAATGTTACATGTGCTAGTTGTTATTTTGCCTTGATAAAGAAACATGACCTTCATATTTTGTGCTTAGGCAAGTCCTGTGGTTGAAAAAGATCAATGGAGCAAGTCCCTGAAAAAAGCGAGGTTAAAAGTACTCTCTGGAACAAGTTGTAATAATGGATCAATAGCTACACCTTCCAGTGATAGCAGTCAGTTCAAGTCTGTTGAATGCAAATAATGTCCAGTCAAATAGGACAGCCAGCAGGAAAGCAGACTTTTAAAAATTTTCTTCTTAGGACAATCCACACCGTTTGTTAGTACTCTCTCTTATTCGATAAGTTCAAAAATATATGGCTTCAAATAAGCATTTTCACAAAGAACAATACCTTCCAAAAATGTTTAAATGGAAAAAGATTTGAAATTCCAGAATTTGAATTGTACTGTGTATGAAACATTTTGTTTTTCACTTCTTTTGAAAGAGGCAGATGCAACTCTTTTCCATTTTTCTTGTAGATTGTGTTGGTTCCACTTTTAACGATTTCCCATGACAAGTTTTTTTCCAAAATATTTTTAGCAGCATGCCCTACAGGTGTCCACATTGTCCTAAAACATATTTGTAAGGACAGCTGTAAGCTTTGCATGGCCTCAGCAAAAGGCTTCTTCTCAATTTGTATCCTAAAACTTATTGACAAATACGCTATTGCAGCAACAGAGCAGACTTCAGAGATCAAGTATTTGCCAACTACTGAAAATGTGTTCTTTTCTAACTAATCAGTCCATTAATTTAACTTTCTATTAAGTAACAATGGAACAACTTTTTTTAAGTAATCAATGTAATTTTCAATTAACTAAGAGAATTCTTTCATTCTGTAACTTGTTCTGCAGGAATGCAGGCATCAATGTCAGCAGCAAAAATGAAGGATCACTACACTGATGAATAGAATTTTTGCATTGTCCCTTATGCTTTCTCTTCCGAGATGAATGCATATACAGAGATGATGGACCATAACTAGAATATGAGCCATCAGCGTGGTCTTGCAGTAAAGGCCAGTTCCATACTGGGCTATGCTAGAAACAGAACAGCCAGCAAGTCAAGGGAAATGACTATTCCCCTCTGTTCAGCACTTGTGATACCACATCCAGATTACTGTGTTTGGTTTTGGACACTGTAGTACGAGAACCGACATACGAGTGAAGGACAACCAAGATGATAAGGAGCTACAGTGCACAACAAAGCAAGAAGAGGCTGAGGAAATTCAATTTATTCAGTAAGAAGGGAAGGCTTAGAGCAGTCTACACCTACCTAATGGGAAAAATATAGAATGTGGAAACAGACTATCCTCACTGGTAGCAAAACAAACAATAGAAACAAGCTGGAAATCAGACAGATCCAAACAGATATAAAGAAAAACCTTTCAACCCATAAGGGTGGTCAACTGTAGAAACAGGTTGCCCATAAAGGTTGCAAAATATCTTTCTTCAGAGAGATTCAAAACTTGACAAGTCTGAAAGCAACCTGACCTAATTGTACCTCTTTTTGACAAGGGGATTGGAATAAATACCTTCCAGAAATCCCTTCCCAGCTAAATTATTCTCCAATTCTATCCAGGCTCCAAGGAGTACAAGATGTCATGCAAATATAATGGAAAAAAAATCAGTAGTGGCTCTGAGTGGCTCTTAAGTTCTAAACAAATTTTCTTTATAATTCCTATTTATTAATTCATCTAACTTTGGTAGAATTATTAGCGTGAAAATTCTTATGCTTAATCCAGATTCTAAGATATTTCAAAGTTGATATACTCATTCCAGGGTTAAAAGGTATATGCTAGTATACATGCAATTCCTTCACAAAAAGGACAATTTCTGGGAACTTTCATCAGGAAAGTTCATAAAATTTCCTGCAGTGGTCATTGCTACTAGCACTGGTAGAGTACTAAGACATGCTATAAATGTACAGTGGTCTTTGCCACTGCATTTTCTGATTTAGGAAGATAGAGCAAGCCTAAATAACACGGAACCTGATTTACACAGACTGGGAGAACATACATATTTGCAGAATAACCACAAATGAATATTCCTTTGAAAGCAGAAATTAGTGTTCCGGTTAAAATCATGAAAAATATGATTAAAGGTCATTACACACATCGCTACCAGGTATAAATAAGATCACTGCCATTATTTTATTATTTTGGTTGATTTATCATGGATGAGATAAGAAATAAAAGTATTTCTTAGGTAAATATTTTTTACAAATAAAGCATAGAAAACTCCATAAAAAAAGGTAAGAAGTGTGTCAATACTACACCCACCTGGCTCTGTCAGTCTGAGGAGATCTGATTCAAGAGTGCTTAGATTTTCTGTTGCTTTTGCCATTGCAGCTAAATGGGACGCCTTTGAAGAACTGGCCTGAAATATCCAATACTTTGTTATAAAAGTTTAGCTTTAACTTAACTAAAACCAGCATGTCAATAGTGGAATTTAGGTTAGATCTGAAGTCTTCTGAATCTGTATCTGATAATTTCATCAATATTCTCTCATTTTTCTTTTGAAGTGAAATAAAAACGGTGTTCATGATTTTTTTTAGTGCAGCATATTTTGTTAAGCAGTCTGTTCAAATATGTTGTTGTCATAGCACCTTAAAAATCTATTTGGTAGTAGAGCAACTCCACTTACTCCCTCAGAGATTAATCAAGAATGAATCATTGCCAGGTTTTTGGTTTGGCAAAACATGCCATTTTCCAGAAAACATAATCTTTTTTAGTTTACTTACTGCCTACAGAAATAAAATCTTCCTTTGGAAAGAAAGTTCTTCTTTTTTTTTAAATTTGGTGAAAATATACTTTTCAGTCAGCCCTACTTGGAAGATATATTGTTTGTTCCTATGATCTTAGACACTTTTCTCTTTTTTTATATGAACCTGGGAGCAGCTAACACAAACTCAGCAATAAACAATAGACAAAATTTTGACCAGTGTTCTACAGAAACTCTTCCCTGTAAGCCAATTGACTTTTTGTCTCTCTTTAATATATCTCCATTTCATGCCCCCACTACTTCCTTTCTTCCTCTCTCATTTATTCTACTTTCTTACCTCTTTTTCAAATCTCCTCTTCAGTAAAATCTCTTTTAAGATTCTTTTAGAAAAACCAGAACAGTATGGAGAATCAATATTTTACTCTGATTCTCAGTTGCAGGAAATCCTCACAACCTGCTGCATCTCTTCGTAATTGAAGTACTACGGTCTTTGAGGTTGGAAGTTCTTCCTCCCTTGAGATATATTTTTCAGTCCACACAGTTCCTAAGATACTCCTATAGACTCAGTTTCAAGCATCTTCTACACAAAGTGAAATGCTAAATTTCTACACTATTTGGGGTATTTTTACTCTTCTTTCCTTAAACAATTATTTAATTGTTCTTTTTCTGTCTAATATAGCATTCTTGGAAACTATATGTGAAGATTATTTAGTGATACTTGTATAAGTATCTGCAGAAGCCTCTTGGCTCTGAACAGTAATATTGCTAATCCCTTTCCAGTTCAACAAGATGAGAACCTGTACACACTGAAATTTTATACTGATCTTAACAAAGATGGTTACAATTAAATAGAAGCCTTTCAGCTGTACTTTGGGAACTTTTATTCTGCAAGGAAACTCTTCTTCCATACAATCATTTCTGAAGTGCCCGGAGAGGTTGTAGGCTCTCCATCCCTGGAGGTGTTCAAGACCTGGTTGGATGGGGCCCTGAGCAATCTGCTCGTGGCAGGGGCATTGGAACTATATGATCTTTAAGGTCCCTTCCAACCCAAACCATTCTATGATTCTAAAACAAAAAAATTAATAAATCTAGTCTTCAAAATAATACAATACAGCATTTGGAGAAAATAAAAAGTAAAAAAGAGAGCAACTACTTTTACTTCTTTGCTAGTGTGTGTTTCTTCAGTTTTCATAGCTCCAGAGAGGCAGAGTGAGACTGTTGGTGAGGAATCCAACAATTTTTTCCCATAGTTAATGATAATTACTGCAAGTTCATATTCTTTCCATGAACGTAGTACCTATTAAAGAATCATCTGTTATATATTTTTTGTTTACATAACATGTAATTTTTCATTATTGTCTACTTACAATTGTCAAAATGCACGAATATTATAAATAGAAATTAATTACTCAATACTCAAGTTTCTTTTAATTAAAAAATGAAGACCTGTAAAATAATTGGAATTGCAGATATATTATCTATGGGTTCTACTTCTGCTTAGCCTATACCTCAGAGAATGAAAGCATCTATTTCTGTGATTGACACTCTCCCTGTTCTCAGGCAGAGCTGCTATCAAAGAACATAAAGAGTAACTAAATGATCCTCATTTACCTCTCTGGTATCAAGGGCACATTTTAAAATCCCAACTGTATTAGTGAAAGGAGTGGTGACATTTATTTTTAAGTTACAAAATTTATAAATTAATGGTATAGGGAATGTTTTTAGATGGCTTTATCTTATTGAGATAGAGCTCTAAAGGCCCAAGTGCTTTCTGCTATATGCAAGCTAGCTTCAAGTAAGGATGTTTGCCTTTGCAATACTAAATAAGTGTATAGATTACCTTAGCATAAGTACAGTACATGAGCTGACTGTAACTCAAAAGAAAATCATATACCATGATTTAATCAGAAGCATTTGTAATTCACTCATTCTGTTTACTATTCTGTATACTATTCTGTTGAAACACTATCTCTAAGGAAAAAAAATCAGCAACATAAGTGATAGTCACTTAGCTGAGGAATCCAACAACAAACAAACACTTTATCAAGGTTTCAAGGTTCCTAACAGGCTTTATTTGCCTTTATAGCATTCACCTGGGCGCCCCCACCCCCCTCCCCCCTGTGGGACCAGGAGCTCCCTCTCAGCTCAAGCCTAAATCTACAGTCCCTGCCAGTTCCTGTGTATCAGGAATGCTGACCTCCAGCTTGGTCCAAGCCATGCCTGGGCCTGGCAATGGATCCACTGGACTGGGCACCCGACCCATGGACCAACTTCTCAGCTTGGTCTCAGACTGCTCCTATTGTGATGCATCCTGGGCTATTTTTGATCCTATCTAAACGTACCACACCTTAGCCTGACCTGTGGACTGACTTTCCAGCTTCAGTTCTGACCTGCCTCATCATCACAAACTCACCTGATAATCTGAGCTCCTTGCTGAACCTGACTACTAGGTGCTGCCCTGCCAGCCATAGCATTGCCCTTGGCTCCCAGCCTCACAGCCATGAAATATTTGATTCATACAATGAAAATAACAACACTAAGGCCTAAGATATTCATCTTTAAAGAAAGAGTGAAAACTGGGTCTTCTTGCAGAGAATTTTTAGGGTCATTTGATATTGATCTGGTCTCGTGAGGTGAGCACAGAGATTTAGCTCCTATAAGACCAGGGTAAAGAATTACCAACGCAGGAATCCCTCAAACCATTAGCCACAGCTCAGCTTTAGTATGAGCTCTTAGTTGAGGCATACTCAAAGCTAGAGGAAAGCTGACTTTTTCAGTATCATACATTTATGATGGTGAGTAATTTAACTGTAGCATGTCTCTGTACTTGAGGAAAAAATTCCAGTACCATTTTTCTCCTTATCTCACTAAATAGATTGAGTATCTGAATCATAAATGTCATCTACAGATATATATTATGGCTAAAATTCAAGGTGTTTATATTTCTGCCAGCACGTGAGACAAATAATTCAAACTCTCTCGTATCTAATTAGCAAATAAACCAGAAATGTTAATCTGATTAAAACTACAAATATGGCTTATTTGCAGTAAGTAGACTTTTAAACTCATATATTACATATAGGCTTTATTGAAAATAGCACTACCTTTAATGTAAAAATATACACAATGACATAAAATAAAGATTTGATGTCATGGAGTAATAGCTTCAGTCTATTTTTTGAACAAATGAATATTAAAAAGTCAAAATGTTATTATTATATAAAATGCACTGATACAAACATACTAATAAATATTTGTATACCTCTTCTATTTAAGAGTGCTGGTTCTCTAAGATATCATTCTGAAGGCCAGCTTACTAAATCTCGTTTTTTTCTCTAAATGACAAGAGCTGTATCTCAAATTAAGCTCTAAGCACAATAATGCCATACCTTTGCTGTATAAAATGAAGTACAAGCTATCATATGCTGAATACTCTCATAACATCCTTCTTGTCTCCTCTGCAAAATATCACTTGGAATTTCTTGGAGGACAGCCAAGCACTTAATGAGAATCTGTAAATACGAGGGTTAAAACAAAGTTTGGAGTCTGCCACACACTCACAAGCCTGTACCTCTGTACAGCTTATTGTATTTGATGATGAACTTTAAAAATACTTCGAAATCTAATGGATAGAAACAATGTTAGCTCTACAAGTGCCAATAATAAAATTTCCATTTAATTTAACAGTGTCAATATTTCAACCATAGCCCTTTGGAATAAATGACATGATCACATAAAATCACAGATGTTAAATTTACAGACACATGATAGATATTTTTGCTGATTTAATTAACATAAAATCCAAGAATGCTTAATTCAGTGAGATGACATACTCCTCCTACTGGAGGACTGCTTAAAAAGATATCGAAATAGTCAGAATTTCAAATGAAATTAAAATACTTCCTGTATGCTGTAAAAATAAAATACTTCTTTGCACCATTTTTGTCTATCAGATATGAAAAGAACATGTGACTAAATTATTTTCACTTAAATTAGGAAATCTGAAACAGGAGCCATTTCCAGTGGCTAGCTGTTCCTTTAGCAGGTCATGACAGCCAGTAACTTCTTAAGAAAGAGGCTACACCTAATTAAATAGATTATATTTTTTTTCTAAACATTCTTCTAAAAACTTCTCAGAGCCCTCAGTCCTCCAGTAGCTCTCCCCTGAGCACCCTCTCTTGAGACATCCCTTCATATCTTCTGCTCAAGGGCCCAAGAGTCCCAGTTAAACTCAAACACAAGCCTTCAGTCCCTGCTTGACCAGTGGTATTGGTGTGCTGGTCTTCAGTTCTTTCTCCTGGATTGACCTCAGACTTGTGTTGTAGCCTTGTCTCCAGTCTCTGGCTCCAACTCCTGCAGCTCCTGACTTTTTCACATGGATGGAGCCCAGGCCAGTCCAATAACTTCACCTTCTCTGGACTGTCAGTGGATCCTCTTACCCATGCCCTGCTCTGTCTGCCATGTTCAGATGCTGCTAGTCTGTGCCTTGTCTGCAGTGCAGTTACCTCATCCTTTCTCACAGAGCAAATATGCTCTTACTGCTGCCCCCTAACAAAGCCACCTAATTACAGGAGGAAAAAATTGCACCTTTCTACTGTATCCTCGCTGAATCTAAAAAACACATCTGCTGCTTCAGAAATGGCAGAAAAGGATTCAGGCACTCTGTTTTCAAAGAAAAGGTGCTTGCCTCTGGAAAGGAGCACATGCCTGAAAACTAAACACTGCATTAACAAAATATTGAATAGATTTCTTTTTTTAAGAAGAAACTTGTATATGAAGCAAACATTCAAAAAAAATCAAAAAAAAAAAACAAACCCCATACACAAATTCCTCAAAATTGCTATCTGCAAATAACATTCAAGTAGAAGTTACATCATAGATTCTGCTATAGTTTAAAATACCAACAAATAATCATGAAGAAAGAATCAATATTCTGCAGTTCCCTTGTCATACCTGAGACCAGAATGTGTGCAGCCTTCACTGAACATACATGCATTGGGGACACATAAAACTATAAAAGACTTTTCTTTCATCAGCTATTGAGAACTCGAAGCGTAGATATTTAGCTTTCCCACTGTACTCTCTAAGTTTAATTTGAATCACTGTAACTGCACGGCTTGAGAGTTGCTTTGTCTTAAAATGCTCTCACCTGAACTATTGACACTGAAGAAATCTTGTGATAAATAAGTGGAGCAAGGAGACCATAACATTGTACAACAGACTGCAGGGTGTAACTTGCATCATTCAACCAGCTGCTAAGTTCAATTGCCACAGTCATTGTTTCACATTCTGCTAATCTAGCAACCTGTAAAAGAAAAACACTTTTTGATTTAAACATGAATTCTGTTTCTTTAAATCATTTGAGAGTGGAAGAAGACAAATGTTACTGCAGTTTCAAAAGCAGCATAAGCAGCAAGTAAGATGAAAGTTTAAAAATTAATTTACATTGACACCTGTTAGAAGTGTATTAAAATGTGATATTATTCATGATTCTAAAGGAAACAATTTCTCTTGATCTAATTGTGCACTCTGAGTTTGCTCATATAATTTACAAAATCTGATTAACAAACTCAGCCTGTGTGGAGTGGAAATTTCACGTGCTAACCTCTCAGAGTAGGTAAGGGAAGGATAACAATTCCTTCCTATCCATTCAAGTCATCTGCTGAAGTCCTTGCAAGCATGAGTAGATCCAGTAAAATCACCAAGTAATCAACTACTTGCATTTTTTACAAGATAAGTACTTTAGTAAAGAAAAGAATAGAACAGGAATGTAATAATACAGAAGGCAAAGCTTGATCAAAATAAAAAGGGTTTTTTTGGTCATTAATATGCCATTATACCATAAAGAAGTCTGAAATAAGGTAGAAGACAATTAGTATATTAAAACCATGAAATCCTGTTAGAAGTTAAATCTTAATTAAAATATATGTATTAAATAGCAGAAATGTTTAAAATTAAAAATTCAAGGTACATCTTAGTAGGACTAAAGTAACAATTATTATATTTCTTTCTTAAATTATAATCTGCCACCACTGAAGTCAAGGAAAATTCTTTCTCAGTAGGAACCAGTGGGCTTTGGATCGGGCAATAACTGATTCAGAAACCATCATTCCAGCAGGATACAAATAACCAACAGCTTCTAAAGTAGTTCAGAAAGAAAGACCATATAACCCACAGTAAGTGGAGTATTCTGAATATAGGATTAGTAGATTGCAACATCTATCTTGCACTGACAAAATAAAGCTAATCAAAAAGTAAAATCAAATCCAGTATATTATTTTAAACCACACATACTTGTTCCTTATAAAATATCTCATTGGAAGAGATGGAATCACAGAAGAGTGCTCCTTCCATGACACTAATGTCAGAGACAGCAAATATATTCCTCAGAAAGAGGTACAAGGTAATAGGAGAAGTCTGAGATACAGCTTCAAAACGTAACCTATGAAATACAAGAGCAAAAGAACAGTAAAAGCATGTTAATTATGATTCAGATCCTTGCATGCCTGAAACCGCATTATACTAAAATGGAGTCTTTAGTTTTAAAATTATGGACCAAAAGGTTTACTACAGCTTCTTCAGGAAATAAGATTTATACATTAAACTGAAAAAATAGCTTAACATTTCTAAAAAACTAAATAAAAATAATATGACTCCTTTTCAAATTGCTGTCCGCTTTCTACTATTCTAAGACAACTTTTCCTTACTTCTCTCATCTAATCCAGTGAAACCTATTTTCAACTTTCTTTGAAAACTTGGGATTCTACAGCTTATTTATTTTCGCTGTCTCCTTTTACACGTTAATCTTCTGTATTCTGTCAATGATACATGCAGTTGTGAAGCCCATTACTAAGTATCACTAACAGACTCCTTTACATGAGCAATGTCTTGTATTATAAGTCTGAAAAGAATTTCTTTTCTTCTGCCTGCTTTTCTGTCCCATTATTTTAAGTTGGTTTTTTTCTTTCCTGAGGCTAGGGAGGTGTTTGTCCTTGATATATTTTTTTAATATTTTTGTTACAGTAAAAATCCTATGATTTTGAAGCACAAGAAATAAATTCCTTCTTCTCTCCAATTTTATTTCTTGAAAAAGGCTGAAATTCGAGAAGGAAGATCAAATAGACACATTCACATACTTGACATTACCAAGATATCACCAACAGGGCTACTGGTTGGAAACAAGAGGTTTTCTTTCCTTCCAGCTCCCTCTGCTGTTTCTTTAGTTCGTGTGTACTTTCAGGCTAGTCCAATTTCTTAGCTACTAATCAGTAAAACTGAAACCATCTGATATTGCATGTTAATTGTAAAGAAAAAAAATAATTGGCTTGGATATAACTGCCAGAAAAGCAAAACCCCTGAAACTGCTTTGCACGTCTATTTAAAATTTTCTGTCTTCACTTGATTTATCTGAAAGTAGACTCATTCAAATGTTATCTCTAGAGCTGCGTGTGTTCAAAGAAAAAATAATTGCTTATGGAAAAAATATTAATGAAAAACAAATGCAAAAAACAGCACAATAATCAGACTTGCATTCCTGCTTTGTTGCCTAGGCCAGGGATAGATTTTAAAAAACTACATAATCATGAAATAGGATGTCTAGTGATTATCTGCCTGCATCAATGCAGTCTGCAGGCTGCCTGTAAATCCCAAAAGCTGCCATGGCATGTAACACCAAGACCCTCGGTCAGTTTGTATGCTAGGATCAGACACATGGTGGCACTTGAAGGACAGACAGGATATACACCAGTGGTCTGGCTGAGCCTGGAATAACAAGAATACGCTTAGACACACTACTTTCTCCCATAACAGAAATCAAAACACACAAAGTCTATGCTATCTGGTTGCAACCAAACAGCATTACCATGAGAAAACCAGGGGCTCTGATGCAAGTATATAAAAGCAATACAGAGACAAAACTCGCTACATCTCAGAATAGCTGATTACTGGTTATTTTGTGTGCAAAGCGGAAATGGAAGTATTCTGACAAAGCTTAGAAGAAATCCCTCTGATACCTATTTCTTGAAACAAAGATCTTTATTTCTTCTTTAATTCTTGAAACATTCAAGAACTATTAATACACATGCAATAAAGTTGCTTCTTGTCATTACAATTTCAAGACTAAGCCAGCCTGTCAAACTGAAACAGAGATGCTGTGAAACTTTTCTGTACCTCCTCCACAACTTCGCCAAAACTTTTCTAATGAAAGAATTAGTTTTAAAAGAATTACATACAAGTGAAGATGATTATTTGTGTTCAATTCTACTAGACGTTAATTAATTTTCAAAATAATAAATAGTTGACTTACAACTAAAATTATTTTATTACAATATTTCATGTTTATTACTTAGCAAAAATATCTTTTATCTATGAGTAAATTAAGTTTTGATGTATTTTGATTCTGGATCTCTTGAATTTCAGTAAATGCAACCACAAAACTTCTAGCTGGGCTTTGTCATCATGAAAAACCTGTAATATTATGGTTGAACATTTGAAATTTATTTATAAAAGAATTAATTTTAAATATCTCTTCTAAAGCCCTTTTATTATATGCAAAGGTTATTGGCAAATTATATAGCCACTCCAAAACAAAATTAGCAAGCATTTACCTATTTTGAGTGGTGTTCTTGGCAAAATTTTCACAATTTCTGAACTCTACTGCTCTCTTAATCGAAAAGTTAATAACCCAGTGCATATTATACATTTTGCATATGAAAATGCATCACACAAAACTAGCACCCACTTTATATGTTTCCCAATTATCTTAAGAAAGCAGTCATTATAAAGAATTAGGTGTGTAAATCTTAGCAGTTCCATAAATAGCAAAAATCCTCTGCTAATTATAAACCACTATATTTTTATAACACATTTCACGCTTCTTTTTTCAGAATGTTTTTCATTTCATAAGCCTTAGCAAAATTGAACAACCTGGAACTCTTTAAAATAAAATGTGCATATCTATAATTAACTATTATTTTAATTTTGTTTTCGCCAGTTACCTTTTTTCAGATATAGTCAAATTACTACTTGCAGAAATAACGGCTGCATTGGCAGGCAGTGGAGAAGAATTTAAAACAAAATAATCCCACACTGGTGAAAATGCTTCTCTGGCTAACCTAAAGTTTCCAGTCTGATAGGCTACCTACAAAACAAACAAACAAAACTTAGCAAGTTGACATGTTCATCAAATAACCGTGCCAGATATGATTATAGTATAACGAAGGTTTTAAAACTCCCCCCCAGCATGAAAAAATACAATTTCTCTAAGAATATTCTGGCATATTTGAATAAAATGCATGTAGTAATAATCTGATTCTATTAATATTAGTTTGGTTCAGATTTAGCATCAGAGAAACCAAAAGAGCTTCTTGACTGTGGACCAAGGATCTAACTTCACTTTGTGGAATACTTCACAGGTCTCGCGTTGCAGTTTTTGAAAGCATATTATTTCATCTAAGTTTATTTTACTTTCGCTAATAGTGCAGAATGCCCTGCTTCTCTGGATAATGGGATGTAAACGAAGCCAAACAAGTAGGCATAAATTCTTACTCTGGAATATTTTAGGAAATCCTCTAATCATTCCCCACAATCTATCTATAGGGCTAGACAATTTAATTTTTCTCCATGTTAAATTCTGTTTTAAATATCCTTTATTAAGAACACAGAAAATTATGATGAAGGTCTGAAAGAGTCTTTGTGATCTTCCACAAGACATTACAAAACTAATTTCAATACGAAAATGGTTAGCTTTGATACCTGGTAAGTCCAATCACATTTTTCATGCCATACCTTAATGACTAATGATTACTAGTATGTGGTCTCAATCACAAAAATGAAAAAATAAACTATGAAAAAGAAGAAAGAAGTTAAATGCAGACTGAAAAACAGGGACAGAGGTAAGAAAAATGTCTGAGAGAGTCCTTTATCCTTAACATGGAATTTTCAATAATTATGAATTGAGAACTGAGTTACTCAGATACACTATTTGTTATGCTAAAATTGTGATTTTTGCCTATCAAGCTTTTGGCAAGAAGGTCTTGAGTTTTTACCAGAGGCAGTTCAGTTTTAGAGCTACCAGTAACAACAAGTAATTACAACCAAATTAAATTATGTGTTTATTATCAGACTCAAACCCTACCTGAGTTAGATAAGATCGAGCAGTAGTAGCAGAAAGGGGTGGATAAGCAAGGATTGGCTTAGTCATTTCCCCGATGGCATCACCAATAAGTTTTCCATCAGAAGAATATGCTGCAACTGCAAATACATATTTCTCATTGGCATCTAAGCCCTTTATTTCCAAGAGGCTCTTCCCATCAGCTGGTATCTACCAATAAAAATATTTTCTAGTTACACCTACTGTACATAGCAAAAACAAATCTCACGTTCTAAACTTTTATTGTTAAAGAAATTATTCAATGATCTTTGATCCATTGTACAATCTAGATTGTAATGTTCCCATGTAATACTAGGTTCTTGAAAACAATGAGAAAACAGTGAAATGATATGTGAAAAAAGTATCAGTTTTCTCTGGAATGCTGTTTCATACACAGAGCACATAACCTAAGAGAACAGTTAAGTATCAGGAGCTGGACTTTTTCTAAGATACTTTTGTCCATTTGAACATTCACACTGTGATTGTGCATGCTTGCAGTCATTGAGCTGGAAACATTCTGGCCCTGAGCTGTGCTTCCAGAGAAAGAGCATATTGCTCTCCTCCATACACGCCACCTTCTTGTATCAGATACACACAGAGGATATCCCAGGTCCTTTCAGCACCATTAACAGCACTTTGGAGTTTGTGAAGAAAACACTATACTTTCAAGATCTTAATTTTTCCTTCAAATAATTTTGCACCTGCACTTTAACACCACAGCTAACTCCTAACACGCTTTTCTACCTTGCCCCCCATAACAAGGACAACTTATACAAGGAAAGTTTGAAGGTTTAAAGACTTTTGAGATCATCATAATGCAGCATCAATACAGTGCTCTTCATCAAACACAGTCTGGACTTCATAAGGAGACCTCTGAACAACAGAAATCCCTTCAAATGCTGAGGCTGAATGCTGAACCAGCAGACCACAAATCAGAGTACAACAGTCTGTTGCATCCCTTTAGAGCAAGATTTTCCAATACTGATAAGTTGATAAGCTGGAGAACGTTTGACCCCCAAGAATTTTTCTTGGAGCAGGCAGATACTGACTTTGTCTGCACGTTAACACTTTGCAAAACCACATTCTAAAGCAAACGAAACTCCATTGCTGAAGCATTTGGTTAACCTCAGGTCTGTGCATCTCCAGTGCCTGCCACAGCTGACAGTCAGTGGTTTGGATGGATTGCAGCAAATTCACAGAAAGAACAGCTGGCAGTGGGGTAACAGTCACCAATGAAACACAATTCACCAGGAGAAACTAACTCACTGAACATCAGAGAAAACTTGATTCTCTGGATTTGATGATCAGAGAATCAGGAAAAACATCAAAGCCTGTATTGCCAGTACCTCCACACACCTGTTCTTTTCATACACCTTCCTTTAAGGGAAGGAGCTAGGAGAACAGGTGTAATGGGAAAGATTTCTTCTCCATCACCAAAGACAAGTCCATCAGCACTAGCATAGAGCTTGCTTATAAAGCCAGGAAAGCTTGAAACATCAGGCAAAAGCAGTTGAGGTCACTCTTCTGTTGCAGAACCAAAGAAAGACCTGTTCTGCAAAGAACAGAACTCTCCACGAAGATTTCCAGATATAAAAATGATCACTCGGGTCTGAGACTGCAGAAAAATCTGCGAAAAGGATATGTTGAAGCTTTTTTGCCCCTTTCTTAAATCACAGTATTTGGATGGATCACAGTCATCATTCAGGAGGACAATCTAATAGCATGCATAAGTGAATGAAAACCAGAACTCTCTCTTGTCTGTGCAGAAACAGCAGAATGTGATCCAAAGAAAAAAGAACAAAACTACACTAATGAAAAACAAAAACAAAACAAAAAACCCCAAACAACAACAACAAAACAAACATTTTTTAAAAATTTTCAAAACATTAAGCATCAAATTATAATGAAAAAATAACATAAGACTACCAACACAGTCAACATGATCAATCATAAGTAATCAAAGATGTGTGGGATGATTATCCATACCACATGCTCACAGTATGAAAAGGAAAAAGCATGAACCTACAAGTCAATCATGTCTGAACCTGTAGGTTATTGAAGGACTTACATTATCATGCTGTCAGAATTAAGTAAGGCAATATCTGCTTAAGAAGAAATGGCTGCTAGAAGTTATGCAATTAAGAAAAATAATTACTTTTTTATCCATTTATAATTTCTTTTTTTTTGAATTCCTGGAGAGAGTAGTGTCTGAAGCACAGTATAAAAATACACAATATACTTTCTTGTACTTTTGCATTTTTTAGTTATCACTCAAAAGAACATAGTTATAACAGAAGGGACAGAGACTTGCTTAACTTTAAGTTTTTGAATAATTTATTATTTAAAAAAGATTCTTAGAAGTTTTTTGGTGTAAAGATCAAAAAGTTTGTCAAATGCTTGGCCAGTTACATGATTAAAATATATGTCAGATATACAGATTTAGAAATTTGATGTTTTTTAGAGGGAGAGAGTATGACCTAAACAAGTTTTACCTCTGTCTTACCTGTTCTCCTGAATTCGGAAGTTTATTGTTATTTAACCTTACTTTCATATTCCTTCCTCCTGCTACAGAGCCAAAAATACTGTACCATGAAACCTTTGAAGAAAATGAGAACAAAATTCCTTGATACACCATAGTATTTCCAACTTCTGCATAGTGTAGAATGTACAGATTTTGTGAAAAGAGTTTCTGCAAAAAAACCCCACCTTAGTTATAAAAAAGTATAGTCTAACTGCACTAGAAACATCAATTAATTTATTTAGCTGGAGAACTAGTTATACTAATATGGTGGGTTTCTGTGGCTGGGTTTTGGTAGGGGGGGGGGCTACAGGGGGGGCTTCTGTTAGAAGCTGCTGGAAGCTTCCCCTGTCCAGTGGATCCAATGCCAGCCAGCTCCAGGACGGGCTTTCTGTCACTGGCCAAGGCCAAGCCAATCAGGAGTAACAGTAATGCCTCTGTGATAGCATATTTAAGAACAGAAGGTTGTTGCACAGAAGAAATTCCAGCCAGGGAAGAGCAGAATGAGAACATGGGAACAACAATGTAGACACCAAGGTCAGTGCAGAAGGAGGGGCAGGAGGTGCTCCAGGCACTGGAGCTGTGGCCCCTGCAGCCCGTGGTGCAGACCATGGTGGAGCAGGTTTGCCCCTGCAGCCCATGAAGGACCATCGGGGTGCAGAGACCCACACGTAGACCATGGAGGAGCCCATGCTGGAGCAGGTGGATATCCAAAGGAGGCTGTGACCCCGTGGGAGCCTCAAGATGGAGCACGGTCCTGCTGGAGACCTGCAGCCCATGGAGAGGGAAGCCCACACTGGAGCAGGTTTTTCCTAAGTAGGACTTGTGGCCCCTATGGGGGACCCACGTTGGTACAGCTCATTCATGAAGGACTGCATCCCATGGAGGAGTGACCCACGGGACAGCAGTTTGGGAAAAACTGCTGCCGGAGGGATGGACTCACGCTGGAGAGATCCATCAAGGACTGTCTCCCATGGGAGGGACTCCATGGGAGCAGGGGAAGGACTCCTCTCTCTGAGCAGCAACAGAAACAACAACCGACTGTAACCTCCATTCCTCGTCCCCCTGCACCACTGGAGAGGAGGAGGGAGAACATGGAAGGAAGGAGGGAAGGTGTTTTTAAGCTTATTTTACTTCTCACTCTTTCGCTCTGACCCTATTAGTAATAAATTCAATTAATATCCCAAATTTGAGTCTGTTTTGCCTGTGATGGTGATCAGTAAGTGACCTCTCAGCTCCTATCTCAACTTTTTGACTCCTAGTACAAGAACTATATAGGTCCAATTAAATCCTGGGTATACATTTATGCTAAGAAACTAGTAATCCTAAGTGTCCAGTTAATCATTTCTTCATTAAAAATACCTTTCATGTTTGCTCAACATAACTTCAGAAAAAAAATTCTTCTGGATATAAGAATTACAATAATAATAAGAATAATATATTACAAGAATAGTAATCATATTCTGCCATCTAGTGGCCCAATATGTTGCATTCATTCTCCTGTATCAAACAAAATGAAGTTTGAAAACTTACTAAAACAAATGAACTACTGAATTTTAAAGATTTTTTTTTTAATTTCATTTTATACTCCTTAAGGATAAAAAGGATTAACTTTTCCCTAAGTCATTAATTTGAAATTTACTAATAAAACTGCAATAAAACTGCAAGTTATAAAACAACTGTTCACAGAAGCATTCTTACCATTATTAATAAGATTTGAGTGTAGCTAGTGTATTCAGCCTTTTTGAACCCTTTCTGGACATGGAACAGTCAGCATGGATTTACCAAGGGCAAATCACATCTGATCACCAGGACGGGCCTCTGTGACAAAACTACTTGATTAGCAGAGGAAGGGAGATAAGTAGATGCCATTTACTTTTCACAGTAGTGCATTCTAGGAGGATGAAAATCAATAGACTTAAACTGAAGCAAGGGAGATTCCAGCTGTACCTACGATAAAGAGTTTTCCCTATGAACATGTTGCCCTGTTGGAACACATTGCCTAGAGAAGCTGTTCAATCTCTTGTTTTCAGAAGTGACTGCATAAAGCCCTGAGCAGCCCAGTCTAATCTTACAGCCAACCCTACCTTGAGCAGAAGGTTGGACTAGAGACCTCTCCTGAAATCCCTTATGATCTGCATAGTTCTGTGACTCTACATGTGCAACAGAAAGTAAACTTTTCCACCTGAACTATGTCACTTCAACACTTCATAAACAGAGACTTCAGCGTGGTACTTTCTTGCATCATATGATGCAACAGTCTTGCATCTCTTCAGAAGGTAACTAAGAGTATATCAGCCCCCAAGCAAGTAAATGAGCTTTTGGTAAGTGGAATAAATAAGTGTTAGACAACAGAAGCACCAAGAAACATGATGCACTACATTAAGAAAGTTTCATATAAATCTGAAGATCAAAACAGTGAGTCACAATTGACTCAAAGAGGGGGAAAAAAAGGATACTTAATTAAGTCAGAATAACATAATCTTCTTAAGAACAGAGAAAAATGTGATGCTACAGCACTGCTGAAACAACTTTTCCTCTTGTGTATTTTTTAATTATTTCTCATGCAGTCATCATGAAAAACATTACCTGAATATCTGAAGAGAACGGAGCTGGTTTAAATGTCATGGAACAATGTGATCTAGAAAGTAAAAGAGGAGGAGGAGGAGTTCTGCCTTTTTTCTTGCTGCTCATAACTTCTTTGAGACTGTGATACAAGGCACTTTGTTCAGCTTCAACTTGCTCAATTAAAGTTAGTGCTGCCTATGATTTAAATTAAAACAAAAGGGAGAAACTATTAAAATATAACAATCAGAGAGATTTAGCACTCATAAATACTTTTCAGATTATCATACAAAATTTCACTGCTATGTAGAAAACTTTTACAGATTTTTGTATCGTCTTACATTCTAAATCAGGATAAACAGTACTTTGTGTAAGCTTTCATATGTAGATTAATTTCACAATTAGGGAATGCAGGGTTGCGTATGAAAGAGATAGGGTTGAGGCATATCCAATTTTGGAAGAATCTATAGGAAAAAAGAGAATGATTACAAATAATATTGAAGCAATTAGTGCCAAGCTGTGATTAGCTCCAACAAGAAACAAAAAAGATATCAACTCTTATTTGAGAGAAAGCTGAAAACCTAATCTGTGGAATTTCTGCAGGAGCTGTGGCTGTGGTTAGACTGATTTTCTGTACTTCAAAAATAGAGGAAAGAAATAAAGTCTAGAAATGAAGAAAAAGGAGGAGAATGTGAGAAGCATCCATACCTGTACAGTGGTTTACTGCATGAGAAATGGTTATTTGTATGCTCCTCAAAATAAAATAAAATGCTACCTATTTTGCTATATAATAATAACAGACTTATATGATATGTGCTGAGTACAGTAGAAAAGACCAAAATATAAGAGTAATTCTATATAGAGCTCTAATAAAAAAGGCAAAGGCATGAAAAGAAAGGTTTTGTTGTTTTCAGGGGTTTTGCTGTTTATTAAATGAGCACTGTCTACCTCAAGGAAGAAAATTAATTGAACATGTAATATCAAAGGAGATCATACTAAGTTTGTCCAGACAAAGTGAATTCTTACATTTTCTGGCAAATAGCTGCAGATATATTATATTCTTTTATCTACATCTTTCTTGGTGAAAAGTGAACAGAAGCAAGATGTAGTGAAGGTCAGTGTAAGGCCTTGGCAAATATTTGTTTGGGATAATCACACATTTCTTGGAAATTGCTTCTACATCTTCATTGGTGACTACAGTTACAACTTTCATACCATATCACTACATCTGGTATTCATGAATAACATATTCTACAAATATGTGAGAGATTTTTAATGTATATCTTTTCTAATCCAGTTTTTGAATTCTTCCGACATAAAAGATATATGTACTATCATGCTTCCAAATTTGTGGCAATTAAAAGAAAAACACTTTCCAGTATCCTCTTGTTTAAAATACTCTTTCATCTATTACATACTGAAAACTGTAGATTCTGTTATCTGTTGTACAGGCTGTAAAGAAATTTAAAGCCCTGCTGATGAGGAGGCAATTTTCATGGACAGATGCTGGTACAAAGCTCGGTAGAAAGACTCTCATTGATTTCAAGAGACTTTGAAACGAGACTATGAAGAACTTCTAGCCCAGATAAATTCCAAAATTCCAGTTTCAAAACTTTTATTTAATAAGTCACCAGCCAAAGTATATTCTAAGACAACTTAAAGATCTTGGAAAACTAACAATGTTGAAGGTTACAATAAGGAAAACTGCATGACATTTTGGCAAGGCACACATTCATAATGGCAAAGTCTGGGTGATTAGGTGTAGAAAGAAAGACCATATCTTCTTTCAGGTTTCCTGAAATCTCCATCTATGCACAAATTTTGGGGATGTCCTCTTTCCTTGTTTTAAGGTCACTTTATTCTTTTATTATAATGAAACTTCTCACAAAAAAAATTGACAATAGAAGTTAAAAACACACACTGTTCCTCAAGTTCCTTCCATTTTTCTTTTTTTTTAAGAAGGAGTAATCCCTGACTTAATTACACAGAACATGAAAAACCGTGATAATGATAAAGAATTTCTGTCATAAGATATTTCTTATTACCTCCAGTAGCTGCCTTTGGGAAGTACTAGTTAACTCTTCAGGGAACTTCTGCGCAGCCTTTTGCATCAAAAAGATTGCTCTGGATATCTTATTCCTTTTTATTTTTTTCATTATAAGTGCCTCTATAAAACAGATATTTTAAGACATCTATAAAACAGCAGCAATAATTTATTATAGTTCTAAAATTTTAATTAATAGGTCTTACCTGTTAAATAGTGGAAATCTTTATTATTCTTCACATCAGACTTACTAGACTTAAGACTTCTGTCATCCACTTCACCACCTGTGTGGGAAGGAAATACCAAGTTATTTATTTTGATAGTGCTATTGTGAAAAATGCAGTGAGAGGGGTTAATATGTAGTTTGTAGTAAAGCTCTGCTCCATCTCATGTTCTTCTCTTTGGTTCAAGTAGAATTTCTTGAACAGATCATGCCACTAAAAATATTCCACCCTCCTGCTCTAACATCTCTAGTAGTTATACTAACATCACAGAAAAAAAGAGCTCTGGTTTCATCATAGGGAGCATGGCACAGGGGAGCTCTACAGTGTCAAACTAATGCTAGTTTTCAATTTTAAAAAACCAAAACAACACTAAGAATGAGAGAACAAGTAGAGTTTTTTCAGAAGGCATCTGGCAAGAGTGGGATATCCGCTGACTGAAAAGATATAAAGACAACTTTATAGGAGTAGAAATTCAAATTACCAAGAGCATTGAATAAAATATTCAAGGCATTCTCTAGAGAGAAAAACAGGATTACAGAAAAAAAATCTGCAGAACATCCCCCCATTTTTCTTTACTGGCACTGCAACAGTTAATAACTAAAATACAAAACCAAACTGTCTAGGAATGAAATCCACTACTTGTAGCAAAGTTTAACTCCCATTGGTTGAGTAGAGGCTAGAGACTATTGTCATGTAAATCTAAATTCTGCAAATTCAGTACAGTATTTCTGTCTATATGAGGCATACAAACTGCCCAACATCAGCTCCTCTTCGAAAAGCAGGTACTCCTTTATTTCTTAGTATTACAAAATATATTAACAAAAGGACTCTAATCAAGCTGTGAAGATTATTTAACTTTACAGAAACCTACCTTGGGTAATTTTAAGAAGTTTCACAGCTACTCGATGTTGGGCTTGAATGAGCTCCAGGTGTAAATCTGCTACAAAACCATTATCTGTTCCTGTTTTATCATTACCACATCCCAAAACAGAATTCAAATTCTGATCATTTGAGTCCACCTAATAAATAGGAAGTGGCAATTAAGCAAATACAAACTTTTTTTACTTAGCTTACTGCATTTTTCTTAACACTGATATTATTTCAGTACATTGACAAACACTGAAATTTGTCATATCTGTCTAATATGCAATCAATCAAGAAAGCATGGTAGGAAGGAAAATGACTAGGCAGAGAAAGCATAGGTAATGGAGAGTAAACTAGACAAAATCTGAGCATGAATAGGAAACTGGATCAATAATAAAGATGAAACTGCAGAAAAATACATTTTACTGTGTTACCAATCCACACAAATAAATTCATATTAGTGTAGAATGGATATTTAGAAAATCTGAACTCCCATCAACAGCAAAAATTAATTTTAATAATAAAGTTGCAAGTAATAAATATTAAAAGTATTTCTGTTTTTAATTTATAGAAGAAATCTATATATTATAACTATTTCAAAAGAAAATTATAAAGAAAACTTAAAAGAGTTCATAATTTATTAATGAAAGAGAAAAATGCTATTTCAACTTGTGCTGGTTTTGGCTGAGGTAGAGTTAATAATCTTCATAGTAGCTGGCATGGGGCTGTGTTTTGGACTTGTGCTGGGAACAGTATCAATAATGTCAGGGATGTTTTCATTATTGTTGAGCAGTGCTTACACAGCATCAGGGCCTTTTCTGCTCCTCATACCACTCCACCTGCAAGCAGGCTGAGGATGCACAAGTAGATGGGAGGGGACACAACCAGGACAGCTGACCCTAGCTGGTTGTATGGTATGGGATATCCCATATGGGGTATGGGATGTGGGATATCCCATACTATACAACCTCATGATCAGTATATAAATCTCGGCAAAGATGAAAGGAGGGGGTTGTTTGGAGTGATGGTGTTCGTATTCCCAAGTAACTGTTTTGAGTGACGGAGTTCTGCTTTCCTGGAGATGGCTGAACACCTGCCTGCCCATGGGAAGCAGTGAATAAATTCCTTGTTTCACTTTGCTTGTGTGCACAGCTTTTGCTTTACCTATTAAACTGTCTTTATCTCAGCCTATGAGTTGTCTTAGTTTTACCCTTCCCCCACGTCCCTGCGAGGGATTGAATAAGCTGCTGTGTGGGGCTCAGTTACCAGCTGGGGTCAAATCACAACACTAATAAACAGAGATTTATTTTTTCTGTTCTCTTCCTACATGGGGCAGGAAGGCGAGGTACATTTGCTAGTACTAAAATTCCTAAGTATAAAGAAAATATGACATTTGTGTCATCAAAAGATAATATATTATTCATGGATTCTTTTGCAGTGTAGCTTTTCATAAACTTTACCTTTGTGCAGTAGTTGTCAAATATTGACTTTCCATCTGGTAGAAGGGTCATTAACCGAGATGCATTCATTCCATTAATTGCCTTTTCAAGACTTTCGTAAGCAATTTGTAATTGTTCCATAGGAGTTTTCTGAAATGAAAACACATATAAACACATTTTATTAGATAACAGCATTAAAAACTGTAACATGGACTATCAAAAGTAAATTGCTATAGTTTTTAGCTGTTGAAGTTTAAAATTTGTCAAATAATCTTTACATAGGCACTGCTCCCCATGCTTTCATATACTCATATCAATGTTTTAAATTTCAAGTAGGACTGATTTTCCTTCAGCTCTAAAAAAAAAAAAAATACCAGGAGTTAGCTTATAGCAGATGAAACTGAACTTAAGGAATTAAGTTGAAAACACAGTATTTTTCACAAGCAGTTTTTCAATGTTCCATTAGATGTTGTTAAGAAAACACTGTTTTTTCAGAAAATACCACCTTTAAGTAGACTGTTGCTGAATTAAGCCTTCTCCGTGTGTAAGCATTGGATATATCATTGACAAAAGTCCTGAATCCTCAGACTAATGCATATCTTTCCTTCTTAATGTGTTTTAGTAAGTCATTTGATTGGACAATTCTCCAAAGTGCTGAGCTCTTAACACACTGAACAAAGCAAGGACACTCAAGACATTTCATCTATTCCATACATCCCTTACAAAAACAAAGAAGCAAAAGTACAACCTAAAATATTTTCCTAAATGAAGCAAGGACTAAAATTTCCACCATCTTTAAAAGAATATGCTATTAAACCATTTAAAGCTCGTACTACACATTGGCATAAAAAAAAGGTGTATAGCAGAAAACAGCATGACCATGCTGTAAAAGTTTCAAATAAAACTTCTGCCACATAAAGGATTGATAAAAAAAACTCAGGGAAAATGTTCAAATTTTATTTCATTTGAAAAAATATCTTTGTTTTTTTCCTCTGCACTAGCAAGATTGTGTGAAACAATCTTTGTAAAACTAAATATAAAATTGTATTAAAAGCTTCAAGCAGAAATATTCTTACACTATTTAAAATCATCGTATTAATGAAGATAAATTAGACGTTACCATTAGTATTTCAGGGATATCACAGGTTTCATCTTGTGACAGAGAGGCACTTCTTTCTCCTTTTTTTATAGGAAGAAAATCAGAAGTGAAAATTAAATAAATTCAGAAAATTTTAGTTCCATTTGATTAGCTCTACTACTAATTTAAGAGTGTGGCAATAATTCAGTTCTTCAGTGTTTGACTATGAGAGGTAGTTATATTGATACTTGAAAAGCTTTCTGGGGTTTAGACACATAGCTACAATATGTACAGTTATACTCATACAGGAGATGATTATCCAATGATTTTGCATTTTTAAATTTACCCTATATTTCACACCAACATTATATCTAAGCCAGCAAAACTTGGACTCATTTTGTAGTTCCTCACATTGTTGTAGTATTCATATCAATTCTCCATTTTGAAATCAATTCAAATCTATTATTATCTAATTCACGGTGGGTTTAATGCTAATTTTACTTACAGGAGCCTTTTTAAGCATAGGTGGTCATATTTTTATGACATATACTATTTCAATTTAATATTTCTCTAAGTGGTATTATCACCTTTTAATGTTCACTTTGACTGTTTAAATTATTTTCACCTATAAAGAATGCATTCAGACTTGTGTTTTCTTTTTCAAAACAAGAGGAAGCAATTTATCAGTTCTGGGTTGCAGCCCTCTAATTTCATTTCTTTGGTGAAGTAAATCAATTTTTTACCCTTTCAGAGGGACAACCTTCTAGTCACTCCACTTTTGCCTGCTTATTTCTGCTAGTTCACCATCTCTTTCTCATAAATATGAAAATCTATATTTGCTCCATTTAATAAATAGACTTAGCATAAAAATGTGTTTGACTGGCTATTTGTCAGCCTGTTTTGACCAATGGCTCCTATCTCTTCAGGTTTTTTTTCCTCCAAAAAGACATATTTAAACTGAATGAAAAAGAAGAGAAGTGGTTCTAAAAGGAGGATTCCTCCAGTCTCCCTGAGAACAGTATCATTTACATAACACCACCAAAAACAATATCTACTCTACCTTTATAATGAACAGTAGTTTTCCAAGATTTTTTTACTTTCAAAAGAGCAAAACTATTGTCATTGCTTTCTGTTTCTAGATATGGTCTAAAAGGATCCTTAACACTTACTCTCTAGTTACCATAAAGCATTTATGAGAACTATGATACATATTCCAAAATACACAATAACAGAGAACTTCTAAAAGTGTGTCTAAATATTCATATTTTACAGCATTAGTTAGGTTTTGGAAGGAAAGGTTTTTAATGTAGTTGTGATTGCATTATATCCCAATAGTGTCAGACAAGTTCAGTTTCAAAGACAGTTGAATTCCTATACAAAAATCAAGGCTGAAAAAATCAAGAAAACCAAACTGATGACCCAGTAAAAGCAAAGCTTCAGTATGACCTTAATATTTTCCTCTTTTGTTTGACCTGCCACTAGTTAACCAGCATTTGAATGCTCCAAATGAGCTGTAGCACGTACTGCCTTATGCCCAGCCAATATTCAGGGAACGTATCAGTGATCTGAGGCTACTCTGAAGGGGCTAAGACAATATAGACCCATGGGGAGGGCAAGTAATAAGAGGTGTAATTCAAAATGGGGTTACTCTGGTATAACCAGAAATGTAAGGGAAAAAGGTATAGATCTTATGAAAATCAGGTTTCATTAGTTCCAATTACAGATGAAATTCTGTGCAAAAAATTATCATTCCACTCTCAACAATCTCTTTACAACATTTTTTGAATACCTATGTTGTCAAAGTTCTCAACTCAGAAAAGTTCTTCTCTTGAAAGTCATTCTTGAAAGAAAACCAAATGTTTGTTGAAAGCTTTACCTTCTTTTTTCTTAGATTCACTCATAGAATTAGCTATGTTTTCCAATACTTCAGTTAGACATAAGGTTATCTCTGCAAACATTACATTCGTGTCTGCTATGCCGCTCTTCTCAATTACTTCATTTATTATCCAGAGTATATGAACCCACTAAAAATGGGGGGAGGGGAAAGAAAAAGAATCAAGGCAGAGTTAAAACAAATTTTTGGAAGATATTTTTGTATTATAGAGGTAGGTACGGTTTTGCACTCAAAATTGTTTAAAAATATTCATGAGCACGCACACAACTCCTTTCTTGGATTGGTCTTCTTTTTCTGAATGCCATCAGATTAAGATGGTGAATTTATGCTGTTCCATAGCCCCTGTTTCTTCAGAGAGCAGACTTTTTTTATTTTAGAATATTATCATCCCTGCCATTCCTTTGAGAAAGGTTTATGAATGTTCTACAGCCACAACTTTTATACCTTGGTATAGTGTAGTAATTCTTCCAGTAGATTTGATCATATGCCTCTCATTTATCCCAATATCTTCCCACTTAAACAGTATAAGAGACCTGAATGCTACTGTTGTACATACAGAGGAAAGTAACCATACACTACCTCTTGGTGAATCTCTGAACAATTTTACTACAGGGACCAAGTCACAAAATTAACTCCTCCAGGAACTGTTTGGTTAGCATCAACTGGTAGCCCAGAGAAACCAGTATGAATTATCTTCAGAAGACTGCACTTCACAAGAGTCTCTCAGTCTCAGGAAAAGTTCAGAGTAAGGTTGTGACTCTGTCCAGTGGGACAAATACTATTGACCCCCCTCTGCCTTGTCTTTTTCTGCCACAATATATCAAATGCTTCTTCTTTTATTATGCCCAAATGCTTTCACTATTTTAGCTTCTTAATACCATGGCCCACTGGTAGAGAATGGGTTACTTTACTGCAAAAAGACTAAGAGATATTTTGATGCTGACATATGGGAGCACAGTTTGTTCAAAGCATATATACAATTCCTATTTTCAGTGAAGAAGACTACCTGCATTTCACCACAAGAAAATGTACTTAGGCTGGATACCAGTATTTTATCTTGGCTTAACTATAATAGACTGCATTCATATTAAGAGAAATACATTATAATGAAGGAGTACTTGGTAAGCTTTGTATTTGTGGATATATTCTAAGTAGTCACTTCCACTTGTTTGGATTTGCTGAAGTTCCATTTTACACTTCTGCCACAAACACATTATTACATCAAAAAGTATTTCTTTGTCAGGATGGACATTCTGGAAAGAAAAAAACAATATAATTGTGGAAACAGGTAAGCATACAAACACACAAATAACCCAGTATATCAAGAGTCTCAACATTTTTCAACATAAGTAAATAAACCATTATCATATGTAATTTTCTTCCAAGGAATGACAACATTTTGACAACGTCTTGAAAGCTTAAGAAATATTTTTAAAAAGTAATTCTGGTAGACCACACAAGCTTTTCTTCTCACAACAATACAAGTGGATTTAGAGGTTTGGGGGCTTTATTTCTCTTTTTTATGACAAGCACTTAAAAGTAACACAGACAAGGAAAGAAGTGAAATGAAAATTACACAAGAAAGCAAATTATCTGTGAAATGTTATAATAATCAACACATTCTGGAGAAACTTTCCTTTTTTTTTAATTACAGTATTTAAATATTTGCAGAAGAAAATCTAAATTAATAGTTTTATTTTGCATTGAGAGAGTACTTCCATGGGTTGTTGGTGCATCTCAGATGATGGAGCAGTGAAGAACAACTTAAAGAACTAGAAAAAAAGCTTGGAGTGAAATATCTAACAACTGAAAGAAATGTTAAACAACACCTGCATCCTGTGAAGAGAATAATTAAGAAATTCAAATCTATTCAATTACCCTAGTAATTAACACATTTTAAAAGGCAATAGAGGCCATCTACACCATGTAAAACACATTCTGATCAGAGAGTAAGGACAGATTAGGTATCAAAGAGATTTGTGGGAAAGTGTAGAAGAACCAGAAGAGTTTAAATCTAGGTAACTGCCTCCATGATACAGAAGTCGTGTTAGAAAACTGACAAATCATGCTATCTAAAGGTACAGCTACCTCACAGGCAACACATTTTGACTGAATATACTACCCTAATGCTAAAAATGTGTGTGCCCTAATTGTATTCACATTATGTAAATATTCAACTTATATCTAATATAAATTTTGCAGTTAAGACATATGCCATGTTAGCAGAACAGGTTTTTTCTAAGGAAAATTTTTCATTAGACTTTTGGATCACAAACTATTTCAATGGAGACATTATATATACATGTATATATACAACACTAGGTTTTTCCCTCCCAGTAGCACATTAAGGGGAAATCTCAGTTTCAGAATGTAATATATAAGTGGGAATAAACAATCAGAGGTATAATGGGATTAATTCCTCAGCACAGAGAGTCCCACTCTCACTGGTTTTGTTGTTGTTGCTGCTTCTTTTGCATTTTTTGCAGTGAGAATTAACCTTAAATTGCAGACATACTGCTGCTATAAAGACGTAATTCCTTAGGGTAACTGCTCCCATTTCTACAAATATTGCAGAAATGTTTTCTATAGCTGAGTGTATTTGCCTACCTAAATCTAACATACGTCAAGAAATTTGATCTCTGCTTGATAAGCGGAAACATGCAATCAGCTCTACAGTCTTCCAAATAGATTTAATATGTATTAAACATTTTTAAGTACCCTGATTACCTAGCACCAATTTTAGAAAATTAAACCATTTTTTAATAACAAATTGATTAAATTTTGTATGTACATTTTTTCATTTTTTTATATTCTTACAGATTGTTAATCATGCAACTGATTCCTTTGGTCCTCAATTATATGCACTAATCACAAATTAAGTGATACACTTAAAAGAAACATCTCTAATTCTGTTATTACCTGCTGAGATGTGGAAACACAGGAAAACACTGTTGTTGCCAAAATGGTAAGATCGTTATAAGGCTCTCCATGCTTTAAGGAACCCTCTACATTCAATGTTTATAAAAAAGAAAGAAAAGGACAGGCAAGACATTATATCTAATTACAAACCTATGTTTGAAAACATCTGAGTGAACTGACTTACTAAAATATGCCAGCAGATAATGTGGTCTAAGAAACAGTAAATACAGCAGGGACAGATATTCCCAAGTTTACTCACTTCTGTGAAAAGTGAGCATTTCTATTTTTAGGTAATAGAAAGTTTTCAAGAAATTTGCAGGGTTTTTTGATTGTCATAGAATTAAACTGCAGTTACTCTAACAAGTTTTTCTTGCTTCTATGGAGAGAAATTTTGCATAAATCAAGTATAAGAACAGGAAAAAACCCTTTTTTTCTGAAAACATCTATTTGTTTTATATCTTTGCTTATAACTTGATGCATGTTTAACATCCATCATGCATTTCACACTGGAGGAGACTTGTATAGTCATATTTTGACAAGTGAAAAATGGACAAAATTTGATCGGTGGCAGTTTCTCAATTGCTAGTTTTCATCATAGAATACTGCATGCACCATATTACATAGTTTTTAAATAATTAACAAAATCTCTTGCTGCAAAAATATTTTAAATTCAAACACAACTATAACTGAGTAACACTCACCTCTAAATGTTTGTGTCTTTTCAGAACCCTGGGGTGTGCTAGCTTCTTTGCTATTATCTTCACTAACAGAAGAAACACATTCAGATTTTCCTGGAAATAGTAAAGGTTGCATCAACGTAAGAAGTTTGAGCTCCATTTCAGCTTTCTTCCATGTTGGGTCATCTTGAGCCTAATTGAGAGGAAAAAAACCACAGAAACTGGTCTTTAAAATATGTACTTTGAATACTTACCCTCATAAAAAGAGACTAAATAAAGAATGTCTAAAAAGCATCCAGATTACCTGAAGAAAATTAACAACAAGTTGAATAGCAGAATCAAACACTTCCCATTCTTCATAGCTGAAAGCTAATTTTATGAATTTCACAGCAGCATCTCCAGACACCCCCTTTTCTCCTGCAGTGATGACAAAAATATTTTCTCTCTTTTATATATATATTCAGAAGTTTATTTAAAGTTTAATTTAATTTAATTTAATAATTTGGGTATTGATAAATACAAAGATAAAATTCCACGTTTTGAACAATCAGCATATTCTTGAAGGACGCTTTCATAGCTCTACAAGAAATGACAGCTTTATTATTTCATGATAATGTCTACGCTTACATGCTACTTTAATGATGTATCTGCAATCAGAATCATAAAGGTTTGAAGAGACCTCCAAGACCATCAAGTCCAACTTTTAACCAAATACCACCATGCCCACTTAACCATATCACAATGTCCTGTTACATTCCAAAGAGGCTGTACTATTATTGGTACTAATGTAACTCTACAGAATTCCAAGGAACTCCTCCTTTCTGTTGCAGGAAGAGTTTAAATCTGGGACCACCCCATAATGACCCTTATTGCCAGAAATTTAGATTAAAATTTACACAGAAACACATAAAATTTCTTTCAAGATAGTTAAACATTTCTCATTATGCGTCAGAAAATGTTCATATATATATAGGGAGCCTATTTTCTCAATCTTCAAGTTTATCCAAACCCCAGCAAGGCAGAAAAGGGACTTCATGGTCCTTAGAGCTCCAAGCAAATATCTCAGCTAATATATTTATTCAGCAGTGTTCTGCAGTCCTAGCAATATGCCACAGTCACTATCATATCCCCTGGGCACATGGTCACTCAGCTAAAGATGTTAGCAGTATTAACTTAGTAATGTAACTTAGTTGTGATTTCCAAAGCAGCACAACGATTGGTCCAAGGATCTCAACAATCTTTGTGTTACTGCATCCCACTTCTCTTCAGTAAGAAGGTACCAGGAAATCATTGCAGAATTTGGCCTTTCAACTATTGTTGAGGGGCATTAACCTACCTAGAGGAACTTATATGCTGAACAGTATGTGATTACGATGTCCATATATTACTGCATGTTATTTAAATAATTCTTGTGTTAAGAAAACTGTAATGATATATGTACATAATCCCTTCTGAATATCTTAATATTACGTGTGTAAACAAACATATCTCATAGAATCACAGAATATCCTGAGTTGGAAGGGAAGGGAACCACAAGGGATCATCAAAGTCCAGCTCCTGGCCCTGCACAGAACCACTCCAATGGTGGACACCATTTTGCAGTCCCTTTATGCATACAACTACTTCTAACATGAAAATTAATTCTGCTTACTGAACATTTGCATCACTGGGTACAGAATATTTTGAAATTCAAAGCTAGCTTACCTGTTACTATCAACTGCAGAAGGGTTGATGATGGATTAATGTTACCAAAATGACTGGTGCCACTCCTTGCTACACCTTCAATACAGACAACTCATTAAATCAATTTATAATGTCTTTGATTTGTTACATTCTAATTAGCTAGTAATCATATAAAGAAAATATCATTCTGAAGGGTATTTAGTCTCTATAAATTCTTGACAAAATGACAAAAATATTCTATACCTACGGCTATATGCAGCCCAGAGCCCAGCAAGAAAGGTGTGGTCAGAACCATCTAGTCCAGAGTTTTTCTCAAGTTTTTAAATCTATAAGTTATTTTTTGGAAAAAAAAACCACAAACAATAACAACACCAAACAAAACCAAAACCATCAAACACCATACTATTTGACCTTATCTGGCTCCTAGACCCCCACCCAGCTGCTCTCTCACTCCCACTCCACAACAGGATGGGGAAAAAATAAGATGGAAAGCTCATGGGTTGAGATAAAATACAGTTTAATGAGAAAACAAAGGTATGACTGCAAGTGAAGTGAAAAAGGGGATTTATTCACTATTTCCCATAGATGGGCAGATATTCAGTCACCTTCTGTAAAGCAGGGTTTTAGGATGTGTAGCAGTTGGTTGGGAAGTGCCCCCATCCTCTCCCTTAGCCACAGGTGTTACTGCTGAACACGATGTTTTATGGAACTGACACTTGGTGAGTACAGGTCAGCTGTGCCAGCTATGTCCTCTGCCAGCCTCCTGCCTACCCCCAACCTGCTGGCCTTAGGGCAAAGGAGGGTTGGATAGACAGCCTTGATGCTGTGCAACCACTGCTCAGCAATAGTAAAAACACTGGTGTACTAAGAACACTGCTTTAGCCATAAATGCAAGGTGCAGCACTGTAAAGGCTGCTACAAAGAAAGTGAACCCCAGTTTACTTAGAAAATATATGCATAAACTACTGCAGATTTTTACTGATATAACAGACCACAGAATCAACCCCAATTTTTATCTCACACATCATGAAGATAAGAAAGATTACCTGTGTTTACAGGTGCTATTGTTATAAACGAAATATATGCCTTCAGGCAAGATATTTTTTAATAGAAAAAAATAAAATAAAACAGAGGTCCAGGCTCCTCACCTCCTCCTTTTTGCTTCTTTAAGCTGTTACCCGAGAGGATTTCTAGGCCTGCAAAAAACAGCTCTGAAATGACATCACGAATTTCAATTTCATCGGGAACAGGTGGATGAGGGTGCAAGACATTCCTGCTACTATCAGAGAGTGCTTCCAGGATGGCAAGGAACTGAGCTGCAGCACCATCAAACATTTCCACCAGCAGCCGTTCAGTAATAGTGCGAGGCCATGGCAACTAAGTAAGAAAAGATAATTTAAGCCTGGTGACATCTAAACTGACTTACAACAGAGCAAAATTTCTTTCAAAACAGTTCTCCATCAGAAAGTAAGTACACGTTTAAAACAGAAAATAACATACTGTAAAATATATTGTTGTTAATTTCATGCTTCAAAGGCACAGCAAAGCCTTATGCTAAGAGGATACACTACTTAAGAAGGGTAATAATTTCATAGCAACGAGATGCCCCACTGCATGGCATTTTACTTCAAAAATAATACAATAGAAATTTTGAGTGAGAGTATTAAGGCCATGTAGTTTAAAGCTAAGCAGATCTCTCCTCGTAATTTTCTAAAGTAGTAATTACTACATCTTCCCCTCTTTTGAGTTTGTTCTGAGTTTTATTAATAAATTCTGCTAACTATGAAGCTGAAAAAGTAAAACTTTCTGCTTGTGTATAGCACCATGTGTATTTAGAAGAATTATATCACATATTCATCACATGCAAACAGTAAATAAAGAGAAGGATTATACAAAATGTTAGACTTACATGCAGTGCTTCTTTTGGGCTAACTCTTGAGTCACGTTGAGAGCTTTTCGACTTTCTTCTGGATTCATATACTGCTCTTTTGAAAATCATTACTGACATCTGACACAAAGAAAAAAGTAAGTAAATAACTATGTTATGTGTTCTGTTCATAGAGACTGTAACTACTCTACCTGTTTATAATAAATTGTAGGATGATACCTTTAGAGTGGCCTCTTTAAAAATCTTTCTCCTCTCTGACTTTTCTGGGGAAGAACTGATATTTTCTAATTGCTTCAGTTCATCAATTTTAACCAGACCACGGCGAGCAAATACCTGTCCAAAGAATTAAAAAACAAAAATTGGTACTCTGTGTTCATATTCTGAATGTTGGTATTTAATTTTAGAGCTGGCCACTGCTTAATGCTAGAAGTCTGTGACTGTGAGTATATTACAAAGTACTATTGCATTTAACTTTGAGTTGATATACTCATTTACATGTGGAAACACAACTCCACTTTGCAGTTAAAATTTGGAATATTGGCAGAACTCTAAATGCATACAATCTGATAATAAGCAGGAATATTGAAATAAATATTTCTCATTTGATTGCATCTGAAATGCTACATAAGGTAAATTGGGGTACCTCTCCATGAATGCTGGCTTGACAATCAAAATAACACTGAGAAACTGCAGTATATAAGGTGGCTCTCCATGTCAAATAATGTACAGATAAGAGTGGAATGGATGATTCCATGCATATACTGGCCCACAGTAAGTACTCCAGAACCTGTGTTGAAGAAATTCATTTTCAAAATGAATGCATTTTAACCTACATAAATATACTTCCTACTACTAAAGGACAGATACAAGGACTTATCCTCACCTGGTAGGACAAATTAAGGGGGGGGGGGGGGGGCAGGGGGAATCACAGAAACTGTATTATTTTTAACATTTTTATTAACTTCAAGCATACTTCCTACATAGTGTTGCTTTTTTCCATCTGAAACTGTGGTCAAGCGTTATATTTTAGCCTCCAAACTACCTTAACCACTCCAGTTCACGATAGCCTTGCCACCAGTCAGAGGTCCCACCCTTTTCTCTCCTCTGCTCTTCCCTTGACAGTTATCCCTCTCCCTTCTGGCAGCTCTAGTGATCACTTTTCAACAAGATCAGCAAGCTTATTTGGGCTGCAATGGAGTCTGTCTTTGGTGACAGCCTGGGCTTAGATTAATTTATAACCATGGAACTTAGACTTTCGGCTCTTAACTGGTGGAGCAACATAGTCTCAGTCTCATTTTAAGATCAACAGTCTTATTTTAAGAATTAATCCTACTAAATTGATTGAACAATATCTTCTCTTTATTATTTTCTTTGTATCAGCTGTTCCCTGAGGTATATAAAATGTGCACAACCATAGTCCTAAATTAAGTCAATATACAGATTTTCTTTTAGTCTAAATTTAAAGAATCTGAAATATCTGCGATCAACTCATTTGCTTCCTGTATAGTAGGAACCTGAATATAAAGGAGGTTAAAGGAGGTGCTTAATCACTTCTCATTTCAATAAAAGATGTTCAAAGAGAAAAAATCTTTCCTGCTCAGTGAGAGATTAATATAATCAACATATAAGGAAATATACTGTGTTAAGGCTGAATCATATTCTGTTCAAGATCTAGGTGAAAAGAGTAAAGCTAAGACAAACAAAAATTACATTCAGTCAAAAAGAAAAAGGCAGGAGGGAAAGCCCAGGTAGTTTTTATCAACTATTTTCAACTAAAAAACCCAGCCACCAGGTGTCAGTACATTTCCGCATTTTAGGAAACAAAAGACCAGTTCCTGGGGCACGGCACAGTTATCCAAAACAAAGCACCTAGAATCCTCTCAAATAGCTTAACACATGCCATCTAAGTGTCCAGCAAGACATTACTCCGAGCTCCATTCGACAGCTGAGGAAGGAGCAGACTCCTGAAGGCATGAGGGCTTAGAAATCGGCCACTTTGCAATCTAGACATTTTATTTCCTTGTGACCAAGCAGTACTCTTGGCAATGATGATGAAACAGAGACATCAGGGCACAGTGTTATGCAAAATACAGGTGCATTTTCCAAACTTCTGTAAATTTTTCAAGGCTTTTAATTTATTTTGCCATACCTTAGCAGACTGACCTATCGTCATCAAATGTCTGCATATGGTGTAAATATAAACAGTACCTGCAAAAATAAATTAAAATAAATTAAAAAAACTGATAAATTCTATCATCCTACATGAAATTTTGTTATGTTAACCAACTGAAACCTTTTCTTATTGTCCAGGTTGTTATTTCCAGAGAAAAAGAAACTATTGATTTTTCATTAAAAAAAAAACCAACCAAAAATAAACTAATGATTTTTCTATAAAAACTTTTCAATTAGAGAAGATGAAGCCATTAAATTCTCTGGTGACATTAGCATCAAAAATACCTACATAATGAAGTAGTACAATAAAAGAATGAAATGTTAAAAATGTATTGTATCAAATTTTTATTAAGTAACTGACGGAGAGAAAAATCTTTTCATCCCCAAATGCCAGGGTCTTTAAAACAAAATACTACCTCTCCTCACAGACCTTACCTTACATGATTCTTTTAGTCTGTCATGGCAGTGGCCTGGCAGACAACACCACTATTACATGATATTAAGTATGATAAGTGACATGAAGAAAATTGATAGCAAGTTGAGTTTTCAAGAGCATCAAAGTGACTTACAAATAAAAACCTGTCAAAAATTTACTTAACTTAAGCTATGTCATAAAATTGCTTTTCAAAAATCAGTCTAAGAAGTATAAAAGACACTGCAGTTCTGGGGGGGAAAAAAGCCTATTCTTCTGTCTGTATGAATGTTCAGAAAGGGACACCTGTGGCAGCAGGAGGCATCACAGTGTCAACTGTCATAGCTAGAAGGGTGTTATTATGCCAATAAGCTGGAATGGAGCAAGCACTATGAAGATTTCTTTTTGTCAGTCAAATGTGTAATGAGGCACAAAATCTATTGTTTGAAATTGCAGAAAAATGCTCAGGAACTCAGGAAAATCTGAGTTCCTGCCTAGTTCTAATTAGAGCAGATTATTGGCTAGGATAGGTACATAGGCCTGTCTTGCATACAGGTAGTAGGATGTAAAAATGGCAAGTGAATATACTTTAATTCTTCTCCCATAGAAACAGACAATAAAACACACATCTCAAAAGTAGGGATGGCGAAGGCAGTCTCAGCAAAACAGAAGGATAAGAATTTTGACAAATTATAGCTCAGAGAAAGTAAATTTTTTAAAATGAAATTAAATCATATTATCTCCTCAATTTATATTGCAACAATTGACCATAGTCAATTCATAACACATCCATAACAGCATTTTGACTTTGGACTAAATAACATTGCACTTCAAAGCAAAAATATACTGTTGTTGTTCCTGAAATGAAAATCTTGATACATCATTCTCTTTCTATCTAGTCTGCAGAAGTTCCATTCTTTCCTCACCTTTTTCCTAATTCAAGCATTTACAAGTAGCACATTAAAGGCTTATATAGAGATTAAAATTCTTAAATTTCATATGGTATTTTTAAAATAGTTTTATTACTAACTGTAGCCTTCAAGGTACTTTAGAAAATACAAATACATAACGGCAGGCAATCACTTTCTACTCTTAGACCTATAATCCACTTTAAAAAAACCAAAACAAACCCAAAACCAAAAAAACTCATAAACACAAACATTTATTGATAAAAAAATCTTGAGGGTGTTTTTGTTAATCAGGATTCACTCAAAAAATGCCCTTACTGTGCTGTTAGATTTCTTTTTATTAGTACACTGTAAACAGTTATGATAAAAAAGCTGTTGCTTTTACAACAGTTCACCTGAAAAGGCACACTATGTAGAAACTTCAATCTTAAAGTCCCTTCTTTTAGAAAAACAAACAAACAAACAAAACACAAAAATAACTCCCACAACAACACCAAAAAAAAAAACCCTAATGTGAGTGAAGACTAACTAGAAGGCTAACTAGAGATTTATTCATGACCATTTGGTTGACCTTAAAGAACATGTACAGAAGTTTCCCTCCACAGCTTTGCTTAGCAAAATGATGTACCATTGTAGATAAGCCAACACAAATTCTCCCAAGGTAGAGCCACTTGCATAGTGAGCCGTAACGAGGTCAAGACATCTAAACAAGTCTGCAGGGACTCTTGATTCTGGAGATTTCTGTCTCTGCTGCAAACCATCTGATAAATGCAAACATTTCTTGCTTGCAAAGCATGGAACTAAAACAAACAGAAACATATATAAAATTAATTAAAATACAAGCATATGTCAGTTCACATCATCAAAGTACAATGAAATGGTGAGTTGGAAAAGATCAAGCATATCAGAAAAAAAATCAGCATGACATTGAAATGAGCATTAGAATACAGAGAAAGTGCTAAAGCTTTAGGGTTGCTGTACCATTAGCCTGAATCAGTTTCCACTGTGTCACAGGATGAAAATGCACATAGTGCACTAGGGCTGCTGAAAGGAGTGTAGGGAGAATGAGGTACTAAACTGCTATTCAAACAATCTGGCTTTAACTCTTGGCTTCTCCGTAGATGTATCCATAAACTAAGGCAAGTCTTAACTTTTCTGGACTTCTCCATCTGTATCACCAATATCTTATTTCTCACTCTCATCTGTTATTTTTCTCTTCTACATATGGATTGGTCCCTCTCTTCCTTGTAATACCTAACCTAACATGATCACAGTATTGTCTGGAGTACAGCGTCATCTGAACAAACCAACATGTGAGAAAATGAGCTAAGTGAGACACGGCCAGTCAGTACCCATCAACCTCTCAGAAGATTACTAACCTAATAATATTTTTTTTGCAGTTAATTAACTGAAGCTGAAAGTTTCGAGCCCTGAAACTCCATTTCAATGATTTTCTTAGTGTTATACTAAAAACCAAAAGCTAGCTGCAGAAACCTGGCCAAAAAAAAATTACCTCTAAAGCCTTTAGATGTAATCATTTGACACATTATCATTTTCCATTTCCAATTTTAAGGATCATTGTCAAATTAGATTCCATATCTGAAAATTTATGGATATCTCAGTCTCTAAACTTATAGAACAGGCATTTAGTATAGACTCATGATAACATTTGGCACTAAAGTTGGTTCAAGGTCTAGGCAGACATACAGGAAACAGAAGAAAGCATCTCTGGAACTTCAAATGTGTTTACAAAACATTTTTTAAAAATGGATTAACATAGTCTTTCATCATATTCTTTCTAGGAAGCTGAACCGAAAAACAAAAAAATTATACAAACAGAGTATCTCTTCTATCATGACATCTGCTCCTAGCTTTTAAGCAAACTGTCTACTTTTTTCTCTTCTCTAAACACCTCTTTGCATTCTGACTAGAGGAATATGAATTTGATTACCTCAATACACAGGAGATGCTTACTGTTTCTGTTCATTGCTCTTGATCACAGAGTAACTTGCATTAGCTAATTTGAAATATCCACTATGTATGAACATAGACCTTCTCAGCAAAAAACTGCTTATGGTAAAATCTAACATGTTTTTAGCATTCCCCCTATATCTGCTGAAACACTTTCCTCCACAGATAACAGAAGATATACTGCAAGTCCCTACCTCAACAAGCAATTAACAAAAAGGGGTTCCAACACACTCTTGAGGTCACTCAGCTTCCTAGAGCTTAAAGCAGTTACAGAACTATCCAGCATTCTGTATTTTTTGTTCATAGCAAGCAAATAAGCTACATGGAGTAATGCAATGCTGCTTTGCTTACTATCATGAGCTTTTTTACCTGTAGCATTTTTGTGCGTTAATGGTACAAATTACAGGACAGTGTTTTAATTGTCTTGCACTCTGCCTAGTTCTTAGATCATACAGTACAGAAATGTCTACAGCTGCAGTACATTTATCAAATTTTGCCCATATCCTAATTCTGACAGTGGATAATAGCAACTATTTCAGAGCAAAAACTGCTGTAAAGAGTTAGAGAATAACCAGTTCAGAGAAAACTGCCTTTTTTAACATTAAGTTGATAGTGGTTGGCTTATGCCACAAAAGCATTAAGCACTTATAGCCTCTTAAAAATATACCTCAACTCCAGACGTTCATATCATGCACATGACCATTAAATCTCAATACAATTTATAGCAACAGATTAATAAAAATTAGTTAATGTTAATATATAATTAATATGAAACACACTAGGGGAGGATAAAAAAAGCTACTTACTTTGAATATGTTAATGTCTTTGACCAAAAAAATGAAAAAACCCCACAACCTACCGTAAGTGCAGCCTTTTTGTCTCTGAAACCATATGGAAAAAAGGTGGATTTAAATTGATGCACATCATCCATGATATCATCAAGGTTTACAGAAACAAATTGCTGAAGGTATCTTTCATAGCAGTGGAGAAGTGCCAACTTATATTCCTGGAAAATGAATAATATGTTCTTTTTATAGTTTGTATATTATGTTTCTATTTCTATAAAACATATTATTTTTTATTATCCCTACGTAAAAAAGTATCAATGTGAAAGAGCAACTGAGAGTAAAACACTACAGTTTTACATAAATATCGAACAATGTAGTGTGAACACTCAGCATATGAAAGGCTGAAATACTTAAAAGAATGGCTTACAAGTTTTTGTGAGTTTCTGTTTATTTTATTCATAAATATGAGCCATCACAGAACAACTGTAAAGTAGGATCCCGGTATAACGTAATAAACTCAAAGGGTTCCTGGAATGTTCTGCAGCTTTGCAACAATGACAATGACACTACAATTCTGAGAAAAGTATTCAATAATGTAGAACTTTATAAACCATACAGACATCTTCACTTCTCTCCTTCTTGTTTCTCTGTTGTCAAAGCCCTTTTTTTTTCTATAAAAGCAGAAAGGAAGATTAAGATGCACTAAAAAGAATGAAACAAGTGACAACTGGAACTTACATACAGCCAAGAAATCAGCCACTGGGTCTTTAAGAACTGTTAACAAACAGATATTGAGCTCTATATCTCATTCAAAATAGAGCTCCCCAGCAACTTGTTGAACCACTAACATCATGCTGAGACTATGGTTCAGATCTGACTCAGATGTGGAAGTGCCATTTACCGAGTCACCACCACCTCTTCCACAGCGAAGATTATAAAGAGGTTTCTCCACCAATTTCACTAATTCTAGCACACACACTAAATAAATGCTCAAGTAAAAAGTAACTAATTCCTATCTGTAAAAATGATCCTTTCATGTTTAATCACAAAAAGTTTTTATGTATTTCCTTGTACTCACTTTTTTTTCCAATATAAATTCCTACCACCATAGTAACACTTACCTTGGATTTTTAATCATCTGAGGAGTCTAACTCACATGACCCTATTATCCTCTTTGCTGTGTGACAGCAGCAGCCATATACAGAGACTTTGACTTCCCATGGACATTTACAGGCAGTCGGCCACTTGCATGACTTAACACATAGATTCAGGCTGTGATAACACTTAGAATCCAAAGCCGTGGATCAGAGTACCATTAAGGTAGTTACTGATACATAACAAAAAGGTAATTTCTCTCCTAAACAGTTTAAAATATGGGTGTATGACCAGAGATAACAGGCAGATACAGGCAGAGAGGGAGGCAGGGAAAAAAACGAGTCAGTACTGATCAGCCTGATGACTAATGGAGTAAGTAATTTCCAGATACATGACTTCATGAATGTAGGTGTGTCCTAAAAAATACATAGCAGATGTATAATAGGAAGTAATCTAAAGTGAGAAGGCATTAAAAAAATAGCAGCATAACAGACAGCTAAGTTGGTGATTATCCACTGACAATCATATGCAATAATTATTATTTAAAGACTACACATCATTAATTATTATATAATGTAAAAACAGATTAAAAAATAATAAACAGTAGTTTTCAACTAGGAGTCAAGAGAGGTACTTATGAAAGGGGCTTTACCCTACCTATCACAGAACTTGGTGTTACATCACATTCATCTTTCCTGTAATACATTTAAAATTTGCAATGTCCATCTCATGTTGTTTCTATCATTTTTGCCCTCCAGGAAAAAAACAGATAGAATGAAAGCTTGGTTTTAATTCTAAAATTAAGTAAAAGAAATGCACCTAAAAATGGGAGTTCCAAAAAAAGCTCATCTCAAAGTTTTAGGCTGGCCAGCAAAACAACTTTTTCAACACCATTGATAACTTTAGTTCTACTGTAGAAAAACACATTACACTAGAGGACTGAAGTTGCATGCAGAAGTCTTCACCCAGAACTCTAGATTATTTTTAGGCAGCAAGCAGAAATCATTAGTGAGAACTCTAGATTACTTTTAGGCAATATAGGGCCCAGTCATCAAAGACCTTGAATATCAAGGACCAAATATCTGAGTGGTGCTATGGGAAGCCAATGTAAAGTACAGAGAGCAGGGTTTGATGTGTTTGAAATAACCCTACTGTGCACATTGGAAGAGCAGCAGTTCCCAAGTACTAAAAGCTTCACGTAAAGTTTCAAGCAATTCCTAGGGCCCAGAAGCTAAGAAAACTTCAGGAAAATATGAAGAAAACACGAATGGACTTGTCTAGGCAATAAGGGGACTATTAACAACTGTTATCCAAGCTTCCTTAAGCATTTCTATATTTCTGTATTTCCATTTTTCTAAACCTACACCATGACCTTCAATTAGAATGGTTCCACAAATGCAATGAATGATATATAAGACTTCATAACATCTCCATGATACGCATACCTTTCCTGTGGTCTGTGGAAAAGCTCACCTAGTAGCCACACGTATATACTTTCCACAAATAGCACAGATAGCATTTATCATTGCTGTTTTCCATAATTGAAGCACATAATAGTGAAAGAACAGCTTCCCTAGATATGTTCCTCAAAAAGATGGCCCCTCAAACTATCTTGATACATTTCCAATTATTCCCTCTTCTTTTCTAGGGCAAAAAAAGGAATCTAAAGTGACATGCTGCAGAGAATGAAAAAGAGTGAATACAGGTGACAATTGGCATTTAACCGCTTTTCAAACACAGAAGTCAAGTTCCTAAAAGTTATTTCAATTTAAACACAATGTCAGCTATCTGTTTTTCTTTCCAGGGTGGGGGAGGGGGAGGAGAGAATTAAAATTTAATATTCTTGTTGTGAAAAAAATACAAACTTTCTTTAACATAATTTTTTATTCTCATTATGTTAAAAAATAGGTAGAAGTTACAGAAACCATTCCAAAAGTATGGAAGAATTCCACTAATAAATTATAGACTTCCACAAACTTTTATCCTATAAATATAATTTTCCTAGGAAAATCAATTATTTAGAAGACTAATACCAAAAATCTGTGTCTGAAATAGATCTGGAAGACTGAAGGACAAAGTCAAAATACATACTTCACTGTCCCATAATACAGACAAACTAAAAAGCCAGAGCTTTAAGCCAGCGAAGTATACTGACCAAATAAATATCTTCTAATATGTTCATGGAAAAAAAGTTTAAAAATCCACTGATGGATTATTACAAACACAAAATCACAGTAAACAGACAGCATCTATTTAGGAGCTGTTCCTTACTCTAAATGATACTAATTCTCTACACCTTTAATCGTATTCTCTCAAGCAGCTCTTCAAGTACTGAACCTTTATAATAAATTAACCTATAATTCTGTAATTCTTCAGTATTTTCACTTCATAACTGTATCTCTCATGACCACGCACCCTTCTTCAAACCTAAAAGAAATTACTTGCAACTAGCTTTCCAACTCTACATCTCCGAGCTGCTTCTGAGTGTTGTTTACTAACTACCCTTGAATGCCCCAGATTTTATGAGATGATCTTCTGACACAAATACCACTGAGGCAGTAAGTGGCTTGGTCTTGATGGATTTTTTTCCCAGAAAACACAAAGGACAAATAGTTTATAAGAATACATTTGCCTTACTGAGTCAGTTTAACAGTTACAAGCCTAGTACCACATCTCCAACAGTAGCTGGTAACAGATGACTAAGTAAGAGTATAAAAATACAGTTATCACATAGTGAAACATCTGCCAAATACTCTCAATCTTCAACAATCTAGCTCCTTGTTTCAGTTGTGATCTAAATGTTTTGACGAGATCAGAATTGCACACATAATTCAAGATGCAGGAGCGTCACCAGTACATATAGCTGTAATTGCACTCTGGTTCTTGTTCTCTGTTCCTCTCCTGTCTTTTTGTTCACATTTGGTTAACTGAGCACTGAGTCGAGTCAGTAGAACTGCTCTATCATTGCCAATTTGTACTTAAACAGTATCTAAAAGCGCAGTCAGATATTATACTCTACTGTGCTGAAACATCAAACAAATATTAAAGAAAAATTTTGGGGTGTTTAAAAAGGCAATGGCTGCATAGAAAATATAGATACAGAAAACATACCAAAAAATCAGGGCAATTTTACAAAAATAAGCGAGAGACACAAATCACCAACTCTCACTGGAATTATTTTGTAAAAGTTTTAGCTACTTTCTAAATAGCTGCCAGTAAAATACAATTAAAAATTATAGTAGCACAGAAACATAATGAAACAAACACTGTGACTGAACCTTTTTCAGTTTCATATGACTTACTTTGATCTGGGCAAGGGAATCACCAACTTGCACAAGTCTTTCATTGTAATACCACTCTGGTATTTTTGACTTATAGTTGATCCAAATGTTAAACAAAGCATTTGCTCTAAAAAAGATACAGGAGAAAAGGTTTCAGATTGAACTGGCAGCAGATCTGTCATAACAAGTAAACAAATCAGGAAAACTTGAAACGGAGAAAACTCCTTTCTTCAAATCTGTTTGAACTTCTACATATTTCAAAACAAGTGATCGTTAAAGCTGGATTTAACAAGTAGACAAGGACATTTCTGGGTTTCATTTCTGTCACCAGTTTCTATCACACCTTTTAAATAGGATGAATTTTCTCCCATGTAAATTCTTATTAAAATGTCTTAGTATTAATCCCCTTGCATTGTTCAAACATGGTCACAAGTGGAAAATCTGTCCCACCTTTCAGCTAGTTCTGTTTGAAGAAACAATTTTATATTTTAAACTCAATGAACTACAACTCACAGCAATTATTGGACTGGAAACTACAGATGTTAGGAGCAGGAAAAAAGATCCCAAAATAACAATGTATGTCAGATAGCTGCAACCTTGGGAAGTAGTAGCCATGGAATAAACCGAGCTATAGATTGTGTGTATATATATATATATATATACACACAATCTATAGATTATATAGAACTATGGTATTTTGAGCTCACGGTATTTTGAGTTACACCATGAATCATGAAAGAAGAAATGCTCAGGAATTTTAAACTGTAAGGGGTAGGATTCAGAGAGAACCAAATGACACACTTGTTAAAATAAACAGGATTTTATGGCAATAGTTGTGATGCTCTTCTGTTGCCTCTATCTTATTCTAGCCACAGCTGCCATCAAGGATGTCTTTGGGTAACAAATTACTCATTTTGCTGAACCAGCAAGCCTTCCCTCAATGGTAACTAAGCACTTAGCCTCTGCTGCAGAGGCACTGACTACATCATGCCAGTACTACAGTCCCTACTGACTGTGGTTCGATGGCCCAGTGCCCTCATGTGTACAACTTCCCCACACTACACTTTTTAAAGAAAGCTACAGTCAAACAGGAAAACAATAACCGGTCAGACAGACTGACAATAAGCACTAGGACTTTTTCAGAAAAGAACCATTACCAAATCATTAACAGTATTGACAGTGTTCACAATGCCAGGTATCTCGTACATTTGCTCTCTTAACAAATCACTTGTACAGAAACCTCAGCAAAGACTGCCTAGTGAAACCACAACTGCTAAATTATTCGTATATAGCAATTTATGAGGGAAAAAAAAACCCGAATAAACAGAAATTAACATTTGAAGAAATTAACATTTGAAAACACCCGTCTAGCTAAATTGTCATGTCTAAAACTTATGCTTATTGCTGTGAGGTTGCTGGAACTTTTCAATCTCTTAAAACAGGTACGGTAGACTAGAATGCAAGACGCTTTCTTAAACTGTTTTCTGACACTCAGGAGCTTGGAATCCATTCTCACAGTGTCTCATACAGCTCTTCATTTCAGCTTGTAAGAACACTCCCAATAAGAAAAGGCACAATAAGGAACATCTTTTCCACACAGAAAGCTGCAAACCACCTTCACATTTCAAGGTGAAACAGATGGCTTTATAAGAAACTTGTCAAAATGATCTTTACAACAAAGAATTGCAACAATCATAATCTTTTTTTTTCCCTAAAAGTATCATCTCAGCACAATTCTCAGTTCTTGAAAGTAAGCAGCAGAGAAATAAGTAGGACATTCTAGAGGTGTATCGTAAAGGAAAAATGCAGTAACAGCACAAACTAGGCCAAAAGCAACAATCTGAAAAAAATGCTCTAAGGCATTTTTAAGGTGAATTATTTTGAAGGAAACCATAGCCCAGTTTAATGAAGGGCATCTTCCAAATGGGACTGAGTCCCTCCTGGTCCACCCATAACAATTAACAGGCTGGATGGTTACCGACTTCTCATACTGAGAGAAGTATTCCACACTAGTTAGTATCTGCAAAGAGGCTCCAAAGCAAAGGAATCTGTCAGGCATCTGAGCAGAGTTCCCTTGAACTATCAAAGGAACAAGCTTAGGAAAAGAGAGATTTGATGGATATTATGGGGGTGGAGAGGGGGATGGGAAGAAGGGGGAAAAAGGACAGTAAGAATGACTGTGGATAAAGCTCTGGAAAGGTGAGACTGATACATTTCTTTAAGACTCATCAGCTGCAAAGTCCCCAGTGAAGGTCATCTTCATTTTTTGTTTCAAATGCTCATATTAACATATGAGATTCTTAGAAGTAATAAACGAGCAACAAATCTGTAAGAAACTACTTTGGCAAAGTAGTGACAAATCTGACCAGACTTTTCAACGTCAATGGGAAGATTAGGGGAAACTGATTCACAAGTGAGTTCATGACACAATGTTTCTTGACACAGACAAAGGAGGGGAGTGAGACACTTCCCAAACAGCTCATCAGCCTTTCCTTTAAACAGGCTGTAGGACATCAGAGTAACAAGTTAAGCAAGTGAATTCTTAAAAAAACACTGAGCTGTTGAAGCTCAGAGGTGAAATTTCCTTATTCCCAGCCATTCTATGAATAATAGAAAAAATGTCCCTACGGTTCACCCATAATAGTGTGCACAGGGTAAGGTCCTCATGGCTAAAATCTTTACTACAAGTAGTAAAGGATTCTCTGATACTGATCAATAAGTAAGGGTGGCTAAGCCATACAACATCAGATAAAATCCATAGTTCAAGGTAATGTTTTTATGGCCCTGCTGCCATGAGAAATGGGGTAAAACAACTTCTTGTTTAGTTGAGGAAAAATTACTTTTGATTGCTACTCCTGGTTGAAAAGATTTGTGATTCCAGGGCAGGTCCTCAGTAATTTTTGTTTTACATTAGAACATTGCAAGTGCCTAAATTATGGCCTTACGGCTGACCTATCAACACCAAAGGCTGAAAGCTTTGGAGGAATGAAGTTGACAATTTTATTTTTCTAAACTGAACATACTTGCCATGTGGAAGCTGGTTTTCTTGCTCCTTGAATAACAAGAACACTTTGATCTCAACCCAGACCAGGAAAAGTAGATTGACAAACGACACAGCATAAAGTCTTTAGAGCATTTAGGAAAGCATCTGTAATAGCCATTACCTTCAGAAGTTTTTAGGAACAAGAGTAAGGCTGGTTCTGCAAGCAGCACATGCTCCAATTTTGAGTTATCAAACAATGAAAGGCCAGGGAGAAACAATCCTGAAATTTCACAATAACAAATAAATAGTCATGACTTTGCTAGCTGCCTGAACATATGCTATTCACCAGAATTCCAGTCTTCTATCTCTGTCCCTACACAAATGAAGAACGCTTGAGGATGCAGAGCTACTGGGAGCTTCATGTCACACAACATTCTCAGTGCCCAGGAATTTTGGCAGGGATCATCACCACTAGTGTCTTCTGGGATCAAGACCTTGGTAGCACTAGTTCTCCTCTCCATGACGAACACTGTAGATTTCTTCAGATGCAAAAATGCTCTCATGACAACTGAGTTATACACGGTTATGGGTCACATTCACAAAATACCAGCTTGAATAAGACAGAGTCCACTTAGGTCAAAATATTTGAAAGGGTAAAGTAAAGAAAGGCTTGGAGACCTTGTTTACAAAACCCGATAATTTGGCAATCCATTGCAAAGTGGAAGACTCAGCATGCCCATTTCCCAACCAAAGATACAAAGAATGCATAGAAGATTCATTATTGGCAATTTTGGTGGTGTCTGAAGAAGCGAAGGAGGCCTAGAGAGGATAACTTTTAAAATAATTATACAGATCAGCTAAAGCAAAAACAAAAAGGCCTGAAACTATAGAAAGCCTTCAAAGTTGCAAAACACTGAAATCAGCTGCTGAAGCAATATAAAAAGATACTGAGAGACAGATACCTGGAGACTGATACCTGCATGATACACCTTAGGCCTAGATCTGACAACGAACAAATTAGTAATTCAGATACCTTAGAAAATTAAGATCTCCAGTTCAGACACATGCCAGGCTACAGAATCTGTATACCTTCTGAAAATGTAAACAGATCCTTTAGAGAAGGGTCATTTGTGGACTACGTCCAGGAAAACTACTGAGTGAAATATGCAAGGGTAGAAGCTGCACCTAAGTGACAAGGTAACCGCCCTGTAACCTAATTCCTGTGCTGTTTTTGAAGGAACTTTTGATATCCTGGGAAATTTGCGGGTTTTGTGTTAAAGACTTGTAAATTTAGAATAGAGCACTGTTTGGATAACAATAGAAAATTAACTATTCATCTTAAAAGAACCAGTTGAGCTCTTATATCACAATGTACCTAAATGCTACATGAGAAATGCACAGTCTGTAAAAGACATATGCAAGCACTATGAATCATACACCCATTCCAGTTGCTCTATCTCAACTGCAGTACAAAATCTAGATTTATGCATACCCACAGATATGCATGTATGCAGGCAAACAAATATGCACTATTATACTCGCCATATGCTTTGCCCGCACATATGTGTATAAAAATATACCAACGCAGACAGAGACATATGCACAAAACGAACTGTGTGGTGTTACCCTCGTGTAGCTCTACTGCAAGCACATCTTTTAAAGGCATGTACGTGCCCACAAGCGTCCACCCTCGCATGCAGCCACACACACTGGTGCTCTGCCAGTTGCTCCAGCACTACGAAGGGATTTTCCTACCAGCAAGCTCAGGCAACTCTGATGGAGCCAACAGTGGTGGCTGCCAACTTCCACAACACCTTGTGCTTTTTCCCTAAAGCATTGACTTCTAGGAAGTTCTGAAAAAAAGGGTTGTCTTCAGATTTTGAAGGGGTTTTAAAAAATTAAATAAATAAATAAATAAATAAAAAGTGCTGGTAAAGCTGACCGGGTGAACAAACTCCTGGCTAGCTCCCAGTCCAGGGCGAAGATGAAGGAAAGGTGCTGCCCAGCCCGTGGGATGCAGCGTAAGGAGGAACCGCGGAAGGGGCGAGGGGGGGCCGGGAAGGGCAGCCCGAGAGCCGCGGGGAGGCGGTGCGGAAAGCCCCGTGGGGCGGCCGAGGGGACTGGACTGGAGCAAGACAGCAAAGGACGAGGAGTGCAGCCGAGGAAGGGGGTTTGAGGCAGGGGAAGGGGGAATGGCAAGCGGCTCCCAGAGCGGGCGGCGACGCAGGAACAAGGGGCGGCGGCACAGCCCCTACCCGCGGCGGTGCAGGTCGTGATGCGACGGCTTGGCCTCCCCCGCCCCCGCGCCTCCCAGCCGCCGCAGGAGGCCCAGGGCGCCCCGCAGCTCGGCCTCGAAGCTGTCCACCGCCGGGTTGCCCCGCGGCGCGGTCCGGAAGGAAGCGGCGGGCGGGGGCTGCGGGCCGGCGGCTCGGAGCGGCGGCGCGGCGGGGTCCGCCATGGCTCGGCCCGGCCACGGCGGGGACGCGCAGCCGTCACCAGGCAACGGCCGCGGGCAGCGGCCCCGAGGGGTCACTGCCGGACAGGCCGGGAGGGACAGAATCACGAAATATGCTGAGCTGGAAGGGAACCACAGGGATCAGCGAGTCCAGCTCTTACGGCTGAATAGAACCATCTTCAAGGGTCACAACAGCGTATTTCACCAGGGATGTCACTTTGAACTGATTGTGCCACTGAGCCTGCCTACTGCACGGCTATAGAAAAAAGACGAAAGTGTGCTTACCCTCTTAATGGTTACATTTGTCTATTAAAAAAAAGAAGGTGGCGAACTAGGAAATAACAGCCATATTTATGATCTAGGAGGTGGCCATAGCAACCTATGTGTTTTGAAGTTCATTACAGGCACATGGTAAAGAGGTTTGGGAGGGATGTGAAGGAAACCGGCTCCGTTGCCATGTCCATCATCATGATGAGCATAAGGGACAGCTTAATTGAAAACATGAAAGTGATTGCTTAGAAATGTGAGTGAGCAATGAGTGCCGGTAGCCAGGGCCAGCTGGAGGCAGTTTCTTGACATTGAATGGAAAACGATCAATAGAGAGGAATAAGGCAAAGAAGTACTTGAAAAACTCATCCACGGAATTCATAGATGACAGTAAAGGAACTACCCTTCGAACAACTGGAGAGATGCGGCATCAGCATGCTGAATGATTGGAATCAGAAAATACTGCATTAGCGAGGCCAAATAAATGATATGGGAATCATCTACATATTATAGGTAAGATGCAGAAATTTTAATTAACTTATGACTAACGTGCCTGACTCATTTTACACAGTGATTTTGTATTGTATCCCACCTGCTGGGAGTTGTGTGGATCCATGCCCAACAGGTATTGTGCGACTATGGGAAGATGTTAGCAGGAATCATTACAGGTAATTTGTATGCATGAAGTCAATTCCAGTGACAATGGCTATGCCATTTAGGTGGGAGCAATTTAGGCTGAATGCAAGAGGAAATGGGTTCCTCAAATTTCCGTGGAGGTAGTAGAAAACGAAGCCTGCAATGAAAAGATACAGCAAAAAGGTGTTGATGCAGGGATTTAGAAATCACTGGGTACAGAAGCAAATTTTACAGGACAAATGAAATATGAGAACTTGGCTTGGAGAGCAATTACTGCTACGTTTGAAGATTTTTGCCTGTGCTTTGCCGTGCTAACCAAAGAGCTCCCTATGATGGATTCCAGATGAGTAATAAACACTGGCCTCTTATGAAAGGCAGCTTGTGCCACCGTGAGTACTGCTGGTGGCATCCGTTTCAAGTCCCTATGAAGTTCTGAGCTAGTTTGCCTCACTAGGTGGTGCTGCATCCCAAAGGGCTGATCTTCACATTCACGAGATGCAGAGACAGCGCTTCACAAACCAGCAGTGCCAGAAGCTTCAAGGGGAACTTGAGATACTGGAAACGAGACTGCTCAGTAAAACTTTGCATACCTCTAATATTTTGCTAGCAGATGATGGCATGACTGTAATATTTGCAATTTGGATTAGTGTTTCAGCCATAGAAACAGTCTGAGTCAAAGAAAACAGAGAGAGGGAGTATAGTCATTCTCCAAAGGGAGAGATTACAGAACTATGTAAAGATAAAGCATTAACCACTGGGAGGTTAACTCAGGGCGTAGCTGGGTCACACATGGAGTGTTCAGTCTAAAATTTACGTGTGACCTCGACAGGGTGCAAGTGTGCATTCCGTGCAGGTTTAGTGTAAGGAGGGCAGTTCTGACCCTCTCAGCACCCAGGGTGGATCATAGCAAGGAACTACACCGCAGCAAACGCTGTAGTGTGTGTGACATTCAATTCTGGATGCTTACAATATTGATTCCTATTTTACTGTACTGGGGAAGACTCAAATTTACACTTCAAAGAGCCTCTATCTAACATTTAATGGGTCAGACATTTAATGGGTCCCAAAGACAAAAAGGCTTATGGATAAATGAATGGAACGTTTTAACTTTGGAAAGAGTATAGATTCTTCTGAAGCATTCAGCTTGTATAATCTGATCTTTACAGAGAAAAACCTGGTGTGTGCAAAACAATAAGAGAGTGATGGCTACTGAAGTTGTAAGAGCTAGGATAAATTCCTCAAAAACTTAAGTTTATAGCAATTTTTTGAATTACATACATCCCTACACCCTAAAAAACGTGATCTGTTGATTGGAAGGCTAATGATTTATTCATCATTGGTAGGTGGACATTTAGGTAGTAATTTGAATTACAGTAACATTAGGGATAAAGTAAGTGAGATTATGGAGCATTGGCACAGACAGGCTCCCAATAAGTGGAATTTAGGTAAATCCATTGAACCAAGCTGAGAGGTTGTAGCAACCTGTGATTTAACACCACCAGGTCAGACAGGAGAAAGCTGCCTCAGAAACAGAAGGACCTACAAAGAGTTAACTTAGTAAAACCCCATATTGGAAGTGTCTGCTCTCATGGCTATAAGACCACGAGTATGCTTGTGTTGGAAAGGGGAAAAACTTTGCTGTTAACTCATCAAGCTGCCTGCTTACTTCTCATGTTCCACTTGTGTGAACAGCAGTGGTTACTAAGAGCAGACAAAGGGGGGAAACACTGTATGATCACAGCAGAGCTGGGCAGGAAGAGTGTCCAGTGATATCTAGGCACAGGAGCTGAGGTAATGTCTGCTGAGCCCGATTTGGTGCATCAGTAGACATCTGTTTCCTATGAATAATTCTGAGATGCATGTTCAGATCCCTTCCTAGGTGCTTGTATCAAAGGTACACCTGAATTATGGTGATTTTGCTGTTTGATATTCAGAGATAAGAGGTGGTCATGGATGCAACATGACAGTCCTCAGAGATTCGAAAGAGCTACATTTATGTCATCTCTTCCTTGATGCTTTCAGGAAAAATAGTCTGAGTAGAAGTGATTCTGGGCCATCACTTAGCATCTTCAGGCTATTAGGCTAATGAAGACATGACACTTTAAAATAATGCTTAATATATTTATGTACTAGCATATTCAGAACTGGGATCTGCATTTACTATACTTGCAGTATGCCTGCCTGTTCCTAAGTGCCAGTGGGAATCCACTTTCAGTAGGGAATCCCCCGTTTGAGTAGGAGTGCGTTGTTGGATTTAAAAAATAGAAGTCAATCTAGAGAAAGAAGCAGTGGCAGATGTATGCTGACTCTTATAGAGAAATTCAGTTTGTGAGTTAGTCAAGGAAAAGAAGGTCAAGGAAACACAATGTCTTATATGACAGTACAGCATTTGCTATTCAGATGGTGTAGGGGAATTAGATATGTTACAAACTAGTAGCTCTAAGTTACCTGATAAAGGTCCTTAAAAAGCCATCACATAGCTGAAAGAGATGAACTAAGTTGCTGAATGCCAGGAGTACTGGCACTTTATAAATGTGATGGAGGGAGAATTTGTGCTGAGCTTCCAAGAGGCAAAACGCACACTGGAATCAATGTACCTTTTAAATAACTAACTGTAGAGGAAGCAGAGACGTGCAGCAGACCTGCATGTTTATTGCTACTGCAGCCTGTGGCACTTGTCTATACCTACAGCTAATGAGACAGATATGGGATACAGCGCTTTTATGGGCACCTATGAGAGATTATACTGTCATCATTTCCTTCCCACCTTCATGCTTTAGGGCTGTTTGGTAATGCTGCTTGTGGCAGCTGATAGTGTCTTTAGACTCAGATGCCTTACTTGAATCTGCCTTTACATTCAATCAGAATTTGTAAATTCCTAACCTTATCTAAGGGCTACCTGCTACCTTTTAATGGAAGAGTTAGTAAGGAGATGAGAGATATACTGTCATGTTTTGACAGCATTTGTGTATTTTTTGCTGTACCAGGAAGAAACATGTCCTGAATTAAGATACATGTCTGATTGCAAAGGTACGGAAATGTGAAAAGTTGGTGGAAATGGCTTATTTGGAACACAATACAGATAACTTTTCAAAAAAAACAGCGGTTCCAGTCCTTTACTGAGACAGAGACACATATTTGTAAAATATTCCAATACCGTTCCTGTCAGTGAGCAGTATACAAAATTTGTCAGACAATGGAATGGTCTTTGACATCTGGAACACAGATTAACAAAGCAGCTGAGACATGTGTGTCTATTGACAAGCAATTGGTGGTCTTTTAAGATATATTGAAAGCAGATCTGGGACAGTTTTAATGCAAGCGAATGCTAGGAGAAGGAAAATGCTAAGTTTTTACTTGAAAATGGTTGTTAGCTTCTTTTCTGATCTAATTCATCAGTGCTGTAAGAAGAAGGTAAAGAGTGATCAACACGAGAAAGAACTGCGATGACTGAGAACTGTGCAAGCTCCAGGTTCTTCTGGAGCTGCGGTAGAGTTTGGGGTGACAGTTGTCACTCTGTTTTGATGGTATCATATGAAAGGTTTCAGTGCCAAATTCTAAAGATGAAGTGTCAGCTTTCAAGGTTATAACATAAAAGTTGTTGGGTTTTTTTTAATGTGAGTGTGAATGCTCACAAAAAGGTTTTCTCAGTTTCCTTTTATCATTAGGGAAATAGGTATATAGGTGAATCTAAGTTGACTTGCAGAAAATATGTTATCTGGGAGAAGTGACCTCGTTCAGTTGAATCCCCCCCTCACACACATAAAGAAAGTTGTAGGAGTGTGTAATACTTGTGTGAACCATCTGTGAGATTTGACTCACCCACTCAGATTGTATTGTTATGCACTGAGTGGGTTAACCAGTCTTCGGGAAGCGAGATGCAGCAGCATTTTTATATAGCTGCCTGAGTTTGTCAGAGATTTAAATTGAAACACAACAGATTCTAAAATCTGCTTTACGGACTTAAGTACCAAAGGTAACTGTTGGATATATTAAAGTCCATTAGTGACTTTACAAAAATGGAAATCTTGCCTCAATGAGAGAGTTTGCCTACAATTCATGTTATTTTCTATATTTGTTTAAGACACTTTTCCAGTTTA